CTTTCAAAATAACAAATATTAAAGTTATACTTGAGTTTTATATTTGAAAGGTAAACTTTTTTAAAGGAAGCATTCAATAGTTAAAAGGACGGTACAAAGTCAGAATCATTGTATTGCGGCGTTAGTGGGACATGACCGTAGCACGACTCTGCCGAACTACTATCTACAACGAAACCTGATCTGATAAGCGCGTCTTGCGCTTTAGCTGAGCCCCGGGTGAGTCATCCACTACGGGTAGAATGGAACCGCCCGTTGGGCGCGCAGCGCCCCCGCCAGCCACCCATAGAGAAATATAGTTCTACTTAAAGAGTGGCCGCTCAAGCCGTTTGGCGACCCAGGAGTTAGGGACTACTGGCCGTTAGTAGGCGCAACAGTGCCAGTTATTCTGAACATTTGTCAAATATATAATATTAGTAAATAACTTTGTTGTATAAAGTAAACTTTGAAATTATTACAAACTTTGACCAATTTCGAAAACAACTTCAACGGCTATGGCTACGGCTGCGGCGCTACGGTTGGCTTTGCAGCCGTGCACTCGACAGAGGGCGGATACTTCGGCTGCTTGGTCTGTGCCTCTTGCCTCATTGTGTGGGTTAAGTTGATTCCGCGGCTTGTTGTCTCGTGCGGGTTTCTAGTCATTCTTCTGTCGCGGTCGTGGTATACGGTATACGTAAGAAGTATTCTGAGTGTAGTTTCTTTGTTGACGGATATCTGCATTCTGTCACTGAATTTAGAAGCCACTGGGCCAGGCTGTTCTTCTATTGTTGCTGTACTAGTCACATGGTAATATCCGCAAGCGCTTCTTACGGAACCTGGACGGTGATTTCTTTATATGCCCTTCATCATATTGCATTTGTCGGTGTAAGTCTTGCTCTAATACAGTATTTTTTCCAGTGTTGCACAGTTGACGTGTCATTGATATATTTTGCACGTGTATTCTTATTTTTCTAATGTATGAATAACATAAATCACTCATTGTTTTCAGAGTTGATGTTTGTTTGGCTTGTCATAGTTACAAAATAAAACACTTTTATCTGTCAGTCCCTGGTGTCGTCCCATGTCGCCTGTTCAAGAGAGTTAGCACAAATGTGGGAATATCATTTTCAGTGTGCGGTCAGTTTGAATTATATATTGCACTAAATGACGTTTCTTCTGCAGTAAAATTAAGGTATATTTATAAAAACAATTATATTTTAAATAAAAACAATGCTAGTTACAATAACACTGACTCGTGAAACTGGAGGGCGCATGCTATATACTGCCCGATACAAAATTACCGCCAGAATTCACCTTGAATCCATTCATTAATCTGGTCACCGGTTACTGCATGTGATCATCTATTCAAAACTCAACTAAGGACTATACTGGCCGCTGGGTGCGCTCGCTGACACTGAATTGGGCCGCTGGGGCCTATGGAAGTTTCCGCTCTTACGTAGTACTGTATATCTCTATGAGCCATCGTCGTCTCGGCCACGCTCTCTCAGTGTGTCTTATATAGTGCAGGAGACTGTAGCCTTTAATCTGCTTTTTCTCCCGTTGTTCGAAGGTCAGATTCTTTATTACTGAAGCTCGCGACGTGTTATCGAAGTCTAAAGACTGGGAAGACAGTCGTTGACATGACGATAGTCCCTGCCAGCTTAAGAAGTGCAGGGCGTGGCGAGCTCCGAGCATCTTAATATTTCTCTATAGCCAAATCAGATTGCGATATCGACCGTCGAGGACGCCGAAGAACCAATCACAATGCACGCAGTGCGATCATAATCGAACTCGACCTGCGTTCCGTAAGATCTCAACGGCTATGCGGCGAGGAAGTCGTCTGCGTCTTGCGGAGGAGTTGTGGTGACGTCAGAGCTACGCCGAGCTCTGATTGGCTTTGATTGGAAGGATAGTGGGTAGATCTCAATGCTAGATGATGGAGGTTTAATCACCATTTTCATTTTTCAATGAGTGAATAAGAGCTCGGCGCTCAGATATCAACGCAAACCCCTGTGTCAGAAACAGACGACATTCGTTCCGCGTAGCTGATGCCGCCGGCATTCACTCCTGAGCGTCAAATCCTGACGCCAATGCTCTCTCTCTCTCTCAGCAGGACAGAGAAACAGGCAGAAAGAGAGAGAGAGGTAACATCGCTTTAATTCAACAAGTCCAGTTCAACTGGCGTTGCACGAGGAGTAGACGACATACTTACTCGCTTTGATTAGAAGGAAATGGTAGATAGAGACGAAAGCTGCCAGCCTCGGCTTTCTGTCAACCATCCTTCCGATTCGAGCTTGTTCCGCATTTTGCAGATAAGCGGTGTTAGGGTGTATCCTTTTCTGCCGAACGGGGGCGTCGCCGGCTAGTGATAGCAAATGGCTGCCACGCCTCTTTTATGCCTTTAATAATTCCGCCGTTTTTTTACACCGAAGCTGTGTATTACTGGTTGGTCTGATTTTTTTGGCTCCGTCGACAGAACAGTAGTCGAAAGACAAAAATAGTCGATCGAAAACCCACGCGCTGCCCGTATCACCATTCACGCGGGCGTTATTTATAATCATTCGGTGACAACTGTTTCAATAAGTAAACCACAATACAAGTGTCAAAACCACGTGATAAGCCGCCTCGGTGGCTCCAAGGCAAAGCTCTGGAGTACGTATCTCAAAGTGGAGGGTTCGAATTCCGGCCGAGGTGCCCGCCTGCCAAGCTTGCTTATTGCACCAGCACTAGAAAACATTAATTGGACATGAGAAACAAAGTTAACGATTTAAGGAGGTCCTTCGGTTTTACAATATTACATCTTGGAGGAGGCAAGTTGATTTATAAGAATACTCGAAACATTTAAACAGATGTCGCCATCCTTTTTTTTTTTGTTTCCCTGGTGATCAAACGTTTCACTTCAATATCAAGCAGCGGTGTTAAGGTGGCCCCGTTGCTGTGTCAACTCGTTGTTCAATATTTTTATGAACGACAAATTCTCTGGAACGTTAAAGGCTGAAGCACCCCCTGGTGGCGTTTGCCAAAAAAAAAAAAAGGTATATACTGCAGTGGGCAATCGTTGCAGGTAATACCACACCTTTGCTCTCCAAGCACCCTCACAGCGTGGATTGAAGCCTTAATTCGCTCTACACAAGGAGTCTTAACTTTTGGGAAAGGAGGAGAGGAAAAACTTCGCAGGGTATCAAGGAGCAAATGTATGCAGGCGAGCTGGTTAGGGAGCATCGTGACCCGAGCCCTGAGGCACTAGGAAAAAGATATTACGCACGATAGGACACAAAACGACAAAAACAGCTACCAAATGACTCAAAAACGAACGAAAAAACAAAACAAAATTCACGGCACACGTGTCGTCGACTCCGGACCGAGGAGCCGCTGCGGGGGGTGCAGCATCGTCGCATCGCTCTCACTTCTCAATCGTTCGAGGCATAGGTATTGTATACTCGGTTTATCATTGAGTCCGACCTCAGTCAATTCTACGATCCGATGCAGCCAGTCAAGCAGCCAAAAAAAATGCATTTTCATGGGGCTCGCCGTTTTTGCGTATCACGCTTAGTGCATGCGGCCGGATTCGGCATTTTTTTATGCGATGACTGCTTAACGGATAATAGCAAACGCACAAAGGCTACGAGCGCCATGAGAATACCCTTCTCTCGTTGCTCCATGCGTTCCTTTGTGTCGTAGCGTCGGCTGAGGTAGGACTTATATTGTGAAACGGATAATGGTGCACTGCTGCGCTAGCATACTGATACGCTAAGACACAGGCATCTGCTGCCTGCGGATGCGGACAGCAAGTCGTCTGCATTTTGAGCAGAAGTTTCGGTAACGTCATAGCGACGCCGAGATCTGATAGGCTTTGATTGAAAGAAGACTTGGTAGACCTTGATGCTAGATGCCCTGAGATCTACGCACTATTTTTTTTTTCGTCAGCCAATAAGAGCTCGGCGTTCTAATATGATCCCAACCCGTGTACAGAAGCAGACGAACTTGCGCTCCGCATATCCTTCAGCAAACACCAGCGTGTCTGTCACTTGGGGCCGGTTGGGGATACCGTATACGCTGACGTTGGGGACAAGTCTTGTATAATGTGCGGTATTGTAGAGCACTCAAGCGTTAACGTCACTTAGTCGGGCATATTGATGTGGTTCGGGCGCGTGGCATCGCAGTTTCGTGTGCGACCGATTTGTGCGACCGATTTCTTGTCGCACATAACTCACTTTCGTGCTGAAAGTGAGTTATGTGCGACCGATTTCTTGGGCGCTTTCCCGTGGAGTATATGCACGCCAAATTCTTGAGGAATGTTTACTGGTAAAAAATCTCGCTACGGTTTCTTTTTTTTTTTTTTTGTCTTTTTTTTTTTTTTTTGGCGGAGGCAGGGTTTGGAAGCTAGTAGTAGACAAACCGAAGGAGAATCCGCCCGTGCTCGTGTTCTGTTGATAGTTCTTGTTATTTTTCGGAACGGTGCTACTCGCTTGCGCACTCGGTTTGTATTACGCAAATTGGCGCAGGCCCTTCACCCTGCCGTTATATTGGTTGGTAGAAAAGCGAAGCGAATATACTGGTTTGGGGAGAGCCAACCTACTCCTTATCGTGCCTTTTGAATTACGTCATTTTAAGAGCCGTTCGCTATGCTTTTTATATTAAACCACAGCAAGAAAGGCAATACATAAAATAAGCGCATACTTAAACAGATAAGAAAAATGGCGGCAAGGATTCACCAGCTGCCCATATGCGACAGCTGACGGCGTGTCGAATCTGGGATTCACTCTTTGTTGTTTACGTAAGGGCAGAGTTTTTGCGCGCCCTTTGATATATTTAGTGTTCGCGTGCCACGACACGGCCACTGCCATCCATAGCTATGCATTATTGATGTTTTTCTATATAAGAAATTTAATTTCTTTTAACGATGCGCAGAATTTAACTAAATTGAAGGTGCCAATATAGTGTGATCCTCGAGATTTGAGTTTCCGGTAATTGCTAGTTACACAGCTGTTACGTTACTATAAGAACATAATATTGGTACTTACCAGTAGTTAAGCCAGCGGCACTGAGCTTGGGGCTACCTTCGACCTCTCCCACTCTCTTGCGCTGCCAGTTCGGTAAATATCCTACGTTCGGATAGGTCCAGCCGCACGTGCTTTTCTTAAAATCGCAGGCTCCACAATCCACCTCGTCCGATCCGTCCTTGCAATCCTTCACAAAGTCGCACACTTTGCTTGTCGGAATCGTATCCCCATTGCCGCAAGTAAAGTTGTCCAGAACCTCTGACCCTGGAACTGGAGAATCGTACGTCGTAATCAAAAGTTCTGCATTTATTAACATTTTTAAGCGCGTTGCCGATTATTCTTACTGTCCGCGCTCGCGCTTATATATATGTCCTTACTAAATACTTTTAGCAGTGAGCGTGTAATGAAAATTCAAAATCTATAAAACTGAACGTTTTATAGACTCCATATTTTACAGGCGGTGAAAGAAAAAGTCTAGATTTGTGAAGTTCACTCCTATTAGAATGTTTTTTTGTAGAAATGCGGTAATAAGATTTCAAAAATGCGTTTCTCAGTATAAGTCAACGCTTGCGAGAGGGAACAGATGAAAAAAAGGTGACGATAGCTAAGCTATTCAAGGTCATTGATGGAACCTGTTTCTCGTCTCTGTAAACCGCTTCGTCGCAGTTGGAAAGGTGAGCCCCTTCAATTTAAAATTATAGTTATCTAGACTGGTTGGAGTTTTCGTTTACGCAAGAAATAGAGGCCATATCTTCAGAACGTCGGATATTATTTTTTAGAACAACCCCCAATCTTAAAAAATTTGCCCGTCCGTCCTTCCTCCGCACACTTCCTGTAAAATTTAGTGGAGAATTTTGCCCCAGACCACGTAAAATCACGTGACGAGTACACCAATATAGCTTCCACGCAAAACATATCCGGAAACTTGATATCACCTGACCTAACCGCCAATCTAATTTCAGCAACAAATTTAGCTAAAACATTGATGTCACATGACCATGCCCCCCGAGTATATACCAAATTCAGTTTCCCCGTTAAACTACACATGATTTATCGTCGCGTGACTAAAGCGCGAATTTAGTTTTCGTCAAAATTAGCTTAGGAATTAACGTTGCGTGAAAGATGCACCCTCAGATTTCATGCTATAATTTGACGAACAAAAAGAAGATAATAATATAAGATTTTTACCTGCAGAAACGACTTTTAAAATCTTCGAAAGGCATTTAAACTAGTGCTTTTTAGATATTCCATTAATGCCTTATAGGCCTTTTGAAATGAAGGTGGCTCCCAACTTTTATTTCAGAGTTATACGCATGACCTACTTTGTATATTCTCTGTAGCCGAACGCTGCATTTCGTTAGATCTCTACGTGTGTACGCCAGATAAGCTGCAAGCCCCAACATAATGTCTGTTTTTTTTTTGCGGAGCACCTAGGTACCTTACGGGAATTGTTTCCATGGAGTAAAGATTATCGTCAGTTTTTGAAGGTGCAGGCTTAATTCAACCGGTCAAAAGAAAAACAAAACTCTCATGGAGAGCTCTGCCACTAATTTGATTAAGTTCGAGTACATTTCATTTTGAATATCCACACGGAGGACTACGTTCTATTTGTAAAATATGTTACAATTTTGTTAAGCTGTACAATAATATAAAGCACCCATTTGAGAAGTTTTAAATTGTTTTTTGTCGAATATCACAAAATAACCATGTTTTCCAGACACAGGTGCATTGGTGAATACTTTGCTTTTGATTACAAATGATTTTACGTTTATCTGGTATAAAAAATTGTAAGCTCAACGTAATCTCTATTCCTGCAGCAAAAAGGGTAATTGTTTTTTTTTTTTATTTTGACGAACAAAAAAATGTATTATGTTGAAGGAATTCTCATTTTAGCAATATGGCACAAGTCGTGGCTTCTGATCGATATTTTTTTTCGAGTTATAGAGCGCAGAAGCGCCGCGGTGGAAATGAGCGTTTTTCCTGATTGTTCAGATTCAAATGTTTGACTCTTTTTTCTCTCGTGAGTTTCGCCTCTTCGTTCTTTCTTTCTATGTCTTGTTCTCTGTGGACACCGTTAGCAGGTAGAATTATATTGAAATATTTCTAGACCTTTTTATATTTTTATAGCAATAGCCAAACTCATTTCTCAGATACAAACTTGAAAGTATAAAACAGAGAGGACCAGGACGGGAACAGGACAGAAAGATGTCCTGTTCCCGTCCTGGTCCTCTCTGTTTTATACTTTCAAGTTTGTATCTATTAACCAACACGCTCGTTTTCAACTGTAATCATTTCTCAGCTCAATTGTTTTTGCAAACTTCGACAGTATGCTGTCGACCTACTTAATTTGTATTTGTATTTTTATGTCCATGAAAAAGCGCGAAAGCAGCTCTCCGTGAAAATATAAAACTCATTCACTTGCTCAAGACATGTCCTTCAATACATTCACATAAATATCGCAAAAATAGAAAACAAACATGCAAATTTAAAGTTTTTTTTTTAAATTTCTGTAGGAAACATAATTTTATACCAATAATCATATTTCATAAATGTAATACATTGTTCGTATGGCCCCTAATCCCCAGTATTGAGAAATGTGTGTTGGCATTTTTTTAGCTAGAATAACAGGCATACCTATCGATGTTGGGCGTGAGTTTAAAATATATTTCTACATCTCTCGGGCTATAAATCCAAGCTCTGATAGTGGAGTCAGTATGAGGTGACAAGAACCTATGTTAGACGTATATAAACAACTCCCAAAAATACTAGTTTTGTTTTGTCATAAGATACTGAAGTTAATCCGTAACTCGCAGCATTTCACGGGACTGCACTCGTTGCTTCGTCTAATCGGAAAGGCTGGAGACAGCGAGCTCCGGTGCTGCATTCTCCAATTGCGCTCCTAGTCGTTGGACCAGTATGGCCCCTGGGGACCTGTCCGGGGCCGAAAGTAGTCATGGCGTGCTTTGTCACGCGCATGTAAAACAAGCAAACAATTAGGCGCATAATTATTTTTTATTTTAATATTATGCGCGCGATGTCCTGATCGGGGTGTCTCAGCAACATTTTTTTGTTCTCGTATTAATCAAAGTTGGTCACAATATCTTCGCGTTATAGGGAAAGTTGTGTGCAATGTGTTCCTTTATTTGAGTGTCACCTCTGATATCATTTTTTTTCAACGTAAATATTTGTTTTCCACCGTTTGGGCTTCATTATGTCGCCTCACAGTGAATTCACCACCAGGGCGCGGACATATCCCTTCACAAATATACCGAATTATCTTATCAATCACAGAGATGCCGAAAATGAATAAGGTTGCCTGTTTTTCTAGCTGAATGCGAACATGCATTTCAAAATATTGGGCTTGAATAAAGACTATACGAACAAGATATTACTTTTAGAATCTCTCATGATTTCTTCGATACTCTCTTTTATGTGAAAACACACAAAAGATTATGATTTTAAGTTTACTTTTTTTTTATTTTTACGATACTTACGTGATGGCATTGAAGGAGATAATGAGAACAACTGAATTAATTTGAAATCGTTGTAAACATATTCCCTTGAACCTTCCATAGACATAAATAGTATAAACATCACTTTATTAGGTCACTAAGAGCAGTCCGTCTAGTTTTATTAAAAAATATATCAACATGTATTTGAATTCAGCTATTTTAAAAAGTAAATTACCTAGAAAGTTTAAACTACATTAAGACATTTTTGTTAATGCGACATAGTTATAGACACACATGAAAATCTTGTGGTAATAAACACCACGCTAGAAACTTCACTTTCTACCGTGGCCTCTTCTGCGCTCCATACCTTGAGAAGAAAAAAAACCTGAACCCACGATTTTAACCTCTAATCATTAGGACATTCCTTACTGCATATACTATTTTAGTCAAAATTTAAAAAAAAAATACCTCTTTTGCTTGCACGATAACTAATGAAATCACCTGTAGACATACTTTTTTTTCTTTATCAACAACGACGCTAAATTCATGTGCATAAATTTCGGCGCCAAAACATAGAGCAAAAAAAAATCCTATAAACATTTTCTCAGACCAAAAATAAAATTATAAGACTTGCCCATGTTTTTGCATAGTTTTTCATCCACTAGAAGGTCATCGATGGCAAGGAACGCTTTTTTGTCATTTCCGGCCGACGCAATGATCCTTTGCTGTTTCGAGAAATGTATGGACACATGTATTTTAGTTTGAAATTGCATCGAAAATGGAAGGCATCATAATTACAGGGATGAATTCGGGAGACACGTGGAGCATGTTTCGAGCCGACAGGGTTGTGTATTTACGAGCTCTTCTGAGCTCAGGATAATGGTAAATGTTGAGCATGTTGTCTCACTCGCCGAATCAAGATGTTTTAGACCTCGCACAAACTGGAAGAATCGCTACGGAACTTCAAAAATATGTTAGGTGCATTTATTATCAGCATCACATTATTTCTTTTTTTAACGAGAGGTTCCTAAACATCAATGCACCCTTTATCAACCGCCTTTATTTTGTAGCCTTACATCTTCGCGGCACTTGTAGAGTTTCAGTGTTAACTAGAATGCTGACAACTTAAGGTTTGGCAAGGTGTATTTTTATGTCGGTAAATTCAATTAACCTGAAAATGGAGTATGTTATTTATCTGGTGTTTCTTTTCTTTGTATGCGTTTTTTTTCGCCGGAAATATTTTTAATGCGGTATGTTTAGGCCAACAAAAGTATAAAAAAGACTTGTAGTATTTTACCCCTTCAATATAACCATATATGCACCCATACGACTCATAACGTATAACACCATCTCAAAAAACCATATGACATATTGCAGGCATTTTGCTAAATGAAGCTCCCACAGGTCAATTAGGTGTTTCCCAATGCCCTGCCAAGCGTACTTTCCTCTGAGATGGCACACAACGCACAACATGCTTTCACTCGTTTCTTTTCATTTTTTTTTATTTCTAATTAGCGTTATTTTAATTCAATAAATAGGGCCCAGAGCGCTGACCACATCTTGAGTGCAGACTACGTGTTTGGTTAATTGAGCCAGGCAATCTTGTATTGCATAAAAAGGTGGAGTCCGCCCAAGAAAAAAAAAAAAAAAAACATTTGTAATGCTGTAAACGACTACATTTTTCCGAGGACCTAATTTTCGCGAATTTCGTGAATCGCCCACAATTCGCGAAAAATACGCCCCGCGAACAACTCGGGCAATATGTGAAAGCTACTGAAGCTACACTAAATTCGCGAAAGTTAGAACCCGCGAATAATTTCAAATTTTCAGCTTTGGCCTGATTCGTGAAAATTTGAGCCCCCCAAAATTAAGTCGTTTACAGTATTTAGAATTTCTTTTCCCCATGGGTCCCCCTACGGTGTTATGGGATGTAAATCGTATGCTTACATATGTGGTTGTGGTTTTTTGTCCTATTTTGTAGGAAGAAGCTGACAGTGAAGTCGTTGTACATACCTCTCCCGCCGCAACGAGGCTAAAAATAACTCGTTTCCATGATTTGGTTGGCGAGTGAAATATCCGGTTTTTAACATTCATGATGACTCCATTTGGGCTCTTGGAGGAGATGAAGTACCAAAGGGACCCGCACTGGAAGCGTGGCTGACGGAGCACCAGCGACGCGGAATCCAATTTATTTCCCGTGCTTCGGAACATCAGATAGTAGCCTGTGGAGTAGCATATAAAATCAGGTATTGCGTCCACTTTCTTTCTAAGAAATTGTGTAGCAGTCTACGTAATGAAAAACATCGTAGTAGAATACGACGCTCTAATTTAACAAAAAAAAAATGAAACAGTCGTCTAAAGATTTCTCGAATTAAAAGCGGCGAGTGCGTATTAGGCAGTGAAAGCACAGTACAGTATCAATAAAAGAGTATACGACGTTTTTGAATTCCACAGATATTTTAATTGTTTATTATAAACAAAACTTATTTGGATTAACTCGCTTAGTTACAAGCTCAGAAACTTATATATCTAATGCGCCGCCCTGCATATTCGTATCAAGACGGCCTTACAGCGCAACATTTGTCTGAACCTTGAGCGAAAACAAATTTTGGAGAAATTTCCTTTCTTATTTTAGGAACAACTGTTTGCTTTTTTGCTGTAAAAATAATTTTAAGCGAAAAATATGGCAATTATATGGTCCAGAAAAAATTATTTTATTACGCTCAAGCTCGAAATGTTTTTTTTTATGCTGAAGATCTTTTGTCTTGCACTTGTTTACTTCAACGAACCCTTCATAAAAAAGAAGATATATTACACAATACGAACTCTGGCAACTCACCTAAGGACAATCTCAACAGGGTATTCAAAATAACCAAACTAATATATTCAGTAGCTTTTTTTTATGAATGTTTAACTTATACCTCGTTTAACATCACAAGAAATTTGGAACAGAGCTTGCTGAAATTTCTATTAACAGCTAATGCGTTTAATCAGCCGATTTTTATTAAAGACCTGTAACGTTTACTTGTAACTGATAGCTGTAACGAGAAACCTGTCGTGTTAACCAGAGGTGCGTAAAGACGTCTGCGAGCCGGGAGGAACGTGGAACATCGGCATTTATCTGGAACGTACTCTAAACGTTGAACGTTGTGTCAAAGTTGCTTACTTCAAATGTGATATACCAGTGTTCGACGTCATACGCGTGGATAAGCTCGCCGAGGAATACTTGAGGGATACTTTTGTTGTGCTCCTGTGTTCTGTGGGACGTTGCCATTAGCTTGGAGAGGCAGACTCACTCGAAGTGTCCTACATTCTTGCAGGCGTTGCACTTTCTGCCTCTTGCGGTGCATTGGGTTTGTGTGCTTGCGCAAGCTGCCACACCATTGGCATTTCCACGGGAAACTGTTTGAATGCTCTTGATTTTTTATGTGCTTTAATCGTGTACTGTTTTTTTTTGTTGCTGTTAGCTTGTTAGTATCCTTTCAGAGCTTCTCGATTTCTCTGGATTCTTTCATATTCCTGAGCAGCTCCGTTTGCTGTTGTTTCACCGTCTCTGACGATCGTGCTGACGCTGTCCCGATTTCTATGTGAGCTTGTCGTCAAGCTGGAGTTTTTCGCTCAGCTCTTTGTCCGGAAGACCTATTATTTCGCGGCTACAGATGAGTTCCTCGCGAAGTAGTCCATATTCGCAGGAATCCGCCAATCTGTGTCAACCTGGGATGAAGGCCTCGACTTCCTCGCCAGGTTATCGCTTCCACGCGTTAAATATAGCTCTCTCGAATATGACGTTTACCCGCGCAATAAACTGGGCATTGAACTTATTATTCACTACTCCGTAGTCGATGAGCTCCGCTCCTGACATATAGAGCGACTTCAGAGCACCTTCCGCTACTCTCCATAGCGTACAGGAATCTATTTTCCTGCGTCGAAGCGTCACGGAGATGGGGACCAGAAGTGACCCGGTATCGTTTCCACCGGGAGATCTGCCTCTACCACTCGTTTGGATCCCTGAAATTCAACTTCTCCGCTTGTTAAACAGCGAAGGGGTAGAAGGAAAGAGGCCTGCCGTTGCTCCGGCAGGTGGAAGGTTCGGAGCCGTCACTCTTCCCGTTCATGGTACGGGCCTGGAAGATTCAACTGTTCTCGAGAGGCTTCCTCCATATGTAGAGTTTTTCGCTTCTCACGGCCTCGGAGGCGATGAAGTCCGGTGCGGAAACCACCCTGCCACCATGTCGAGTTACCGAGAGGCGCGTAAAGAAGGCTAGTAGCAGGGATGAACTCAGAACATCATCATTTATCTCGCACATGCACTGAACTCTTGATTTCATTTTCCTCCACACTAGCGTTTCCAATCACGTACTTCTTTATATGACAAAACTAACACAAAAAAACGTTACGTCCATAGGGACCCATAGACAAGTACTGCAGTCCAGGAACGAACAATAAAACAGGACAAAGCGCCATTTGTTCTTTTATCCCAGTATTTTGCAGCATAAGTTTGTAATCAATAACCAACTAGCACAACACTTAATTTTTTTTATTTATATTAATTTAATCTCCTCGAGGATATAAACTGACAATCTTGATATTGGAAACCAATTGGTTCTCCTATTGGCTTGCAATAAGGTGGTCATGCACTTTGCGGACTTTCCTGTCGTACTGCGCCATCTCACATCGCGTGTTCGAAATGTGCAACGAATTTTCGCTTGGCGGTGAATTTCAGGGGTCCTCTTCTTCCACCATGGCAGTGGCTCCAACAAAGCAGCAGACCGCGAAATGTGTGCGAGCTTATCGGAACCGTAACAAACGGCAGGGGCATCAGGATGAACCCTTACCTGGGACCCCGCAGACTAACTCCGATAGGTGTGAGGCCTATTGCACAGTCTGTGCTTAATAGCCTTTGCGACCATGATCAATATTATTTCTAGAAAGGTTTGTTCCGTTAAAATGTTGTGCGGGAAGTAAATTTGTAATCGAGCCAACAGCCGCGATTTTTAGATAAGGTCCGTATCACCGTCTGAGCGTTTGACATGAATGACAATATTGAACTATTATATAACTCTGTAAGCACGTTAGTGCGAGCGAATATGTATTGGCCAGTTTCGTAATTGAACTTCAACAAAAAAGAAGTATGTCTCAGTTGTCCATATACTTATGTCAATCGCTTAACTGCTGAAGGAAAAAAAGGTTTCAGTGATTGACGAGCTCTGGCTTTGAACGAGTAGAGGTTGAAGGATACCAATGCAAAGCTCACCTTCTCCTGAGGCGAGAGTGTGATCCTTCTTGAGAATATCTGACTGGTCTGCTCGCTGTACTTCCCAGCCTTTGTTTAGTCCGCTGGCGTTCACTGAGAAATGTAATAATCAATTTCATGAAAGCCACTACCGTTGCAATGTCAGTAACTAGTGTCCGACAAAGATACTTAATTTAAAAAAAAAATGATTTCTTCAGGAAAGCGCGACATTAGTCTCAATGGGTACATTGAGGACAAAACATTTTTTTTTCGCTTTAACGTCTCAAATCAAAAGCGCGTTTCAAAATCTTCAGTAACAAAAACGGTGTTTCACAAGGTAAAGTCGCGCAGCGTTTTTGTTCGGAAAGTTGGAAAGTTTCCTTTGAGGAACCCAAGTATAGTATTGTAGGAGTTTAGCGACCTTCTAGGAAGTGTAGAATAAATTGAAACAAGGCGTTCTGCAGGATTTACATAATTGTTTGAAAGAAGCCGTGAAAGTATCCCCTATGTGGTCTGTGCAGGAAATGTATGCCTCCATGGTGTATTACAGACTACTGGTCAGGGTAAGTCGGATAATTGCATAAAATTCTTTTTTTTTAAACATTTGTGAGTGAAAAAATACACATGGCTCTAATTTTGAACTTGCTGAGTGTTGTCAGACACCACTCAATGAGTTATTATTCTATACTTGAGCGCGTAGGCATCGTGGTAGTGCGCTAAATTTACCTGTCGTGCAATAGGGGCAAGGTTGTTGGTGCGAAAACGGAATCGATGAGAGACGTAAGCAGCAGGCAGGTGCATTAGCGCACCGCCAGCCTTGCGCCGGCTTCACAAGTTGCAGTGAACGCACATCGGCGCTTGCCAAACGCTTCAACATCCAAAATTTACTGATTTATTAATTTCGCAACACGCCCAAGAGGTTTTAATAGAAAAAATTATTTTGATTTCCACCGATTACAAAGTTAATGCGCAAATTTTAGTTAATAAGCGTTCTTATCTTGATTATGATCTCTTTATTTATGTCCCCCTGGCGATATAATTCACCTGCACGAACCGCTTTAAGCCTTTCGTGGCCTAAAACAGCACGTAACGCCCGCAAAACGCCCTCTATAGTTCATTCGAACTATGATTTTGACACGCAGCCAAAGCTTCGAGTTGTCTCACGAACTTAACTGGTGTTGACGGGACGCAGGCATAGCATCAATGAAATACCTCACTTGGACCCAGTTAGGCAATACAAAGGGCCTAACTTGGGACTAATCTGATGTTGCGTTAAGGCGTAGGGAGAGATCACTTTTTTTTGGCAATGAGTATCCGAACATCACACGTCTCACTTTTCTCTGATAATACCACTAAAGTGTGCAAAGTGCCAGATATTAGCCAAGATGCCACATTAGAACTGAACAGCCAGTAGTTAAGCCTATGTATAGCATCTGACCTGAAATTGAGTCCCAAAAATGCCATATGACAACACACGTCGAGCTGTGAAAATTAACCTTGTCATGTGCCTGATAATTTATGGACAAATAGCCAGGATCTTGCTAAACATTGTCAAGCTTGGTTATAACTTGGATTTTTTCGCACTTCAGGGCCCTGGTCTGCAATGCCCAAAAACGTATATTAGCCCAAAGGACTTTGCTACTTCGAGATATTGTCTTATGTTGACTATCGTTCTATTCATGACTGCTTCAACTCTTTCGCTTGTAATGCATGTAATTACACACCCGCCATTAATGCTCTGTGAAACTGGCCTCTTTCTTACCATAGTAGATACATTCTCATTAGCTTTGCCTCATTACTGAAATATGAAATAATAAACTTTCTAACTTAATACGACATCTGGAAGGTCTGGGATCATCTTTTCCCTTCTTTGTGTGTATCTTCAGGGCTGGGCATTTGCTCGAATAACCTACCGATTGATCGACTATATGCTTTAATCGCTGTCAGTCAGTCAGATCAACTTTCATGGCGCCCAGGGGGGAAGCAGAACCTGGTCAGGAACCCGCTAAGAGGACCCCATCCATCTCCCCCTCTGACGACGGCTAGAAGCCCTTGGATCGCGGTGGCGTCTTCGACCAGACGAACGACGTGTTTTTGCACTTGGGGGTCTGTGCTGAGAAGGGTGGTCTCCCAGCTCCCCGTGTCAACTAACTGCCCCAGTATTTTGTTTGTGTTTGCTCCAGGATCTATCCTAGCGCACTCCTGTATTATGTGGTACATATTAATTAATTATTCGATTAATCGTTTGAATTGAATTTTGTCAACAAAGAAAAGTAAATTTTTAACGCTTTCATTAAGTGGACGTGCACGAGCATATATGAAGGCAAACTTTAGGATAACGTTGACCTAATGTAAATAATAGGCGCGATATTTGGCTTTACAAACAAGTGGGTAAGGTTATATGTCCCCCAGCCACGTAACATCGTGAGAGTGTCCATTTAGCGCAGCAGGGACTATTGTGAATACTGAAAGGAGTTCGCTTTTGGAGGAGAATATCGACGAACATGTATGCTACAGCTGCTGAAGTAATGCTTTGTGAGAGTGGGTGTCTTTTGACTGTTTTCAAGCTCAGATCAAGGTTGATTGAAAATCCGAAATTGTACTGCGCCATTCATTACATATTAAACAGAGCAAAAGATTTCATCTAAATATTTTTTTTGCGATTTTGCATTTGAATGAACGAAGCTGATTAATTGATTAACTAATACATTAAAGATTAGCAATTATTCGGGTTAAAATGTTTAATCGGCGCCCAGCCCTAGTGTATTTAAATCTCAACCAACGCTTTGTTGAATGCTCCCAAGCAGTTAACTGGATATGATTACCTTTTAGCAATAGAGTCTTTTTGAGTAGTTAGTTGTATTAGTAAATCTTTCCTATGCGGCTCAATAACAAGCTTCATGCGCGCGTAAAGAACCAAATAAACCATCGTATAACAACCAGGAACAAAATACATCATCTTAGAATAATTATATACTCTATTGACCTGTTGATATTGTGTGGTTAACACGCTGAACGCTCCACTCACCCGTAACCATTTGTTCCCATGGTACACAAATGTCCTCTTCAAAAGTGCATAGCTCTATAAAGTTAAACACGCACCAATGTCAGGAATGCATTTTATAAGGTTTAATATTTTGGTAGCAGTAATAATCCACGTGAAACTTTTACCACGGATATTTTAAAAACAAATTAGGCATTATCCAAGCAAATCCTGTTATTTATTGTCAATGTAGAATTCTTAATCTGCATGAAAAATTTCCAATTGCCACATCAAATTTGATATAAGACGTGTTTTTTTTTATGAAAGTTCTAATGGGGACCTTACAAATTGAAACAGAAAATATTCGCTAGAAACCACTGACAGCACGAGACTATAGTATTATCACAATGAAGACAGGTATATATATATATATATATATATATATATATATATATATATATATAACGGGCATGGTGGCGGGAGGCCGAAGGCGTGGGTATAAAACTGAGAAGAAAAAAACCCTTAGTGAGAAACAGCAACAACGGACGATTTAATCTTCGACGTTTCGGCCGGAGTCCGGCCTTCGTCAGGAAGACGAAGGCCGGACTCCGGCCGAAACGTCGAAGATTAAATCGTCCGTTGTTGCTGTTTCTCACTAAGGGATTTTTTCTTCTCAGTTATATATATATATATATATATTTATATATTTATATATACGGTGCTTAAGCAAAGGCAGGAGAAATTGCTCCTGTGCGATGCTTAGTTTTAAGGAGCGATTTGGCTTGCGTTCTCTGACATGCGAGTGGTGATAACGCTTTAAGATAAATTTCGCTAAGACTTTGAGCTTTGTTTTTCGTCCTACGAGTGACGCAAATATGTATATTTAAAAATATATTTTCCTTTGTCTGTTGCAAAATTTACAATTTCACCCATGCACAGACAATTCCCCTGCCTTGCCTTCCTGGGCGGCCAACCACACATGGGCTTCGTATGAAGCCGGTAGGTCACGCAGTTCTGATTGATGCCAAAAGCATGCACCATATAATTTAGCCTCTACGTCTGCAACACAATAATGCTGATAATTAGTTTCAAAACCTCAAAAGGCCCGGGTATGTTTGGGTAGATGGAACAATGAATATTGTAAAACGATTGGGACTAGCGGTATGGGAGTTCAGAAGGGCTTCAATTCAAAGTTCTGTCTTTTATAGCGTGTCCGCCCCCCCCCCCCCCCAAAAAAAAAGACGTCATTCGTCTTTTTTTATTGCAAGTAGACTTTGACAAACGCTCAATTTCTACCCAAATTAACAATGTTCTCAAACTTTTTGTGGGAAAATGGAGCCCGTGTCGGAAACATGTGCCATTCGGCACCTTGTGCTCCAGGGTTTGCCGGCTACCATTTCACCATTAACAAAATGACAAATGTCCCTTTTAAATTTTGAATAAGATAACGGTCCGTTCTGAAGCGATATATTTGGACATAGTCTTAGCATTAGACGATCGCCAGTTTTATTATTGTTTTTTTTTTTAATTAAAATGTTCACAATTTTGTGTAATGCGAAATTAGAGCGCACCTCTTGAGAAGGAGGAGGGAAGGGATAGACAGGAAGAGGGTCCGGCTCTCTTCTCCCTCCGTACCCTTTCCTCCTCCTCGTCCTCGCGTCCTATCAGAGATAAATTTGGTCTAAATTTTCTGCTCAATTTAGCGAAACTTCTCCCTGGTGAATTTAATAGAGACATATTCGTGCGAAATTTAGCGTAGAGTTAGCGAACATTTTTTCACTAGATTTAGCGAGAAATTCAGCGGGGACATGTCCCCGCTAAATTTAGCGTGATAGTTAGCAAAAACGTTGCCGCTAAATTTAGCTGAAAGTTTATGGAAAATTTCCTCACTAAATTTAGGGGTTTGCTTTACCTGCTAAATTTAGCGAGAAAATTGCGTTGCATGATCTCAACACGAATTCAGTTTCCCCGCTAAATTTAGAGGGGAAACTATAACGTCCCATAATGCAACGGGCGCGTTTATGCCAACGCCAACGCCGCTGAACCCGCTCTTATAATTAAACACAACATTTGTTTTGGGGAAGGGGGATTTTGCTTAAGTATTTGTTTCATTTCGTTTACAATTGTTGTTTTAGATTTACTAATGTTATTTTAATTCTAGGTATATGCGCGTGAAAGAAAACTATGTGATCGATTGTGGGCAAAAGGCAATTCTTGATTTATTACCACTACTATTGTTATTAATAGTATACTTATAATCAACGTCGCTTACCCTCAGACGGACATTCCCCTTCGGTGAACTCAATGTCGTCAACCATCACGCCAGATTGTACCTTAGACGTCGCTGACACGGCTTCAAATGTGAGCTATAAGAAAAGATAGAAAGTGATCACTCTCCCTATTAAATATCTGAATACAATAATCATCCTACACCAGTGAAGGCGTGATTTAAGCACACTGATTTTAAATTGGAGTGGTCGCAGAACCTCTTACATGGCATATTAGTTTAATATTACAAGAATAGTGTTGGAGGCGACCTACTAGGACATAGAATTATGAAGCACTTTATATGGATCAGTCGCATATAAAATTGGTATCATGCAAGAATACCGATGCGCCCTGTCACTTATGGAAAATACTAAATTCAACCACTGATACGATCGAATGGCAAGTTGGGAGTGCATAGAGCGCCAAACACAGACGTCACACATTTTTCACGACAATACTTTAGACGTAACAGGAAGCGCTTAACACAATTTTAATTCACTATCATTTATTTTAAAACGTCGTTCAATCGACCCCATGAAACAAACTAAAAATGAACGACACAAATTAGGTTTTAAATTACCCAGGTTTTCCTATTACACCAAAAACAGTCTGTGCCGCAAAACAGCGTGCAATTAAAACCGCTCTATAGGTCGGAAATCAAACTACGAAGATAATTAAGTAGATCTGGTGAAAAGAAAATCGCAAGGCAAACGACAATTTTTGCGGCTTAAGCATCATTGCGTCATTACGACTGGTACCGGTGGAACAGAGCGAATATCCGTTGCCAGATGTTTTCTGTTCTCCTTGTTTCACAATTATTATCTGCTTGCTCACATCACTTTCAGCGTTCGCTGCACTTAAGTCGAAAGAGTACAGGGAGCTCAATGAGCGATTTTTTGCAAGCAGCATGTCTTTACACCAGTGGAGTTTTTTTTTTAAAGCTTTAGCATGATAAAGTTTGTTTTATGAAAACCCGTCAGTCTTTCGTTTGTCAGCGCCGTCGAGAAAGGCAGGAAGGGGAAAGCGTGTCGCGTGCGACGTTCCCATTGATCCGAAGCGCTGACGTCAGCACGCGTCAACCTCTCTCTCTAGCCATGGTGCTGACAAACTGACAGACACCGCCGGGTTCTCGTCAAAATGAGCGTTTTCGTTTCATCAAAGGAGTGTCACAGGCGCGGAGCCAGAGAGGAGGAGGCGCCGCGAAGCGGTGGAATGCGGGCGTGCTCAGTTGCCGCTGTGCCGTCGCCGGATGCTCATTGCTCTGGCTTTCCGTAGTAGTGGTGCGTGTCTCGCTATAACGATAAATGTGGTTCCCTCAACGAGTGATATGAAAACGGTTCCTTCCACGAGTAGAATGGATCTGTTTCTTTCCCCAAGTCATATGGATGACCGTATCTAAGGGCTTCGACGTACTTTGACAGGCAAAAGCAGAAAAGGGATGAAAATTAAAAACATGATAACCCATTCGTGAATTCCTAGGGAGTGCGTTAACATAACCCATGGCAAACGCCACATATGTCTCTCTTTTGGAAATGCCAACACTGACCCCGTCACGAGGCCAAAAAGACGTAAAAAGAAATACGGGACGTAAAAAAAAAGCCAAAAGAGAAAGCGAAAACAGAAAAGTAAAGGGGTGAGTGTTAGCGACTCCCAAAGCGAGACGTGCGTGGCGTTTCCAAAGGGTCATGGTAACGCGTTTTTTAAGAATGTACCAATAAATCTTTCTGCATTTTTTTTATTTGTGTCTAAATTTTTTGGGTGTGTTTTTTAAACACCAGGCGAACGGCCTCCCCTGGCCAGAATTACGTGGCAGGTTCATTGTATAAATTAGAAGACCCTTTGTATAAAAAAACGCTCGTTTGGAGTGCGTAATAACAACACCAACATTTACAGCGTAAATGAATTTTACTGCAGCGGTACCAATTTATTTTTAGGATAATTTCAATACAAAGACACCAATAGAAAAAAAGTATGTCGAAGATGCAATAGCGATATATTTGAACTCCACTGCTCATGCGTTCTTTAAAGAGTGGTAACTGCACTTCGACATTCTTCATGTAGCCTCGGCTTATTGCCGTGTTAATCCCAAGCCCTTTCAACAGTGAAAAACAAACTGCTCTGAATGAACCTCCCATTATACATCGAAGTGATCAAAGTCCAGGCTGCAACGCTGAAAGTGATGTCGCAAAACATGTTTTTTTTTTTAGATTTAGCTCTTTTTTTTGCTCTTGAAGCATTCTCATGAATGTATCCAAGGGATGCTGCTTTCAAAGGTACACAATAAAAACAGAGCACAGAAAAAAAAGCAGGAACCTTGTAGTTTGCACGCTTGTTTTTCACTATGAATTAGAACAAAAAAGTGCTATTATCTGCTTATTACCCTCTACAGAAAAATTATCGGAACCTGTGGACTTACTAAATTCTTAGTTTTAAAAAAATCTCTCGCACTACGCTTTTGTTCGACTAAACATCCATTTTGAGTTTGAGTAAACGGCAAAAAAGAAACTCAAGCTTCTCTTACTTTCCAGGTTAACTTCGAAGAAATGGTGACGTATCGAACATTCCACCAAAGTGGTGTAGACCGGGTGTAGACCGATAGGATGGGGTCCCTGAGAATGGTTTCCTTCGTGTGGCTACGTGGCAAATGGCGAAAAAAAAACAGAATCAACGTCATTACTTTTAGCGTGGAATATTTCCATCGTACACACTGAAATTGCTTAAAGGCGGCATTTGGATAAGAACTAATTTACTCCCAATGTGTTTAAAATTACTATAGACACCTTCAATTTAGTAACCCAAATTGCAAGTCGGTGTTTTTTTGTTTGTTTTTTGCGAATGCATTATATATTGAAGTTCGGTCTCAGGACCAAAGAGGTTTTACCGGCCACACTGAAACACTGGCGTCAAATGCAGTGAAATGGCGACAAAATAGCTTAATCCCGAGTGGTTACAAGAAGTTTCCTGGTGTGAAACTACGTTCGAATACCTCATTCTGGCAAAATGAAACAATAAAAGAGCGCAAAACGCTGTGTTTTTTAGACAGCGTGTTCAACTTGCAATACACCTATTGCTAAATTATACACGTATCATTGAGAATGCTCTGAATGAAAGTCTACGTGCCGCACGCACAAACCTCCCTCGCATGAGGCATTCGAAGTGAATAAAGAAAATGCTGCGTTAAGGAACGCGGGTGCCATATGCCATTTGTCTTAGGATATTCCTTTATAACTGTCACTGTTACAGTCACCAGAACGTGAGGCGCGTATACCTACATTCCCAGCATTCTCATTGGTGCATGGACAATTGTAGCAATAGGTCAAATATACATGTTACGTCACCTACTGAGGAGCGCAGGAAACTTTTACTGTTAGGCTTGGCGTCATCTTCAATTGCTTTTTTTCTTAATACCTCTTTTATACTAAATATTTGTAATATCTTCCCGGGAAGAGTAAAGCACGGGTATTCCTAGAACATTTTGAATTCTGTATATAAAAATACATCAGAGTTCTATGGATTAAAAGAATTCTGTATATAAAAATACAACATAGTTCTATGGATTCTATGAAAAACTGGCGTCAAATGCATTGAAATGGTGACAAAATAGCTTATTCCCGAGTGGTTACAAGAACTTTACTGGTGTAAAACTACACTAGAAAACCCTTTGAGTTTTTCAGGTTGTAAATTTGAAGAGTCTTTGATGGTGCCTTTCTGCTTTCAGTAATACATCGTTCTCTCCACGAATTACAGTCAAAATATAAAGAATGTCAAATTATGCCCAAAAATAAAAAGGGTGTTGTTGGTTTAAGGCTCCGTTATTTCAGAATTTTAAGGAGGAAAGGAAAAAGCAAAAAACAGTGTTTATTTAGCTTCCTTCGTGTTCCTTATAGACAAATACGTTGTTTACAATCGAGTTCTGCCTTTTCCCTCACGAAGTGTAGCACGAATTGTAGCCACTGTGCGTGGGGCGAGAACAGATCTGCGTAAAGTCGAGAGTCTCGGTGTGCGCCGAACCGACAGCAGCGCCACCGCAGTGGTGTGACGTCACAGCCACGTGGTTTTGTAGGCCTATATATCTACGATGTACTCTGAACGCTCAATGGTAACAAAAAATAATTCTGGTGTTTTGAAGATACGTCTCACGTCCGAGCCGAACCGAGCCTGCATTGTCAAGGCGCCCCCAAAATCCCGTGCTGTACGTTGACCAACGTGGGATTGGCAGGAAGCCTCTGGGATGTCGTGAAGATGTATATTTCTTTGTGCGAATGTCGCAAATTGTATTGCTAACCTTAATTGGTACTCGCTATGTTATAATTAATTGTAATTGTAATACAATTGATGAAATGTGCTATCATGAGCTCTATACCTTGAAAAGGATTAAAGATGGGGAAGTGGCAGCACTTCTTTTCGCTAGAGATTTCGCTCAGTATAACAAAAGCAAACGAAGATATTTCCTAGTCTTTGACATAAAATGTATTCTTACGTTAGAATACGCTTAGTTTGAGAAGTGGAACTCGCCTCCTATTTTTACACCGAACTGTGCAAGCTCAGCACAATAAACCTACGATTTATATAACCCGTGATATTATTTATTTGTTTCTTAAGTATAGAGTCTTCATTTTTTTTTTTTGTTCCTCGGAATAGACAGGCTTATCCTGATATCTGCGCAATATTTTCCCATATATCGGCTTATTGTTCCTCTTTGATATTATTTATTTGTTTACTTTTTTTTATTACTATGTTTTCATTCACCTAACTCAGTAGAACCGCTTTGCTACGTTTTTTCATTTTAAGTTTGCATTTATGAGATTTGTATTTTCGTAAATGGCGATTTTTAGCGTGGCCTAATTAGCTAAATGCTGGAAAAACAAACGATTCACTGTTATCATTACGGGTATAAAATAGATGTAAAATAAAAGTAATATTTTACTCGAGTCACTATCAGCTCATGCCCATTAAGCAGGCACTTGTACAGCCGCTCGTTTTCAAGGACAGCGCATAGCAAGAAGTCTGAACAATTTGTGTGTCTCTATGGACCGTCACTGACTTCACGAAGCCCCGGTGGTGCTGCTGTGCGTATTTCGCATGCAAAAACGCTTCTCTTTGAACGATTTGTTTCGTTTCTGCTCAAACGCAGTGCCCATACCTCGTGTGGACATGTCCGGGCTTGTTTGCACTCTCATAAAAACAGTGTAGTCTTACATCTATTGGCCTCATATAATACGGCAACAAAACCTCAGTGCGACGTACAGCGCAATGACGTCTAACTGACGGCCCCAACTTTTAGGAGGGGCTTGATAACGGTGGGATATAACTTATTAAATAACTAAAGTACGTATTTAAAGACTAAAAAAGGTTTTCCAGTGGGCCAAGAAAACTCCAATTACTAATTTTTCTAGCCAGTAACACTTACATTAGCTATTTTAATAAGTTGTACAACTCGGCTTTCATGCGACTCGAGAAAGTTGGTACCGCCTGTTCTGCCCCAATCCGCTGTACGTCGAACGGAAGGTCAGGGGTGTATTATATCGCAAAAGTGGTCTAAAACTATGGCCCTTTTTTTACAGCGTATAGAATGTCATGGATGAAAAAAGAATAAACAATTAAAACAGGGACAACACAACCACATCTTTCACAGAATGTGTTCGCATATAAATGATAACCTTGACGCTATTTCAGATTTCCGGGATGTCAGTCGCTTCAGGGTAAATATAGTTCTTTTACCTTCGAAAACCTACCGTATCCAGACTCACTTTTTTATGTTATTATATAATAAGCGCACGCTAGGGACACGGATGCATTATAGTGATATTTGTAACAGAGCCAACGGCCTTACAGGTAGATGTTCAGGTTACTGGGCGTTCCAAATCCCTTCCACCAGAAGGTAAGACAGGTAGCTGGGGTCGGCTTGCGCTCGGCAAGAAACGCCCTCGCTTCCCGTTGTGCCGGATCCACGTTGGTTGTGTTTATATACAGGTAGTTTCCTGGAAGTATAAACCATTTATAAATTACAAGAGTTTTCACCTTACGACTGTGCATAAGAAGAGCAATCCTCACAAACACGTGTTTGGGGAGTCCGAACGAAAGGTCGCATTACGAGCGCGCAGAAATTGCGCCATGAAGTTACAAAGAATTAGAAGAATATCCATTTTGAATACTTAGGGGATGCGTTAGCATGACCCTTTGGAAACGCCGCACACGTCCCCTTTTGAGAAATGCTAACGCTGACCCGCCTACGTTTCTGTTCTGGCTTTCTTTTTTACTTTTTCTTTTTCCTTCCTCTGTAGTTGCTGCCCCATTTTTGGCCTCTATACGGAGTGAATGTTCGCGTTTTCCAAAGTGGGGCGTGTGTGGCGTTTCCCAAGGGTAGTGCAAACGCATACTTTACGAATAAACCTTTGGATATTTGTGTTTGTTTCACCCCTTTTTGTACTCTATCTGTCAAAGTTCGACGACGCCTTTTCACATGGTCGGCCATGTCACTAGTGAAAAGAAGCACATACATACCACTCGTGGAGGGAACCGCATCCATCGTTCTAGCTGCACACACACATCAGAAATTGTTAAAAATTACAAAGGCAATATTATCTTGAGCTAGAGCCAGCGAGTGACTCAACGAGTTTACGACTGGGAGTTCAAAAAGTAGATTGGTCGCTCGATAGAAAAATGGGACTTGGTCGAGACGACGAAGCAATGGGGGTTGGCATAATGGCGCACCGCTATCCATGTAAATAATAAACTCACTTTGTTTTTATCTAAGTCAGTTTGTAAAGGCTAATAATGCAACAAATGAGTGGTTCCCGAAAGTCGGGACTACAAGCCAGGAGCGACTCTCAACGAACAAGTAAGTTGCTGAAGGAGTGGGCTCCAGAACTGGCCTTCGAACGATCTGAGTGACCTTCGAGAAAACGATCAAGTGAGCCGCCCGTTCAATTGCTCTGGTTTCCCTGTTGAAAATTCTCATTTGTATGAGAAATTTTTGTGTCCAATAAACACATATGAATCATAAAAGATATATAAGAACATATAAGAACCATATAAGAATTATACAAAAACCATATAAGAACTAGATGAGATATATAAGAACATTCAAGCGCCATATAAGAGACTTGTGAGAAGTTTCTTATAAGTTTCTGATATGGTTCTTATATATCTTATATAGTTCTTATATCGCTCTTGTATAGTTCTTACATGGTTATTATATGTTCTTATATATATTGTATGGTTCATATCTGTTTATTGAACGCAAGAAATTTCTCATACAAATTACTTTTTTTCATTAGGGTTACTTGAGCTATCATCGATATGAAACGAATAATAACTAAAAAGATGGCTGGCAGTGCACAAAACACATGTATCATCGGAGAGCCGACTGCGATGCTTCGTACAGCAGATATTGAAGACATGGAATCGATGCTGCGGAAGCTAGACGTCAGCTGCGAAGAGCTAAAAAACTCAACATCGAATATGATTCATTATTGGGGGTGAAGACTATCAGGCCGAATATCTGTCCGTTAAGGAGCACCGAAAATACACAAAGTTCGTTTTCCGTCTGTTTCAAGGTCGAGCGACGCAACTGCGCTCAAAAGAATATCCGCGCCCCTCAGCGTCCACAATTGGCTCCCGCATTGAATGAAGAGAAAACGGGGGACACAATGGCTTTAGACTACCCAAGTTCCAGCTACAGTTGCGAATTTTCGGAGTGGCAGCCAGTTTTTTGACAATTCAAACTAATCGTACAGGACCACGATCATCTGTCGAACGGCGAGAAGTTCCATTGCCTAAAAACGTTAGTGAGCGGACCTGCAAGAGCCTCTGTCGCTGGTCTCCAAGTCACCCATGCGTGCTACAACGACGCAGTAGACATTTTGACGCGACACTTTGGAGACTTTAGACGGATCCAGCAGGCGCCTTTTTTCAAAGCTTGGAACACCTATACTGGTGTTCTCCTCTAACAAAACAAAGGGTCTTAGAAGGCTTTTTGGCCAACTGCAAGCCCATATGCGAGATTTCAGAGGTCTTGGCATGTCCTCCTATAAGCTAACAGCTGCTAACATATATCGTAATCAAGGCTCTTTCGTCAGATATTGTGGTCGACTACTCTCGACGAGCTAGTCGCTCAGAACCGACAACAATCTTTCAAGAGGGAGAAAACATGACCGCGACGCCGTCTCCACCCACATTATGAGATGAACGACAGCCGTCAACGTTCGGTACTTCGAGCACTGCGACTCCTGTGAGATAAGCGGAACGTGCTGAGGACATTCCAGAAGCACAACGACTTCCCGAATGCGTGTTGGAAGCCATGCTTGATTCCCTACTCACCGAGATCGAGAGCAGAGAGAAATCGGGAGTCAACGATGATCGCCCGCAGAAAAGTAATAGCCAAAATCAACAACTTAAAAGTGCCCCCTTACCATCCTCTTTAGTTCCAGATGCATGGCAATGATCAAAACGCCAAGAAGTGCTTCTTTTGCGAAGCTACAAAACATGATACAGAGCACACCAATGATATCTCTCAGAAAGAGAAGGAACAAATCTTGCTGGGGAATTGAGATGTTTCCGGTGTAGACTAAGCGGCCTCCGATCAAAGGAGTGTCGCAGGACGTTGTCCTGCACTTCCTGCGAATGGCGACATGCCACATCCATGTCTGATTACTCCTGGAACCCTTCATCAATTATCCCTAAGGTAGAAGTCTTCATCACTCGCGTTCATAGCACCGGCTATGGCAGTGCTGCTGACTTGCTGGGTGCTGAAGCTCTTTTACAGACCACTCAGGTCCGGGCGGCCGGATATGGGCGCTGTGTCTGCATACGTGCTATCTTTAATAACGGCCGGCAACAAATATATATTCGCGAAGATGTTTCAGGTACGCTGAGTCTCCCGGTGCTAGGTCAGACCATTCTGTGTTTGAACACCTTTGGAAGATCGACCTCGCTATCAAAACAACAGCGGCGCAGCTCTTACAAGCAACACAGTATATATACAAATAAAACACAAGAACACAGCGAAATTAATAAGAAATATGTACATTTCTAAAGCAATGAGATGTCTGGCAGCATTTCTACACAATATTTTATACGTGCTCGAAAATATATTATCTTATTATTTTTTAATGCATTTGCAGATCTTTATTTAGTTGCTATATTGAGGATTTGTGGATGAATATTTAAAATTTGCGTTAATTGCTGCTTCAATGTTTCTTCTTCATAAGTAGTACGTATTTGGCCACTATCATATTCCCCACGTCTAAAGTTGTATACTAATTGCCAAAGAAGTGCCGGAGTTCGGATTCACTCCTTTGCAGTTCGGCTTTCATCTGGCTTCTTTATGGCAACAATCGCCGAAGGAGTGCCAGAGTTAGGATGACTACCTAGTTGTTTGACTGACATCTGACATCTTCAGGCCAAAGTCCCCAAACAAGCGCCAAAGTTAGGCTTCACTTCTTGATAGTTTAGCTGTCGTGAGGCCAGCCCTGGGCATAAACTGCATAAAAAATGCCAAAGTTGGGCTCCCTGCCTTAAAGTTCGGAGGTCATCAGGCATCTCCTGTCCCAAATAAGAAAACACGTGTCGGAATTAACGCCCATTGACACACTCTCGTTTGGGAGTGACCAACTGAGACAAGTCTTTAATCATTTTGTATCGGCTCAAAACTGGCTGAGCAGCAATTCGGCCGGTTACAAGTCGTCACAAAGGCCTTGTTTCCGTCCGCCGAAGTCAAGCGCAAGCTTGGGAACGGGCCTTTAACATTTTCTGCCCAGTGGCACGCGTAGCATCTAGTATCCTTGGACCTCAATTCTCTAACAAAATGCGAAACTAATGAGGGCAGGTCCCGTCGCCACTGGTTTATATGAGGTTTAGAAACAGATGACCGATGAGTTATGGGTGGTACGCGAGTGGACAGCAACCTAATTAAATAAAAATCAAGTCTAATTCTTCTCGCAACTTTTTATTTCACTTTGAGTGTCTTTTAATTTCTTCAACCCAAAATTGGGTTGAACGTTCTGCCGCGGCTAGACCAGACAAGGGTGGTTCTGCAAGCGCAGATTGCGGGGGATTGTTGTTCTCGCGCGTAGCTACACGCGCCAATATCCGGACGCGCCGTGAGACCGGTTCGACGTTACCGCAACTGGTGCCATCGAGCGAGCGCAGCGGAATACTGATGTGCGAGCGTCTCCTCAACACATGCCATTATTAGGCCACGCGTTGCAAAAGTGAGAGGAACTCTATGCGTGTCTTACAGTGCGATTGACAACTGTAAAGTCTTGCGATAACAAAAAGTAGAAGCGGTCGTGGCTCCGTCGTGCCGCGCTCACTTCACACTCGGGGGAGCTAGAATGAAATCAAGACGGTGTCGATTCTTTTTTTTTTTTTTTACATTCCAAGTTTAGGCTACGAAACACCACCTTTGGTCTTCCCTCTCCTTAAAAAAACTCAGTCAGTCAAAAATGAAGAGGGAGTTTAGCTGGATTTTCCATATGGCTTCGATCTCGCCGTTCGTCAAGCCTCCCCATCTGTTTTTGTGTCTTCGTGTGGCCGTGAGTGAGTGTGACGGCTGCTTCAAGAAAATAAGGTGTGGAGTGGACAAAAACATCTGAACTAATATTTGACGCGTGACTCGCTCTGACGCGCTAATGGGATCACTTGGGCCGTAGTTTTCACCTTTTGCCACGTTACAGAGATGGGTGGGGGGCCACGCAGGTCCGGCTCCCGAAATGCGCTTTTAAGTGTTCTGTTCTTTTCGTGCGTTGCTCATCCGGCTGTAGTTTTTCATCGTAAAATGACCGGAACACGTCAAGGACAACATTTAGTTCATGCCTGTCTTCTTAGAATACAGAAAAAAATAAAGCGCATGAAGGATGAACACAGACACACAGTTGGAAGAACTGTGTGTGTCCATATTCGTCCTTCATGTGCTTTATTCTTTCTGTGTATTCCGTAGTTTTCAATGCACTCTGCTACGTGTACCTGTCTTCTTCGTCGGAGTCCATAAAATTATTGTACTGTGTTTGTTGCAGCGCTTCTAAAAGAAGCTGCTCTTCACCGACATTCATTTTACTCCACTTTGTGTTCGTGCTTGTCTCGCTGCCAAGTCAGGACATTCATATATAACGTAATACATGGTATCGCTCTTTTATTAGTAAGTTCCCTGCAAGCATGCTTTTGATAGTAATCATGATTTATTTCAGTCCGCACAGTGTTTCGCATTTGATTAGTGAGTTTTGCGTGACATGAAAGCAATGTTAACTCTATTTGATAATTTGCTTTTTGTTTACAAAGAAGTATAACCTTTTTAAACATGCCGAGAATAAGCTGTGTGTAATTATAGTGGTTAAACAAAATTCTGGATGCAACAAAAAAATCATTTTTCGTGTGTGCAACGATGTGCAACAATTAATACGTAGCTGCATACAAAGAAGACTTGCACAATGTCCGGCCGTTCCAAAGCAGACGCATCAAAAAGATTCTCACGATATTGCGCCAAAACAAGGCAGGTGGCGAAACAAAACGAGGTCAATACCTGCCGCATATCGAGCGGTTGTGCGAAACTAGGCATTTGGCCGATAGCGGAACTGATTTTCGGCCGCTACTGGCACGACACTGCAAAGTATCGTCGCGCTGCTTGGGAACGGGGTTGGTGAAACCTGACCATCGTAATTTGAACGCTTAATTAATTTTGTTCAGGAGCGCGTGAAATAACACTCTTAATGCACAACGGAGAAATACTGAACTTCGTCAGGCCTGTGTTTTTTTTTACTTTTGGCACATATTTGGCACTCCAGTGGCTAGTCAGAGAAGAGTCAAACGTTGGCACATCCCAAATCCCAAATGAGGTGTTACTTTGTTTGTTATGACTAAAGTATGGCACTTATTTCGACGCTCCTTTGGCGGACCAGAGAAAAGCCAAGCTTCTCTTGACAGCAACCCTACATTAAGCTTTGCTTTGGCATTATGTCTCAAGCACATCATTCATGTTGGCACTCCTGCGGCGAATCAGAGAAAAGCCAAACTTTGGCCCTAGGATCGCCTAGCTAGGGCTACAGTTAGGCAACGCATGTTGGCACTGCCAAGCACCATAGAGGATAGCCTAACTGGGGCCAAGTTAGGCCCTTACGCCTGCCAGAGTTTTTCCAAAGTTGGGCGTTTTTCTGGCATGCTACCTGGGTTTCTTTTGGTTTTCCAGATGTCCTTCGTTCGTTTGACACATATGTTGAAACACGCCGACGCCGTGCCCTCGCTAACAGTGAACGACGGTGCACATAACAGTATTCATGAACCTGACTGAATTAGTCCAGGTGGTAAAGTTTTAACACTATGATTAATGCCATGCTTTTGAAAGGAAAGTGCTGTAGCAGTTCAATTGTTTCGTCTGCCTGAGTGAGAAATGTTCGAAACTACCTGGTACGTACTTATTATTTGCGATATTTTCTGTTATGATCAAGCGCAGGGAGAAAGTGCACTCACATTTTCCGGTTGAAAAGCATTACCGCAAGCCAATTTTTGACTGGTTGTTGTCTTCTTCAATATGCAGCAACACACAAGCGCGAATTAAAGTTGTAGTGTGCGCTATGGCAACCTTATATCTGGGACATGCCAGTTAATTGGCAACAAAAACAACGGCAAGGGAACGCCCGATGAGGTGGCAACAAAGCACGCGCTGTGATTGGTTGACGTCTGTTGTAGATAAAATCACGTGGGCGCATTTCGAGGGTAAATGAAATGACGAGGTGCGCAAAGCGGAAGCGCACTTGCATGTCGTATTGCTTTAAACAATAATTTATATTGCGTTTTTTTAATACCATGTTTTTCTTATTTGTTTATTAATACTTCACTCCAACAAGGGCCCTTGCAGGAGGCTCTTAATACGTAAATAATAAAGTGACAATAAAGAAAACAATCGTTTTCGAAAAATTGATGAGCACTCACACAAATCAAGGATCATGGCCAGCCAATAACACCGATATTTAAGAGCGGCTGCACACCTTGTGAGCAGTTTTATAGGCGTCAGCGATACGTATACGAGCTACATTCGTATTCTTTATTTCATTGCACATGAAAGATCCTTATCACAAAAATATAGGCCTTTCTTTCTAAATGAAGAAAGGACAGAACAACGTCCATGCAAGGGCTAGTATGTACAGTCTCCGGCAATATGAAAGACCCACTGGGAGCGCGTGGCCGAGGCGGTGGCTGGCGGGGGCGCTGCGAGCGCTCCGGGCAATTCCATTCTGCTTCGAGGAAAGGACGCTCACTCGGGCTCAGCTGAAGCGAAACGCGCTTATCAGATTGTGCTGAGCCCCGAGTGAGCGTCCTCCCCTCGAAGCAGAATGGAATTGCTTGGAGCGCTCGCAGCGCCCTCGCAAGCCACCGCCTCGGCCACGCGCTCCCAGTGGGTCTTTCATATTGCCGGAGACTGTACCTCCTACATTATCTTTCATATGGCACAGAAGTTATATTATGTTCACTCATGGGACTTTAACATAATTATAAATTAAAGACACGTGGAAGCCAAGCCAGCGACCTTTTATATGAAATACAATAAGAAAACACTGCGAGTGTGCAGGCGTGCAGTTGACAGTTAATTTTTTTTTTGTTTATCATCCAGTACTGCAGAGGAATAATGAGCTTTCAAGCCGAAGAGAAAAAAAGAGGAGTGCGATGTCTAATATTCCTTCCTTCTATTCTTTCTTTATTACGACACGCGGCTTTCCTGTGGCCTTCTCTTTAGCTTGAAAACTTCTCTTCTCACCATAGAATCCAGTGTCAAACTAATTTATTCGTTATTAACAGCCTGTGGTAACTTCTCCAGGCTAAATATCCTTGACGAAAAAAGAAAGAGGACAACATTTGTTTCCAAACTATTTAATGTAACTTTCATTTAAATTTACCAGCTAGGTTTTGTTCAACATTCTCTCTCTTTCTCGAGCGACGATTTGCTTTCTTTACAATATACAAAGGTTCTACATATCCCTAAGCTACGTGTAGAAAATATATCGTAAAAAGGAGTTTGCGTTACTCACCTTCAAGGGAACGTAGGGTGTGGTCAAAAATATTCAGGCTGTCGCTCGGTGCAACCTGCCAGAACCTTGCGCTCCCGATTTCTCTATAAACCCGGCAAAAACTGCCCCACTCGAAGGTACACTTGTCTGTAAGGTGGAGAAAATACATAAAATGATAACAATTTCAATATTGTGCTTTTAACATTCCGTTTGTAAAAGCGACCACGGTCTTGATATCAGGCCCACGCGTAATTACTTCGTAATACAATTGGCAGCTAGGCAAACGATACAGTTATCACCTATAATGCAAAATTTCGAGTTTAAGTTTAAAAGACACAGTCTGTAAATACATTCAAACACGTCTTTGGTAAACCTTTATTCAAAGGTATGCTTCGGGTGAATGGACATATCTTCTCCTAAGGATGAGCACTAAAAAACAAAAAAAAAACAAAAAAAAAACAGTCATGTATGCTGAAACGCAGAGAGATATTAAAGTTACGAAAAAAAAGTAAGCTGCTGTTTATTTGTTTATGAATGATCATTTGCTACAGTAAAACATATCGCACAACTCTACACATTGATAACGTTTGAAATGTGCATATAGGCATAGTTACGGAAGCGTGTTTGCTTAAAATATTGTTCGTGAACAATTAAAATGCAATTAAATTGTGCAGTCAAAGTATTGATTCACATATAAACTAGAAACAACGAAACCAACCCCAAACCTTCCCCAAAAGTGAGCCGACTTTTGTCTCTCAGTTGAGCTCCGCCGTATAGCACAAAGCGTTTTGTGAGCTACTTGGTGTCCTTACAGTAGATATTAAAAAGTGTTTTATTAACATTTCGGTGTCTTTCTCTCTGATTAAATGCTACTTGCACTCAAATGCGGTTGTTTAGATCTCAAATTGCAGCAAATGATGATTCTACTCGCCTTTTGCGCTAGATTCACCCAAGAATTCTAAAATGTGGAGTCTCGCAAGTGTTTTACAGGTTTCGCTGTGGCCCATTTTGATTTCTTTACACGACAAAAATCTCTAACTTTCTCTGAGGACAGAAAGTGCATGCTTACATTTCGGACTTTATTCCGCAGCACTTACACAAAGTTTTGAACAGTAAAAATGGCTAAGTCAAGGTGGTAAAGTTCGTGAGCATTCCTTGTTCTTTAAGGGCACCACCTACTCAATCACACGTGCTCCTCCCGTGTCCAGTGGCGGTGAAGATCCATCTTGCCGAAATATATGGCTTCTGAGAAAATTAGTGTAGTTGGAAGCGATTATTCTGATGTGCCACCACTTGGTCTGAGACAAAACTCAGATTAGCACACATATTGTAATGTTCTTTTACATAATCTTCCATCGACTCTGTGGGTAGAAGTCAATGAGCCGTGTGGTGTGTCACGTAATTACCGGAATCGGCTAAATTTTGCGTGCTATGTGTACACGCGGAAATACACAGGTGAAAAAAAGACAAGAGTTGGTTTTCCACTTGTTTAGCTTCTATTCGATTGGGTTGAAAACCGTCCAGTTCTCAGCTTAATCAAGGTGGCAAATGAATACTGTGGTAGGTAAAGCTCTTTTTATGCCACGTATTAGACTTCTCCCCACATCGTGGACAGAACAATGTTCCTATACGTCTCGCTCCACGATTTCAATACCTATAGGAAGATCGAAGAGTCCATAATATGTTTGATGGGTTAGCCTGCAGCCCATAACTCGAAACATATGTCCTCGTCCTCATCAAGATAAACCGAATTTGTCAAGACATTCTGTATCTAAAATCTCTTTTCGCACTAATATGAAAAAAAAAAATCGCATCCCGGAGTGCTGGAGATGTAAAGGCGCTTGACGACCACTTCATTAAATAAGTCCCTAGATGTATTTGACACTGTTACGAGAGGCAAGCGGAAATTCAAGCGATAAATGCATGCATGCACGCATCATGCTAGGGACCTTTTTTAACCGGTTTGTTCATCCCGCGCAATCCGCAGGCACTCTCATGCTACCATACAGGAGCACTATCAAACTCCACCTGGCTGGTCATACTGTGTATTAACTTGCGAGGGACAGCAGCGGATGCTAAGAGGCGTTGTAGCCAAACTAATGTGGGGTGAGCGCCAGTAATCTTCCGATTACGCTCGGGGGGCAAATTCATAGGCGAGGTTAGGTGTCATTTTTTTTTTTTTTTTGTTTTGCTTCTAGGTAACACATAACTCAACGCGCTAGACTGACTGAGATAGCTTCTAGGGCTCGCTGCAAGCCTAACTAACGTGAAACGATGTATAGCAACACGGCGTCGGATATCAAGGGTAGGAGATGATGGAGCACCGCGAGAGCGAACCTCAAATATCGTCTTTGGTTACGGGCGAAAAGAAAGGAAAAAAAGGTTGAATAAAATAAGTCTAAAATAAAGCTGAGGAAGAGCAATCAGCATCGTGTTCCACATCCTACGAGTGAAATAAAATAAGAGTCAAAACACAGGCCAGCTTGCTACCTATCAAAATTTAAAACAAAATAAAAATGAAAATCCTTGAGACCTGGAAACAAATAGGGCATGCACACCACATGAGTGAATGTGAAAATCGTTACCTAGATAAAGGAAGCAGACAACTTTGCTAGGCAAAAAAAAAAAAAAAAAAAAGACTAGTTTCAGAGGGTGATTAAGGACACGATTCCGATCACGGGCGCCGGAAAGTTTATTAGGATGCATTCTTCGAATTTGGACGAGGACACTAAAGCCTGGTTGTCTGATTAGTTCCAAGTAGGTTATAAGTCGAGTATTTCTTTAATGATTTTTCTTCTGCAAGCTTTCAACATTTGAAAACTGCCTTTTGACCTGGGCTCAATGCTTATTGTTTCTCGGTGTTTTGTGTGTGCCTGCCGTTATTTTAGGACATGTATTGTTTAGCTGAAAGACGACAATAAAGACGACGGCAAAGAAAAAGGCGAGAAAGATCAGGACTGTGTTTTCTCGAGGCCTCGTTAGGGTGGAGGATGTGCATGCTGTTGATTGTGTATAATTAGATCGCAAGTTTAGAGGGAAGACTGTTGTGGAACTAAATTACTACTTTATGATATGCTGGTTTTGAGACTGTGGTTTGTATTTCCTACTTGTTTCCTTCTCTCAAGGGTTTTAATGTTTAATCATATTTGTAGATATCCTTTTCTTATCCCCTGTAACTTCCAAAAACATTTTCCCTAGAGTCGACGTTGCGCGGCAAATCCCCTATAACGGAAACAAGTTGGCTCGTTTTTAGGCGAGATTTGGTGACTTTTTTCTTGTTTCCTGGTACAATATGTCTCATTATTTTGAGGCCATAACTTAGTACATGTAAATTAGAGCAGATTTAAAACAACACAACTGAAATAAAAATTTTTTTGATTATTTATGCGCAATTAAGACATATTTGGGAAATCATCTGAATTCCCTTGTCAATAACGCAAGAACAAGAAATGATAAAAACATTTTCATAGCATCGTAGCTTTATTTAGCAATGCACATTTTATATACGGTAAAGAGTAGTCACAAAAGCTGTTTGATATGAAATAATTTCCGAAATCTTCTTTTAAACGTGTTTGCTTGGCGTGTTTCATAATGTATTTTTAAGCGTTGAAATATTACCCTGTAATGCTTTGTACACTTAATGTGAAATGGTTTTAATAATAAACACAAGACGTTCTGACGGTTAAAGAGCTGACGAAAAGAAAACAGCCCACCGTAAACGGGGATTAAAGGAAGTGCAAACAGAACAGCGCTTGTCCTGTTTGCACTTCCTGTAGTCCCCGTTTACTGTGCGAAGTTTGCCTTTTCGTCACTATGAACCAACTAACCCACATCGCCACCCTTATTCGGTTAAGTGTTTTTGCATAAAGGTAACGGTGGTGCCAACTACCATAAAACAACACCAATTTCCACCTTTCGAACTTCTCGATTTCGAATATCTGCCTGAAACTTACCTACGGCATCAATAGCAAGCTGACTATCCCATCCACAGAAATGACTTGCATGCAAATATTTGTCAAAAAACGAAAGATCTTTACAATTTCTGTAATGCCGAATTAGGGCGCAGCACTTCAGGAGGAGGAGGGAGGGCACGGAGAGGGTGTACGCTCCTCCTCCTCCTCTCTTCCTTTCCTCCCATTGAGCGAGAAAATTTAGCTAAATTTCCTGCTCTATTTAGCGAAAATTTTCCCGCTAAATTCAGCGCGAAAATAGGGAGTTTTCGTAGATTGTTTTCGCCGTCCGGCAACACTTTTTGCAACCCGCTACGGTACCCGGAACTCTACAGCCAAGGCCATTGGCGCGCAGGCGCACAGCGGCTTCTTCCTTGCGGAGGGCATAGCGGAGGGGAAATGCGGTCTACAAAAAGCTCCCTAATATTCCCGCTTAATTTAGCGAAGCATTTACCATATTTTTTTCACGAAATTCAGCAGGAAATTTAGCGAAACTTTTCTCGCTAAATTTAGTGCGGAAACTGAGTTGGTGTTGAGGTTACGTGAAACCAGTGTCAACGCTAAATTTAAAAGAAATGCTTTTCCGCTACCTTTAGCGGAAAGTTTATCCACTAAATTTCACGTGACGTGACATTCATTCACGTGACGTCACATAGGACGCCATGTGTGACGTCACGAGCGTAACATTTTCTCGGTAAAAATGACGGGAAATTTAACCGCGAAATCTAGAGGAAAAAAGGGGCATGCGCTGCTTCCGTGCCCTCCTCTCCTCTTCAAGAGTGGCGATTTAAAACGGCATTACAGGGTGTTGTAAGCGTCTTAATTTTTTTCTTGTATGTCACGCAATTTCCAGAGTGCCATGCATGAGCCAACCACTGCCAACAGAAAACCAAACAATTCGCAGCGAAGGCTCAAAGTTACCAAGATAGAAAACAATAAACAAACCATAACTGGGAAATTTTTTGCGTATTTTCGGGTACGGTACTCGTTATTGCGATCCTAAAGAAAAACGTTATATCCCCATGTAAACAACGTGTAATTTTCTCGTTATTCCGAGTACGTTTTCCTACGAAGCGGAAGCCGCCCTTTCGTACGCATCATTAGTAATTCCTTGCTTTTTAACACTTTCACACAGGGCTAACTGTGAATATTCTGGACAACTTTGTGTATATCTTTTTACGGCCCATCTAGTGATTTCTTGTTATAAAAATAAGTGGCGCGAGCTGGAGTGAAAACTAGGCGGTTACTTGCGTTGTACGCGCGCTTCTCCAGAAGTACCTAAATACATTGCTGGTTACTTCGCCAGTAAGTCGCGGAAATGCGTTACAGTCTCTGTTTTAACAAAAATAGCTACGTTACTTCGTGACGAAAATGTAAGTAGGTACAAGTAACGCAGAACGTTCAGGAATGTTTGCATGGTGCGATTGAACTTAAAGGTATGCTGAAATTTCAAGTGTATACTAATTTTCAGGCGTACTGTAAGCCAATTAGTATTATTCAAAACTTTCTACCTCTTTAGTGGTTTTATACTCAAAGCCGAATTGGAGGTCCAGTGTTTATATAGCGTAAGGTCGGTCAACCGGGGTGGGGCAGCACTGGTTTAATACTCTAGATGAGCAATTTTGCCAGTGCTATACGACTGCTAACCTGGGGTCTTTAACGTGCTCACGCAGCAGTAATACACGACCGCAGGCCGGTGTGATGCTTATCCAGATAAAAACGGGCAGAGGTGTAACCCGAACCCAGGATCCCTGTTTCCGCAGAGCGAGCTGCCGCTTCATGCGCGTCGTGCTGTATGTGCGCTTTAGCCCACTCGGGCTAAACCAGGGCGATAATGATACCTGGAGAAGAAGAACAAGCTGAAAAAAGGACAAAAACAAATCTCCAAACAAAGCTAGGTAACTAATGGGCGACAGAAAAAATCAACCTGGTCCTGGTATCGGACCAGGAATTACTCCAGCACCAGGCTAGTTTTTTTCAGTCGGGCACTAGTCACCTATTTGTGTTTGGAGATGCGTGTCCATCCTTTGTGCCCCTTGTTTCTCTCTCTCGAGGAACTAATATAATTATTCTGGTCCGGCTCGCTTCCACCTTGGTATTCATTGCATTTCCATAATGACAAAACATGTAGTCATTTTTTTTAAGTCTATTCAAAAGTTAGTTGCACAGCCCTCTATATACGTACGCATCGTTGGAGCTAGGGAACAAAGCTGTTCCATCTGCTTGACTGATCCCCAGCCCCCTTGCGGACATGTTTAGGAACATTACCAAAGTCGAGATACGTCTCACGGCGTAAATATCGAGCCATTTTGTTTAAGCATATTATTGTGCATAACTTTCATTTAAAGGCACTTATTTGTTTACACTTGTTTTCTTAGTGTCGATTCGCAACATACTACAATTTCGGTTCACAGAGTAGGGACATGTTTCTAGTCGTCCCTTACTAAAACAAATTCTCGCTACGTAAATATTGCGTTAAACATTTTTAGGGGACAGTCTATCTAGTGTATATGTATAAAAATCAGACTTTTAAAATTGATTCTCGAAAGCCAGTATCTCTCTAAATCCGTGTTTTGTTTTTCTCACTCCCTTTGTAAATGGAGATACCTATTTTGAAGTTATAATATAAGCTGTATCAGGTTTAAAAGCGCAAACAGTCAGGGACAATAGAAAATAATACAAACGACAGGGACGAGGCGCTACTCTCAACTGATTTGTTGTAAGGCCGTTCAACGCTAATATGGACAACTCATCTAGCGTTTACATTTCAAACAACGCCAACAGCGGCTCGCAGCCAACAACTGCACGCCGCTTTTAGAGTCAACAACGTTCTTGAAAAAAAAGCGAAAGAAACAGAGCGGGAGATTATAGAGGCTTTCTTTATTAAAAAGAAGAATGACAAGTGCATCAGCGCGCCATCTGTTAACCTCCTAAACAAAGAAGTGACTTACCTAGATGGGTGTCTGTACGGTGTTTTATTGGCTGTTGGCTTTGTTTGAAATGTAAACGGTAGATGACGTGTCCATATAAGCGTTGAACGGTCTTGCAATAAATCAGTTGAGAGTAGCGCGTTGTCCCTGTGGTTTGTGTTATTTTCTATTGTCCCTGTTTGTTTGCACTTTTAAACCCTAGCATACCATGGACCAACTAGCCCAAACCAAAGTATTAATAATATAAGTGACTTGACTTGCATAAAAAATAGCTCAGTGCGGCACATCTGGTAATGTGCAACAAGCATTTTTAGATGAACTTGCTACATGCGTTGCAAATTATTGAGCGGCTACACTCAAGTAGACTTTGTCGTTAGAAGTTCCTTTTTATTAGCTTTGCGCTTGGCTGATACATTTGTGTAACACGAATGTCTGGTAAACTTATGCAACCACTTTTTAACATCCTGGGACTGGTCTAATAAAATATTATTATTAAGATACATTTTTATAAATAGTGTATTGATTCTGTATATTAAATATAGTAAAATTGGCTCATTTTTGTAAAACTCTTGTCACTTGCCTTAGTTTATTGAGTGGAAAAAAGAACAGAAGAAATAAAAACTGAACATCGAATTGTCTGAAAACACATTTCGTGGAGATATATGTTCTTGTTAGTTTCTTAAAAGTTGTATTTTTAACAGGTCGTAATTTAGAAAAGGTACTGAATTAATGTTTACTTTGGATTACTTGTTCTAGATATATTCATACTACAGTAAAAACTGATGATTATAGCTATGCCTTCTGGTTGAGGCATCATTGTCAAAATGATCCAGTTTAGAAATATGAATATATTCGAGACTAAACAAACCGTGTATCGAAATTGGGGAACGTTGTCTATCTAAAGAGCCAAAGGCATTGAGGGTGTTGATGGTTGTGCATGTTTGTGTCTGAATTACAATAACAAAAAAAGGGACATTGAAGACATGCAGAAGAACGTCTGTGTCGTCTCTTTGTCTTCCGTGTGCATCCTTCGTTATTGTAACTGAGTAAGAAGCATTGAGGGGCTTCATATTTTCGGTCAATCGTTCCTTGATTCATTCCTGATCATAGGATGGTAAGGAATGCTTCTTTATTTAAATTGTAAATAAAACCCCAGTGGCAAATTTTATTGGTTCCCTTCTCCATTTTGTAACATATGTAAAAAATGTATCAAATATCTCCCTGAATTTATTGATCTAACTTGGGACATACAATATAGGTCGACTCTCAATCATGTCGCTTCTCTAAATGTGAACGGCAATTTGAGAATATAAATGAAGTTAATTTCAAACTTACCTGGTTCTGGACAGGATCCAGGAGTGATTTGCAGATCATCAAGGGCAAGCAAACCATTAAACATATAGCTTCTAACCGTGATCTGAAAATATATTTGTTCAAGCAATTAATAAGATTGAACTGGAGAATTTTTACTTCTGTCACAAATAAAGTCGTCTCCTGAGATGTTCCAGTGATCTAATATTCGCGTTTTTATAAAATCAGTGTTAGTAAACAGGTCTAATTTCTAGAAGTTATCAAATAAAAAACAAGCACACTCAAACTTACGTTTAATATATATTAGTGAATCGTTCAATTAAATACGACAAAACACTTACTAAGATAATGTTGTTTCTATATCCATAATTTTGAAGGAAATGTGAGTCCTACACACCCATTTAAAAACCTTAACTTTATGTGCTTACAAGACAGTTTCATTATTAAATTCAGATTTGTTTACTTTCCTGTGTTTCGGATATGTAATATACGGGTACCGTAAGTGCCTGCCTTGGTTTTGATCGCTTTCCCAAAGATATTTTTGAAGGTATTGGTCAAATAATTTTACATGCATATTAAACATACTTTATCAGCTGTACTTTAAGTGTTCTGTAATGAAACGATGTTATGCTGTATTATGCTAGTAATAATCTGATATTATCTATGACAAATGGTTGCCTACGTATTTGTACTTCCATGCATATTCTATTACCTCGAAAACTCCAGAAGACAGCTATACTTGCAGTTATACCAAGCTCACACAACTTTTTTTTTTTCACACGCAGCCACGAGCTGTCATTACATAAGTGTTGGACATTGTCATAATATCAAGTTGATTTTTTTCATTATGAAAAAGTAAACATTCAATCTTTTACCATATTGGCTGGCTAAAATACTGGATAAAGCTTCGACAGCTTAAAGACTTAAAAATTTTTAGTAAACCCAATAAAAGCAGACAATCCTATTGGGCATCGTGGGCGTTAAGTGAGCCATTTCTCGCCTCTAGGTGAGCCATGGCTTCGGCGTCCTTTGGCAGGTCATAAATTCCACGCTTTTAGAGATATCGGCGGACTGTTTTTAGGGAATTGTGTTTTTTCACCGGCACGATTCAGCCAATCATATTAACGTTTTTATTCAAAGAAATCACACACGAAATGAAACCTTGAGGTTACATTTTACGCTACTGACACTAAACGGCACAAGAGATGACGGCGTTAAGTAGGCAAAGTCGCAGTTCCCCCGAGCTGAATTTCGCCCCAACGTAAACATATGCAAATGAGCCTTTGACAGAAGTCACAACCTGTTCAGCTTTCTTCTTAATTGATGCCTGTTACATAATGCGGCATTATCTTTTAACACCGTTTTGTTAGCATGGATTGAAAGCGCGCTAGTTGGTAAGTTGAGCACTGCTGGAGGTGCGTACCTGCACGTGGGAAAGTCACATAGGAATATTCACCCGTAGATGAAGTCTCACAACTGGTTCATAGTCCCATCTGTCTCTACTCCGGTTCACATCAGGTCTGACCGCAGATGACGTTTCCATTCAGGGGAGTGAACCAAGCTCCACCAGAAATCTATCCTTATGGCGCTGGTTTTTATATTGCATTTGCTTTCACCGCCTAGACCAATCACGTACAAGATAAAGTGCACGATTTCAGCTTAAAGACTGTGAATGATTTGTTTCATGTAAAATTGCAAACGAGCAAACAAAATGATAACCGTGACAATGGACGTTTTGGCGCTATCAATTTTCCCTATCCGCACCAAGGGACAACTGAGGTCGTGCATAAAGTGAAACGGAGCAAAGCAACGTTTTTGGCAAGTGCTCAAGGCAGTGCATGTCTACTTAAAAAAATAAATAAAAAAGATTGTCCAACGCATTGCAAATTAGATAAACGTCAAGGAGTGAATAGCTACTTGTATGCTCTTGACGCTCGATACGTACCCTATCCCCTTTGGCTGGCATCTGCATTTGGAACAGGGTGTGGGCCCAATGATGGCTGACCGTGGTTAATGGTCGAAAGACCGGATGCAGTTTGACAGTGTCATAGATTGTGAGGCTGCGAAGAGATAAAATGAAGTATTAAAGAAAGCTCGCAGATCCGTAATCACAGGCAGTCTGATGAACAATGCGCACCGCATAAATTTACACCGAAAAAAGAAAAGTATAAAACACCCAAAAACGTTTGACATTTTCATTTAGTCTTATGATTTGTTTTCAATATATCTGGACATTTAAGGCGTCTAAATTATTTTTAAGCTGGTATTCTGACTACTTTTTATGCTACACGGAAACATACGACAGAAAGTACGGTTAATGACACAATCGCCGCTTTATTAAAATGTTTTAGCTTGCGGGAGAGCACTGGAGTATAAATTTACGTGGTCTATTGTGCACTTAAAATTCCTCAGTAAAGCTATGGTCCACATTGAAGTCTGAGTCAAACTAATAATATAGTGTATTTTAGGACCGTGGCCATTCTTATATTTAGCGACAAATTTTTTGCGAAAGTTTTCTTGAGTCGACCCTTTTCATCAGAGCTTAAACTAAGCATTTTCGGTCGAGCTAAATAATTCTTAATTCCAGAGATAAACGCACAGGTTTGCGGTTAAGAATATTACCTCAATAAACAAAAAACAACGCCACCTAGTATAATATGTTATAATGAATGAAGTAGCATTACCTTAACGTTATGATTTGTGCAATGTTGATCCTAGTGATCATAAATTATGCACTCCAAATATTTGAGTTAAAATCACTTATGTTCGACCGCAAAATCTACAATATACCAAATGAATGAATTTCCTAATGATGACTCATCCGAATAATACAAGTAAGTTAGCACGATTATTGTTCATAATATTAGCAATTCTAATCCCTTCCTTATCTGTGGTTTAAGAGTAACGTTTAGACAGATGTCCTGCGATTTTAAGAAAAACAGCATCAAAAATGCTAAAAAGGGCTTCACAAGGAGGCCATTTTAAGATACACAGGTGTAGTTGTGATACATATTTGTTTCGTCATTTCAATGCATTCTATTGAAACACATTTGCGTTTTGCCATTTAATTTCAGGTGTGTATGCATTGTATTACTTTGTTTGCATACAAACACATCTCTCGGATTGCTGCAATTTTAGTCATGATGTCTGCTTCATGGCTTTGAAACCCTTTGAGAGGATGGAGTGATATGCATCACATGTGAACAAATTTATTTCTGGAAACTCATCAGGGCATGGGCATTGACACAACGTAGAACGATCCTTCATCCGATATGCAACAAGTAACTGCAATGTAGCTTCAGGTTCATCTTTTAAACATTAATTTTCACGGATTTCAGTTATTAAAGTGAAAAGGGCGGCTCACACTTGCATCGAGCCCGACCGAGTACAACTACAACGGCCTGCGACCTTCCAGTTGCTATGGCAACGTTTGCTACGATTCCAACAAAACCGCTTTTCACCCCGTTTTGTTGTAGCCAACGCAGCTGTTGCCACAGCAGCCCGTATGTCGCAAGCAGTTGTATTCGCACGCGGTCGGGCTCATGCAAGTGTGTGAACCAACCACAACTCTAGCGCTATCTTAACTTTATGTCGACCCTTGCATATGTAGCTCAATTACTCTCCATGAGTGACTTTTACACGCTGAATTTTACGATTTTAGAGCGCACCTCTTAGGCTCCCGTTTCCGAGCTTCGCGGTGCAAGCGTCGCCGTCGGCGTAACCGCCCCGCTAAATTTAGCGGAAAACTGAATTGGCGTTGAGGTCATGTGACGATAATTTACTTGCTAAACCTAGCGAAGAAACTGAATTTGTTCACGGGTTACGTGGCACGAAGTCATGTGACACCAATTTGACCGCTAAATTTAGCAGGGAAACTTAATCGGTGTTTGGGTCACGTGACGTAATTTCCTCGCTAAATTTAAAGGGGGAAACTTGATCCGCTAATTTTAGCGGGGAAAGTTTCCAGCTAAGTTTAACCGGACGACGAGAGGAGGAGGAAGGAAGAGGAGGAGAGAAGGAGGAGGAGAAGGGATGATGAGCAGCAGAGGAGGTGAAGTTCAAAGGAGGAGGCGGTGTTGGAGAAAGGAAGGGGAGGCGCAGGAGAGCAGGAGCAGGGGGAGAGGAGGAGGCAGGGGAGGAGGAAGAGCAGAGTAGGAGGAGAAGGAAGGGAAGAGGGGATGGAGGTGGGAAGGTGCGGAGGAGCATGGGCATACCCTCCTTTCCGTACCCTCCCCTCCTCCTCCTCAAGATTCGCGGTCTAGTTACGCTTTAGAGATTTGTAAACATATTTCATCATAAAATGTGTCCTTCTGTGCAATAACTATACCCTATTGCAAGAGAAGAATGAATTAACGAATTAATCAGCTCGGTGCTCAACAGTACGCAAATTTACGCCATTAATTTTGTTGATTACGCCACTTGAGATAAACTATGTGTATTTAAATTTGTCATGTTAAATACTTTCAGTTCCAAAGCCTTGACAATTTCACATATCTAGGTGCCCGAAACATTACGCACATGGGGAAAAAATATGTAACGTAGGGATGCCGCTACGCTCCCCATTTTTCACGTTGGCCCCGGTTTGAGATTTTGAAACTCTTAATGCGAGGCCTGACGAAGATTTGATTAAAGTTAGATTATTACGCACATCCGCAGCAATTAAAAAAGAAGCTGACGCCACCTGCTGGGAAGGGGTACAACATCCACCGGGAGAATTGTCTACGTGAGGGAAATTTACGTCACGTAGTGGTAGTGGCGCGAAAATCAGAATGGAGGTAGGACCGTTCGCGGCTGTCGTCTGCTTATATCGCGTGATTCAAGGAGCGGCCAGTCTCTTTAAATCGACCGCTAAATTCGGTTTCTTAACCTATCGCGTTCTGAGTTTGCGCGGTGTTGGCCACCAGGTGGTGCATTTTTTTCTATAAAATTCGCAAAGATTCAGCTTACCTGAGGAAAAAGTAAAAAATAAAAAGGCTTAGCTTTTATGGAAACGCAGTGAAGCCACCGGTCTTCAAACCATAGGGCGCAAAATGGTTTGTAGACCAGTGGCTTCGCTGTGTTTCCATATGAGCTAAGCCTTTTTTCTTTTTTTTACTTGTTCCCCAGGTAAGCTCGCTCTTTGCGAATTTTATAAAACAATGCACCACCTGTGGCCAAAAGTGTACAAATCGGAACGCGATTGGTTAGGAAACCGATTTTGGCGGTCGATTTAAAAAAAAAAAAAAACCTGGCCGCTCCTTGATGTCACCCAGTAGTTATTGGTTCTCATAAGCAACATGGGTTTACGTTGTTTTTTTAGATTAACCAAATATTATTTTTCAGCGGTGAGGCTAAAATATAAGGAAAGAATAGAGACGTAAAATCAGCTCAGGTTGGAGCGATTGTCTCCTTTAAATAAATAAAGAAAAACAGAAATGTGTCCCGACGAAATTTGTTGGAAAACCCACTGGCTGGGTCATGCTATAAAGATTACAAAAAGTTTCAGCGTAAGAGAATCTATAAATGAATACTGGTAAACTGTTTGCTTTGATCGTTAATAAAAACAATATCAGAGCCTTATGCACCTAAAAAACGCATGCTAATTTAAACATGATCACTCGCTTTAATAACTGCGATCACCGCGGCAATTAATGGGTACGGAACCAAAATATTAAGCATGTTAGAGACTAATTTACACGAGAACTCAATTTTAGCAATTAACCTACAACATGCAGAAATATGGTTATGCTAATAAATCAAAAAAATCAATACTTAGCAAAAACAATATAGGCTACCTGCTTCGTTCTGCATGAGTTTAATTTCTCACAAACAGATATTCATATGATCTCAAGTAATTATGTGCAAGCTTACTGTGAGTACAATTTCTTCAACCAAAACGCACATTTTCCTGAACAAATTTATTCCAGATTTTTGCTGACATTTGTTGCCGAAGTGTTTGGTTCGTACTTTCACTTCACGGTATTCAGATCATGGTAAGAATCACGATTTCACTTTATAACTAAAAAAAGGTCCCTGTAGATATGTAATATTACGTATCTTGCGTGTTTATAACAATGGCCACCTGGTCGCACGCAGCCCGCCAGAACGCTTGGATTATTTATCTTTGAGAAAGGGTTAAGGTGTAGCTTGTTCACTTTATTATTTCTTCTAAGGGAGGCGGGGGATATCGCGGTCAAAAGTAACTTGGGCCTTAAAATTAATGCACACGGCGGCATGCGGTCACCAATCTATTAAGACCTTTAGTGCTTTCTTCAAACGTAAATTCGGTGACGAGAATCAATATGCATTCCAAACAGCTAATCTGAAGCTTTATTTGCCTTTTCTCTACCTTCCCAAGGAGGGTGCTTACTTGTTTTACAATAGCCCGCTACCCTACGAAAGCCCTTGTTGAAATTTCATAGCTTATACCTTTTGAAATTTAGCTTTCCTAAAAGAAACCAGAAGTCAGGTGTCCGTAAGTTGCGCAGAGCTGGCAAAAAAAAAAACGATTTCAATGTATATTCTTTTATTGGGCCACTCTTGTGCGCCGACTAGAATCTTTTCCCTATCCAGAAACGCACTTCTCTTTCACATCAAGCACTGACTTGTCCCTGCAATGCAAGGACCTTATGTGTTTTCTTGTGCTGAACGACTACACCAACATTCTTTAGCCCGCAAAGTTTATACCATATTTTCTTACCAACGCGCCCCCTATAGGTCGTTCGAGTCACCAATTGCTTCACATTCAAATGTTGCTTAATCATAAAAGATTTGGGTTTGGTTTCAAATTGTTCCAAATTTTGAATTATACTGTACATAATGTTTTCACCAAGATTTTAATTTGTGCGATTTATCAATGCAACCGAAGGAAGGCACTGGGCCCTTTTTCCCGAAACGTCATTACAAGTTAGCTCACACAGTGGCGCCAGGCGTGCGACAGCGTCACTACCAGTGCGTCTCACAATTCATTCCAACGAGCGCGAAGTGAGCGGTCGACGACACCGTGAATGACGCATTACATCATTCGTGGAACTTGTCTTATTGGGACAAAACTGTTATAAAGATGAACTTCACAAAATATTGCCAACAGTGCGAAGGTCTGCCGAATCAACTTCAAACATAGAATATTGCCGCCAAACCTCAGGTCTCACGAGAGTCTCCGGCATTCACAATATCAAGTACTTACAATCCTCGTGTGTTGGGTAGAGTCCAATGCCAAATAGAAAAGCAAAAGTTGTCGCGAACTTTCTCAGGAATCACGGGGCTTTGTAGGTCGGCTTGCGCATTTTTCTTTCCTCGGGAGTCGACATAAATAAAGCGTCCTGTAAAAAGAAGAATATAAAAGAACATAACACTTTTTAAAACGATAAATCTCAGAAGACTTTTACGTTTAATTTATATTCTGCTGTCAAGCATTCAAATTGGTTATGTAATAATTTTGTGTTAGTAGCCCTTGTTCACAATTTTTATCTAGCGGAAATTTGCAAAATTGTTCAAGATATACAACAGTGTATTAAGATGCTCCGTGACTTTTTCAAAATGAAGCATTTATCAATACGCATTGCACAAGGATCTGTCGGAAGACTACAACACAAAATTTCTTGAATAGTTCGGCCCCGGAATTCGGTGTTTCCCAGAATCGTCAGGTATCATGGCTGCGTAAGACCATAGGAACATGTTCGTTCGACAGCAGAGAAACAGCTAGGTGTTTCTTAAGCCGGCCAAGGAACTGAAAAATCAATTGCAGCGGTGTCAGAACGTGCAATCCGAAGTATCTTGAAGTACTTTGAAAAACTAACTTTGCTCTGTGCCTGGCGGATATTCTATTGTCTCTGTAAATATAAAAGACTCGATTCGAACGAAGTTGTGAGGGTGTCTGAAGATTTTGCTTTTCAAATAAAAAAGTCAAATACTTCACTAAATGCAGAAATTTTGTTAATAGGATTGTCCGGTCAAATTTTATATTCGAGAGAACAATTTAATACCGTTGTTATTGCCTTGAGACGCATCGTACGTGCAATATCTGAATTTTATGTGCCCCCTCTGCGTGAGTAATTGAATTTATACTGCTCCGATCGCATTCTAGTATAAACGCTGCTTTCGTTGGCAGCATTGAAGCTCTGATGTCACAAAACACAAAGCGAGCATTTCTGTCTCGTCTTCTGCCTACGAGTGAACGCCTCAGCGCGCTTCGTTTTTGTTGTTGTGCTCGACATGTTTCGTGGTTGGGTGCCGCAACCACCGGGCAGTAAATGCGAGCCAAGATATAACGTTCTACTCTTTTCTACGAGACGTACAGTACCGAGCAAAGTGGATTGTCGCCGTGCGAGGGACTAGTTTTCCACCAAAATCGATATCCCGTTTGTGGAGGAATCATCTCGCAGAAGACAGCTACGAGCTGAGCTCTGAGCGGACGGAAGGCTCGTAAGCTGAGCTGCGATGTTGTGCTAACGGTATTAAACTACGTCCATCCACTCCTCGCTTAGATCGGATGAATCAATTTGATTATGCAGCGAAACCGAAACCAACAGGTAGGCCATCTGGAAACAATACCAAAAGTTGTATATTAAACGCGTCCAGCCCGATTCTGTTTTGACCCGCCTGTGAAAATGGAGCGTGACTACGATTCACCAAGTTCGTCCAAGTCAAGGGACGACATGCATTTCAGCGATCCGCCGTTTGCCTTCGACAAGCGGACATCGCCCCTCAGGGAACGACCCGCAGCCTCATCACCGCTCCAGCGGATCCGCCGACATGTGTACCCCAATGCCGCTTCAAAGGCGAAATCTGCATTCTTTGATTTGCAAGCGCCCCACGTTCGATCGGTGGCCGCCGCAATTGTGTTTGCGCGAAACGGCATACGTTTGCTCGACGCTTATGGCTGTTTGCGAGTAATATCCTGCTAAGAGGCGTGACTATTTTTTTGCACATGCTGGGGAACTGCATTAAAAGAACCGTATTTCAGTAGAGTACAGCCTAGGAGACTTTATAATTCGCAACAAAATGCAAGACGTCCATTGACCAACGCTTGTTATCCCGGCCATCCGACAAACCTTTGCGTTTTGTGACGTCGCGCAGCACCTACGGATGTCAGCCATTGGCACTAGCGACACTCGGGGAGCAGTTTCGTCTCTACGCTCATGAAAGGTTTAATTAACAACGGGAGATCATATATCAAAATAAAAATGACGTTTGTCTACATTAAGAGATCCCCGATGTAACGTGCGCAAAAACTTAAGTGTTTCCGGTTTTGACCGGACAATTCCTTTAAATTGGAGAGTTTGCTTGGCAGTTTTTATATTGGCTGCCTTTTTTTTTGCCTTCTGGTATTAAACTCAAATTTGAAAGATATAAGCTAAGACGTTTGAGTTGTAAATGAGAAAAACTTATCAGCTAGTATGAGGTACAATCTTCACTTGAAAATAATAATAAATGTAGAGTTTTAGATGTAACTCACAGTCGCGATATGAAACACTCCGTTACATATTGGATGAAACAGGTGAATATGTAATAGCGTCTCTTTTCTTGGCATCAGCGTAGCAGAGGTAGGAGCGAAAGTTGATTTAAAAAATAAATATATAAAATACAGTTTTTAATTGTTTTTTTACAGTCACGCAGCGCAAACTGTTAAGGCGAATTCGAGGCCGATGTCACATGTTTTAAATAAAAAAAAAATACGCTCTTTATGATTCTTCTTTATGTATAAGACTAATACGGCGCATTGAAGGAAGTCAAATCTTGATCTTTACTCTTATTATTATTATGTCAACACAAGCCTGCGCTGCTCAACTTTATATCTCGTTTTAAAGAAACATGATCCTACCTTTTTGCGAAAGTTAATCGACTATTGTCATGTATATGATTGATACAAAGATGAAAAATAAATTAGGCTCGAATTTTTAAACCTCGTCTTAACTATATATTTGTTTGTTTCCTTTTTTTTTTCATTATAAGCTACTTTGCTTGCAGAAAGAAGCACCGTATTCACATTTTCGAAACAAAAAGCCTGAAATTTACCTGTTCGAATAGCAACGTTGCAACACAAACTTCAACTATTGTTTTGACTTAACAAGTTCCGGTATAAAACAATTTCTACAAAATTCATTCACAACTTCAATTTATAGGTAAAGGGAAATACCATTTTCAACACCATAAATAAGCGAGATGCCATGATGTTTTTTGTTTATTCTTTTGTTTTGTTTATTTCCCCGGGAAGATATGTTAAGACTGTTAAGCATATCTTATTTCGAACATGCATCGATACATGTTGTAGAAGGGTGTCCTATGCGCCTCTGAGAGCTCAGACAGGATCATATCCATGCAAGAATGCTCTCTTCTTCATTACTGAAAAATATCGGTGCAGTCTGAATTGTAATTATATACATGCTAAAACCTATTTTATAATTTTAATTTATGTAGACATATAAAGTCATTCTGAAGGAAAGGGTATAGCATGGCACATTGCCTGCATTTATAAGAAAACCTTTGTGTAGTAAATCACTTTACAATGCGAAGCGATTGCACCCTTTTTCCTAAAATAATTCATTATGCTCCTAGTATTGAGCACTCGAAGACGTTTCTTAGAGTATTATTTTTTTCTGTCACTTGTGACAAGATATTGGCATTTAATAAAAAATGTTCAACAAGTTCTAATTTATGCTTGCATTCATAATTTAAAAGTCTTTAAAATTGGTATCGCCACAGTATTGTTTGTAACACAAAAGACACGTTTGGTTTACGAACTGTAAGCGATTTGTGTTTGTTCATGAAATTAATATTCAGCATTTGATATGGTTTACAAAAACAAAACTTGAGCACTAAGGGTCAACTAAAATGCACATCCTAAGGAGTTTTTATTTGTACAGTCGCACGCTATTTACTTGCACCTCTTTTATTTTCGAGTCGACGTGCTTGAAATAAAATTGTGTAATTTAGTCATTTAAATTACAATATATTTTAATATGTAGTATCGAGTCAGCAGACAGAAAGGCTTAACTTAAGTTTGAATCTATTGTATATATCGGAAGCGCTTTTCCGCCACATCGTTTCTTTTCTGTAAAGCAAAATGCAGCGTATTTGAATTCCATTTAAATACCCTAGTAATGGGGTATCCCAATAAGCATATGAGGTATGAAATCGTAAAATAACTTGCGTACAACTTACAAGTGATGTATGTATTTTGAAATGTATATAAGTTCTTAAATGCTATTTTACAAACACTTTAAAGTACTTTTTTCCGATGGGCTAAAGATTCAATGCCATATATAGTGGGTAGCATCTAGCCACCACAACTAAGGAAAGATTAAGCGCCACAGTAGGTCAGCTTATTTTAGGAACACGACTTATTCTATTCACCTGTTTTTGTTCTTTTTGCCTGCATGTAGACATACGCAAGAAAGTGGAATATACTTTAAACGTGCATTTATATGATTCTGTTGAAACACGTTAATTCATACTAAGTTCTGACTCTCAGATCAAGACGCATTTTTAAGAGGGCTCCAACCAGACCTCTACGGTATTCGTGCAAGTGGCCAAGCTACACGTAATCGATATTTTGACTAATGTTTCAATCAGGCGGACACATCACTAAGAAAGCAATGGGAAGAATAATCCAAATGATTTTGAAAACCATAGTTACTTGTAACGTTTCTAACGAGGAATCCTAAATCCTAGTTCCTGACAGCATGGCGGTCTGTCAAGATTAGTGGATCGAAAAGATTAATGGTTTCTATACACCAGCTCAACTCTCTGACGTCACGCCGATACGGAGGCACTCCTTTCGGTACTGTGCATGCGCAGACGCATCCTCTCACGCGAATCCCGTTTCAGGGCACGCGCAGTGCCCAGACACCAGGTGTGGGAAAAATCGGGCTTGCCTGTAAACAGCGCCTTGGTCTATACTTTGTTTCAGCTTAAGCAAAGAGATGAAGCGACGCCACGAGCTAAAGGGACAAATCCAGCAGCGTCAAAAGTACATGTCACCGACTCTTTTTTTATGTTTGGGTCAGCGATAACAGAGCGCGTACAGAAACATGTCGAACACCATAATGGTGCAACTTTGACTTTTTCTAATTGGTTTTCTAAGTTCGCAGCGTCGCTTGCGTGCGTACATAAGGTGAAACAAAGTATTATTCGGTGACGCTGATATAAGAAGATATGGTACAAAAGACCAAATTTCTAAACCAACAGAAAAATCTGCCGCCACGCACCCCTGAGTAATGGGAAATTTCAAATAACTGTCACTTTTTAGTAACGGCCATTTGAGTTTCTTTTAGAGCGCAGCTCTTAGTCGCCCGTTTCCGAATGGAGCACCGTCGCCGTCGGCGTAACCGCGAGCGTTGCATTACTAGACTTCGCAGTTTTCCCGATAAATTTAGTGGGGAAGCTGAATTGGTGTCGAGGACATGCGACGTCAATTGCCCGCTAAATTTAGTAGCAAAACTTAACCCGCTAAATTTCGAGGGGAACTTTTGGATTAATTTCCCGCTAAACATAGCAGGAACATCTTCCCTAAACTTCCCGCTAAATGGGAGGCCAGAAGGAACGGAGGAAGGGAATGTACTGAGGTGGAAGAAGGGAATACCCTCCCCTCCGTACCCTCCCCTCCTCCTCCTGAGGAGCTGCGCTCTAATTTCGCATTACAAAGAATTATAAACATCTTCACTCTTTAAGTGATCACTCAATAAAGTAAATAATTTTTAACAAAGAATGATTATAAATGTAATCGATTACATTTCTTTTTCAAGTAGCGCGTACAAGCCTGCTGCGGGGCTAAAATAAAAGTGTCACGTCTGCATCGGAAATTTCGTAGAATGTCCAGTCGATTCCGAATGAGATAATATTCATGGGGATGGGCTGGGCTGTCAATCGGACCTCTACAAAACGTGTTACGCGTCTTGAGCAGCATCAAGAAAAGAATAGAGCGCGCTTCCTGAGGTTCACTCACCTCTGAATGCACGAAGAGTATGGTCTGACTTTGGAAAAGCTGGAACTTGGTTGGCAGGGTCGTTCATCTTGAACGGAACGACGCCTACTGTGGCATTCCAACCACAGAAGGTTCCATTCTCGAAGTCGCAAGAGAGTGCTGAGAGATCCACAAAAATAAAACAAATACAAACACATGGCTTTAGTTACCCCCTGACTCCGATAGGCCTCAAATAATAAGGATGATTTGTGCAATATGAAACAAAATGCTCCGGCGAGCCAAGTGTGCCAAAGTAGGCTATGTAATATAAGCACTGGGAGCACTTGATTAAATCTAGCTAGGCAAGTATTGAGATAGCGTAAAACAATATTGTCCAATATTTTATTGTATAGGCTAATTATTAGCGTAAATGAACAACTGTGTCTACTAGAGTATTTAAGTGACCGAGAGTGGTATATTACTGACATAATTTAAACAAAAAGAAAAACAAAAACTACTCTGAATGATTATACACAAGCGCTTTGCATTAAAATATATACATATATATATATAGAGAGAGAGAGAGAATATAAATTAATATATATATATATAAATATATATATATATATATATATATATATATATATATATATATATATATATATATATATATATATATATATATATACAGAGAGAGAGAGAGAGATATCTTGGGCTCAACTTACAACTTTCGCCGGTGGGTGTAGTGGAGGGTCCACCACCTGAAATGAATTTAGCGCAGCTTGTCTAACGATGTTTAAAGATTACACACTGGGCATACCTTGGCTGGACTGCTGATCAAAAAATTTAGTAAGAGTTTGAACTGTTTTTATTTCTGATAATTATACTGCTGAGGTTGCCAAGTTATTTTTAGAGTGTAGATTAAATGCGACCCAAAATATTGATTCTGACAATGGTAAGGTTCCAAACCTGAATGATATGTTGACAGATTGTTAAATTTGACAGTTATTTAAAGAATCACAGTCGTAAATATTTGCGAGAATACTTTCCTAATTTTTGTTCACATTGATCTTAGCGGTAATATTCAGGTAAAAAATAATTCCAAGAGTTTTATTTTGCTCAGGTTATTCTAGATAGCCGAAAAATAATTGAGCTCTTAATAGGGCATTTTTTTTACAATATTCATTATACCTTAATCTGTCTTTTACCCGAACGCTGTTATTTTTTTTTAGTTGTTTGTATGCGGAGATGTCGTGTTTTCAGCCCGATTGACGATTTACCAAACCATCTAGAATAGCCGCGAAGAAAAATGAGTACTTATCTGGTTTCTGTGATTGTCTCTTTATGGTCATATCTCAATCAAGGAACCCCAAACGTTACACAGAAATGCAACTGATACGCGTCAAAATTCTCTATTAAAAACGGCATAAAAGATCGCAAAACGCACTGTGCTCCTACGTTTCGTCCCAAAATTCAGAAGGCGCCTTAGGAAGCACGACAGTCAATCACGTTATAACGCGTCCAGCCAGGCAAGAGTGTCGATCAACAGCGATTTGATTTTCGTACGTCTACGACACGTGCTGGGGAAGCGATCCCTCGCGCTTGACTCTAGAACGTCCGATGGCGGACCGAGGTTTCTCAGCCTTTCGTAAGCGTTTATCTCGTTTTCAATAAGAAAAGTTCTTGGCGTACTAGATTAATTTTAAATACTGTTTCTACTATTTAGATGTCGTAGATTAATTTATATTGTCACTATATTGCCACTGTTGTGCCTCTATATGAAGAGCTGGCACGTTGTCGACTCCCACGGAACATGGCTGCTATTATAAATCCGGCCCTCAATCACGTGTGCAAATCACGTGTGCAGTCACGTGTGCAAATTTTCGTAGAGTGTACATTCTTGTGCATAAAGATGCTTGGTTCATCGCTTTGGTGTTTTATGGCATTTGCTCAGCTTTATGTTAGAGCAATACTGAGAGCGGTGCTGAATTATTAACAATGTCTTGTAGGATACTCGAATTTTCGGACGCGAAAAAATATTACACTTTTAAAATTAGACTGTGTAAACCCAGAATTGATTGCACAAATGTTTAATAGGAGTTTGAGAAAGAAATCGTAGCCGTCAACTCAAGCCGTGGTGTTCTAGTCCTCTAATTCCAAAATAATTCCGTATCCTATTGCACTTCCTTATCTTTTTTTTCTCGTTTGCGTAATTCTTGCTACAGATTAGACTCGCCCCCCTTTACTAGGCTGTATATCTCGAAGGGAATCGATGTGGTCGCGGCACGTCAAAATGTTTCTGCTGACTCGCGTGAGCCTATGGACTCCTGCATCCGCGTTGGCGAGGAAACTGAAGTTCTTTAAGACGGTACGTTAAGGAGTGAAACTGCAAATTTGATATGAAGGCCCACTGTATTTTTTAGAGGTACCTTAGAGCGCAGTCGCTTCTTGAATTGTCTTGCAAATAGCATAAGTTCACCTCGTTTAACCGGCTGGGGTGATGCGTCTTTATGAAAACGATCTGCAAGCTGCGATTCATTCTGTAAGATTGCAAGCTGGTCTTATTCTCGTGAATTCCTTAATTTTATTAATACATTGTTTGCAACTATCGCCCACTCTTGTGGGAACATCGATGTTATTTTTAGACCAGTTAGAAGGGTCATTGTTCGGTTCTTTCTCGATGGGAGATGTTTAATGTGAAGGCTACCCTGCCGATATAATGATTCCAGATTTTATTGGATATTCTTACACATTCAGCCAGAATATCATATTTCTGAATGGGCGGGTGGCGCGTTCATCAAGATAGTTTGCATACGGGTGTAAAGGTGACTCTGCGGCGTGTGGAATACCACATTTGCTTAGATTATACTCGAAGTCTAGTAAATAAAAAAGGCGTTCCCTGTCGGAGATTACCATTCGCGTAAAGCCATGTCGCAGCACAAGATAGAATTTCACGAAGACTGTAAGGTGTGCTGCTGACCTACCGAGAACAACCTTTACTTTGAGCCCCTTTGCGAGGTTGCTATTGAATATATTAAAAAAACATTTTGTGATTTTGGACCAAGTCCCAAGTTGTCTAATCCCACAACGCAGACTGAGTTGTGGATATACCTCTTGTGGTCCTGTTTGCGCTAGATTTGGTGGAGTTTTGCTCAGCTGACGCATGCCGCGCCACGCGACATGTTTTCCAACATTGCTTCTTATAGGTGGCCACTAGTATTTCTGTGATACATTGTGTAATCACTAGTGCTGCATGAAATGACTTGCAGCGAGTGCGTCATGAAACAATTCCAGATTCTTTGCTTTTTTCTTCTGCAGTGCCAACCGCATACCATTGATGTGATGGTCCTCGGCAATGACAATCCAGATCACCTATTATCTGGTAGTCGACTTGTAAACGTAGCACCTAAAGCATCGAGAGCGAAGTTGGGCCACTGATGTAATTTTCGAGGAAATGGTATGCTTGCGAATTTGCGACATCATCTGATTGAGACGCTTGGACATTTAGCAGTGCATGTTGAAAAATGACGGCGGTGCCCTTTGAGTTTTTTAGAGCGCAGCTCTTAGGCGCCCGTTTCCGGCTTGAGCGGCGTCGCCGTCGACGTCGCCGTCAGCGTAACCACAGTGACGTTTCGGCATGGTGACTTTTCGGCACGGTGCCGAAACGTCCAACGTCGTGCCGAAACGTGCCGAAACGTCGAAACGTCACGTGACCCCCATTAGGGAGTCACGTGATCTCACGGTTACGCCGACGCCGCTAGGAGGGAGGAGTAGCAGGCAGGACGAGGTGAGGGGGAGGGAGGAGGGGTATACTCTCCTTTCAGTACCCTTCCCTCCTCTTCCTCAAGAGCTGCGCTCTAATTCTGCATTACGGGGAGTTTTAAACGGCTTTAATTTTTTTTAAATCGCAGCTTTTAGGCGTTCGTTTCCGGCTTGAGCGGCGTTTCCGTCGCCGTCGGCGTAACCGCGCGGTACAATATGGGAAGCTTCCCATAATGCACCGCGCAGGATCCTCATGACGTCACTCGCGATCACGTGTGCCGTCACGAGGGTCCCGCGCGGTGCATTATGGGACATTTCCCATGTTGCAACGCACGGGGAGGAGGACGAGGGGCAGTGAAGGAGGAGAAAAGAGTGAGGACGAGGCGGAGGGCAGGGGAGGAGGAAGGAGAAGGGATAAGGGGTTTACCCTCCTTTCAGTACCCTTCTGTCCTCCTCCTCCTCCTCAACAGCTTGGCTCTAATTCTGCGTTTTTGGGTGTTGTAACCCTCTTTCATTTGTTCTCAGGTAGTTCGTATCTCAATGCTAATTTTGCTATGATGAATATTTATAAACTACAGATGTTTTTGCTTTTAAGGTTCAGGTATCAGTTTTCGTATAAGATCACTACTGAATTAAATGCATTAATGTGCCAAATGGTGTGATCATAGCGAAATGCCTCCCATATATATACCGACGCAACTTTTCAAGCCCTCTTTATGACAGCTAGGCAGTCATGTTCGTATGAGTGATACCGACTTTCAGGCTCAGTGTATTCGGCCGGCAAAGGTAATGGGGCGTTTCGCGCAAGATTAGTACATTTTAAATTGTGTACAGCACCAAGTTCATCGCAGATTTATCCGTTCGAAAGGGTAAAGGAGCATCTAAAAAATAAGCGAAAGCAGAAGGTTTGAAGACTGGATGTTTTATGCCAGCAAATTGTGTGACCTCACTAGCACCCTATTGCCACATTGCGTCCTACGCCAGAAGTGTGTTCAATGGCGCAGTCCTGGCGGAGAAGATAAGTATTAATCGGCGAAAATAGAAAGCAAAACTTAGGAACTTTCAAGTTGTTTCAGCGAAGATGCTGCGGGAACTTTAGCGGGCAGAAGCAACTTCGCCAGAACTGGTATAATTCCATAGCTGATAATATGGCCGAGATTCGTATCTTCAAAATATCCGAAAAAGGCACTTTGCGGGATTTATGTGGAATCCAGCTAAGGTAGAACGTATAGGGAGATGGAAGTGAGGTTGGTGTTCTTCAGATACCCATTATTAAAAACGACATGATCTAAGTAGCGTAAAGCCATGATCCACATCAGTTGGTCGTGGACGCGATTGGTTGGGTGTCTCAAAGTCGCTGATGCATTACATTATCTGTAGGAAAGAAAATGTAATTGATACAGACCATTGGATGTAAGTAATGCCGTTCTTTATAAGTATTCTGGATCCAGCTTTACTCGTCAGTATCCAATCATCAAATCGAAGGTTGTGAAGCAATTTCATGTATAACGGCGGTCGAAGTCATCTTCCCGTCGTGACAGCGGGTAAGCGTCAGGCTTCGCTATGTTATCTACAGGGCATCACAAAAGAAAATTTACACGATGTCTTTTACCACAAAAAATAAACTAGGCATCGCCGAGCGCTCATTCTCCGCCCAAAGGTAGCGGTAGAGGTCACAACCAGATCCCAAAGGTTCAGCCCGATCGGATACTTTATTCAAAAGTTAAAAGTGATTTTCTGAGACTTTCAATGAAAAAATGGCGGACGACGGAGTTTTCGAATACATGGGACTCTATGGCACCAGAAAACCGAAAACGGGTGAAAATGGGCTACATTTTCCATTAAAATTTTCAGAAAATCAGTTATAACTTTTGAATAAGTTATCGGATCGGGCTAAAACTCTGGCATCTGGTTGTAACCTCTAGCACTACCTTTGGGCGGAGAATGAGCGTTCGGCGATGCCTAGTTTATTTTTGCGATAAAAAAGATCATGCAATTTTTTTTTTGCGACACCCTGTATTTTGTGTTAGTCGACACAAAACGTTGTGGAGCCTTTTTTATTTATAACCACAGCAATGGGCGATTACGGAGTGATTTTGGAATGCTAAATGAGGCCCCGTCGAAACATATCGTCCAGTGGAGGTTGATCATATTGCGTTTAGAAACTAAGATGCGTTGTTTGTGTTGAAATATAAGCGTGATAACCGCTATTGATGTTATGCTCTGAAGTAGAGTGAATCTGAGTTCATCCGCTGTCGCGGCAATGCCTTGTTCAAAATCTCTGAGTAGGCCCCTCATGAGCTTCTGTTTCTCTCTGTTTTGGTCAAAATTGTACACTTAGCAAATTAGATGCAAGAAAATTAAATTAAATTCAGTTATTCTGATTACTGCGGGGACCAGAAAGACCAGTGACTGGGACCCACACTGCAGACGTTTTAGGCTTAGCGAACTTAGTTTTAATTGTAACATGAAATGTGCCGCAGCAATCGCAAGTGAGAAAGAGTAACAGTAGCCGATGAAAATTATAGAGGTTTAAATTGCCGTCTATATATAGTTCGCTTCTTCATTAGCCAGGTTTTTTTACCCTTGACCATAGCATTGTAAGGAGCATAAAAAGAAGAAAAAAATCAAGTAAACGAATTTCTTTTGTTGTTACATTTCACAGGTGCGGAAACCGTCGCGACAGTACACTGCTTTGGTGTGATCAACACTGAGAAACCAGTAGTGCAATGCTCATTGCAGAGAATAGAATGACGTGTTCAATGTAGAAAATTATTGATAACAGAGTATAAGAGGCCCGTTTTAGTTAGGCACGTTGACAAATGGAAAAGTAACTGCATTTCCTGTGCCCTCCTCTGTCAACTTTTTTCGACCCTCCAGTAAAATTACTGAACCGCCAACAGAACATACAGGTGGGGACATAAGAGAACGCAATAGCCGTATTAGGAATAAAGCAAGCCGGCATGAACAACACTGACGTCCGCCTCTGTATTCATGATTACAGGAATAATATGTGCCGATTAAAAATAATTTAACAAATCATGAGCCATTCCACTTCCTGAAGGTGGATGACCACCGAAGCTGTTTAGGACACGACGCACACCCGCCTATAGGAGCAGTAGGAAACTAAACACGCGCGACAGTACCGCCACCCGGCGGAATGTGGAACGCTCGACGGGACCGCCACCCCGGGAGAGCTGAAGGAGAGGAAACTAGGCTCGCAAGCCCTTGGAACGAGGACAAAGAGGGGGCGGTGCGAGTGTAGGCACAGCCGACGGGGGTCGCACAGCGGAAAATCTTTGGGAAACCTGAGAGTCTACTGATCTTGAAAATGGTGCCTACTGATTAAAAAACTACTGAATACACCTAATGCTAAATTACCCAAGCACCAAGGAGAATGCTGGGAATGGTGCTTCGCCCGCCGCACGTGCCGGCGTCTGCAGCAGTAAATGTTCTAAAGCAAAAGACTAAAACAGGCGGCCTTTTGCACGCGCGTTCGCCCATACTTTATTTCGGTTATTTACTTCGAATCTTTTATACGGGGAAGGTGTGCGCGGTGCTGCAGTGCGAGCGCAGAGTTTTTGGTCACTGCACACGAACAATCCACGGAGCTTTAGCTATAAATAGCTTCGCTGTAAAAATTGCACATGTGGTTTCTAATACTTAGCAAGCACGTTTTCCGTTTTTTTTTAATCTAGGCTTTTTATACATAGTTCCTAAAGGACTAAATCTGTACGAAGACTATCTTGCAATGAGCTACTGCAACCACATTCAGTTTTCGCCCTAGATGACAGACTAATCGCACTTTTTACATGGCGGTACTAATTTTTATTTTTTATTGGCGCGGAAGGGGCACCTGAATTGTGTCCGATTAATCTCATTAATTTGTACAAGATTTTACATTAACTTTTCCCTCTAAATCCGCTCATTTGAGCCTCCCATTGCCGAGTGGACGCTATTTCGCAGGGCTCAGTAGGCGGAGAATGCAAGGCGCCGGGGTGAGAGGAGAGAGGGCATTTTTCTGTCCGCTATTTTCTAGTTGAATGGCCTATAAAGTGAAGCGTGCGAGATTTTAAAATCACTAAGAAATTGCGGAAATAAATCTGGAGTTCCTGGAACGTTTTCGCCCATTCTCGCAATGCCAGAAGTCTTTGAAGCGCCGACTGCGTGACAGCGAGGACCTTACAAGGAGAATAGCGGCGAAAAGCAGTAGAATCAATAAAGGTGCTTCATTTTTACGTGAGAAATCCGCTTCGTTATGCGCGATAGCGAGATATTTTTTACACGTGCAAAGAAAAATATTAAGGGCATCTAAACAAAAAGCAATCGCCAAAGTAGGAAAACCATCATGATTAATCAAAACCATTCCACTTTTGGTAACAAAATAGCTATAAATCGCAACACTGGGAGGCATGCCTATGGGGTTTCAGGGGCCCAGTGTAGTAATACACGGCAGCTCAGAGCAGCCGGCTGAAACTCGCGCGCTGCAGAACCCAGAAATCCTGGGTTTAATCCTGAATCCTGGCCGTTTTGATTTATATGACTATTGCACCGTAATGTAGTTCTGGATTACTACTTCCTGATTCGAGTAAAAAAAAAACCAGAGGGTAGCAAGGACACTGCACTGAGTACATTTCCGATCTAGAAGAGAGACGCCATACGCCCATTGGGGCTTATTGACATCTCTTTCAACCGTCCACAATACAAACAATTTAGGTCCTTCACAATCAACTGTACAAAGACAATCGTCCTAAGGGTTAACGCAGTGAATGTGAAATCAAATTAACGGTTTTCAAATAAGATCACTCACTCGAGATGACGCTAATGGCCGCTGCGCCGTCGGTGGATTCCTTCCTCTTCAAGGTGATGACTAGCTGACTTCGACTAGAGGGCTTCAGGGAAGAACTGATTGACTTCCAGGCCTCGCCCTCCGGCAACCGAACGGTTAGCAGGTTAGTGGTTGTTCCGTTTTCCTGGTAGGCTACCTGACTCAGCTCCATAGACTCAATGGCTGAAGAACACAAAAAGAAACTGAACGTTATGTTTTTCTGGATCCGCTATTTAACAAAACTTGAGCTCAAATTATTAAGAAAACTCTGTCAGGTCGGGTGGAAAAATAATTAAAAGGCGATGCCCAACTAAGCCCTAATTAGGAACCTAAATTGTTGAAGCGTACACGGTCTTATCTTGAAGATAAAATCTGCCGACTCCAAGGAGTTGATCACAAACGCAGCGCTGTTAGTGAACACCGCTACGACAACAACTAACGCATTGACTCTAAAAACATGTGCATTAAAAACGTTGAAACCAACCACCAACAAATACGTTCTTTGCAATCGTGGTACGTAAAAGTTACATCCAAAATAATAAGCAGGTCGCTCAGTGATTTACTACTCGACTACCACTAGAAGCTTCAAAATATCATGCATAAAAACAATTACCACCGCAAGAGAAGGCCTATAAAAAATGAAAGCCGTTCCCAATTCCCTGTAACGTCAGATTAGAGCGCAGCTATTGAGGTGGAGGATGGAAGCGTAGTGAGGGTAAGTGACTCCTTGAGGTCACGCGACCTCAAAGGGGAGTCGTGTGACGTCAGGGTAGTCACGTGTCCTCGGGGGGTCGCGTGACCTCAGGGTGGTCACGCGACCTCAGGGGTTCACGTGACCTAAGGAAGTCACGTGGCCTCAGGGGAGTCATGTGACCTGAGGGGGTCACGTGGCATGAGGAGGGTCACGTGACCTGGGGGGGTCACGTGGCCTCAGGGGGTCACGTGACCTCGGGGGGGGAGGCGGGGTTACGTGACCTCGGGCTTTAAAATTACTGCTAATACTGCGCTCTAAAAATACTGCTAATAAAGGACATCGCCACACTCACACCCAAAGAAGAGGCCGAGTTGGCCTCGAAACATTGGGTTCCTAATAATGGCTTGGCTGCACGTCTCTTTTTGTAATTGTGCAAATGAATTTCGGACTTTTAAGCAATGTTTCTCCCGCCTACATACAAATAAGAGCTCAAAGAGGTATTTTGTTTGAACCAGGTCCTTGAAGAGGCGAGATAGATGCCTTCAGTAACGACTACTAAATGTAAATTGAAATCCACTATGGCTTAGTCCTTAGTAAGAAATACATTGAGGAGGCAGAGAACAGCATTGTGTTTACGTTGCACACCCGAGGCGATGAACCGTAGAGCGTCACTTGATTTGAACGTTTCGCCTGTTTTTTTTTTATTTATTCAATAACCGCACAGCCTCTTGGCATTACCAACGAGGGGATACACACACAACAAAAGATAATTTAACAGGTAGTTATATTCAACCAGCTATAAACATAGCACCAAGTAAATACGATAAAATAAAACACATTTCGCGAGTATCAAAGCAATGTTTAATATTGGGCGACTTTATAAATTAGTGTTTCACATTAACTTGTACGTCTAAAACACCACACTTGTGCCTAATATTTCAGAAATGACGCGATTCTTAACGTGTTGCACGTCAACCGGATGTCGTATACCGCAAGACTTTATATAAAAATGCTATCTTCGCTGTAATACTAACGACGTGGAAAATCCCAGAGTGCGGCCCATTACCTTTAGTGTGTGCTGTCACTAACTTTGGTTGTGTCTTAAACGCCGCATAAGCAATCGTTTGAACTAAGTGTGACCCAAAGAAGTGTAGGCATAAGTTATTAAATTGATTGAAATTGCGTAACATCATTCGTACCTTTAACAGTGAAAAGATAATGGGTATATCTTGGCATTCTTTCCTGAATAGGTATTCTGCTGGGTATGGGTGATGTCATTGTTTCCATTCGTGCCATCTTTTATTCTGTGTAGGTTTTTTGTCTTAGTCGTCTTTTTAAAGTTGTGTTTCAAGAAATAAACCTCAGCTGTGTTTAATTATTTGTGTTGTCCTGTCTCTTCGTTTCCGCACTCTCCAGGGTCAAGAAACGCAAGTTCTGAACCGCTCGCCTGCACATTTGCATTAACTTCATACATGACACAGTTATATTTCAATTCGGATAATATTCACTTAAGGGCGTTTATTCAAATGTTAATATTCTGGTAAATAACAAGCAAGTGTTCATGTTCATAACTCAGACTGCCAAGATATGTTTTAACAGTTTATAATGTACGTCACAATATGATGTCGCATTTGATGTAAGTAATACGGTTAACGCGAGGTGCACTAGTGATTGCCTACCGTCGAGCACATTTAATACTGTGCTGACTTATAACAAAGAAAAAAACCTCAATCGATACCTAAGAAGATAAATGGGATGGGCGATCTCAAATACAAGGTGTTTCTGAAAGCAATTAGGGCGCTAACAAAATAATGAGTATGCCAATAAACTCGGTGCAATAAAACCTTAGTCAAAAGTGTCGTTAAATGGGCCTTTAGTTCTGCTCAAATTTCACACTTGCAGGTTTTCTAGAAATAAAAACAACACAAAAATAATCTTCTCTTCTGGAGCGAAAAAAAAAAAGAAACGGAAAACTCAATTTGGTTGATGCTGCTGCTTGCAGAGGGTTCAAAATGCAGCACAAAGGTTAAAGCTTCTTACAAATTAGCACGCGAATGCAGATTAAGCAGATAAAAGCGTGTCCGGTAGCACCTGTAAGTTGCATTGTCCGCCAAAAGATTCCTACAGGTTTTCTTCACGCACACACGTAAGAAAAAAAAACGTTTTGTTCACATTTTTTGTTGTCGTTGAGTATAATAAATTCCCACATAACGACACCTTTATGAAACCTTACAGTGCATATTCTGCCGCGTTTTTTTTATTTTTATTTTAAATTTTTTACGCTCGAATAGCGCTCAGAGCAATCTTGTGATTATGCGAGTCAATAAAGAAATACCGCATGCCATGTCAAGGCTTGAATGCAGCACCCTGTTGCTCGAATGAACATACCTTTGCCCTTCCTGAAGAACGTAAGCTGAACCGTGTCTCCTGTTTCCCCGACGTCAAAAATGGGGCTGAAAAGTCTGGCTATACCGTCCCCAGGAGCCTGAGTTTCGCTTCCAAAAGGATCTCCAGAAGGGACTGTAAAGTCCACATAGGCAAACCTTGTCCAAGAGCTCTTTCCACCTGCACATGAAAGCAGGGTACAAAACATTTGAAGGGCTGTCCAATCGGAACACCGCAAATGCTGTTCACGACAAAAAGAGTGAGTACGCGTCTTATAATCGTAAACGTTGCCCACGCGCGCCTGATTTCAGGGAGGATAATGACGAAAACTTCACTGGATTTTTACTTGCCTCCTCGAGGCTCTTCCCTTTCCCAGTTTTCGGGAGGTTGGGGATAGACAAAAACAGCGGAGCCTTGGCGGCAACACGCAGAGCCACATTAGGGGCACTTAAAACTCACGATGATCACGCTTAAAGCTCCTGTACAAGGCCGGAAGCGGAAAATTAATTTTCACACGTCACACACACGCAAAAAACAAAAGTGTTTCAAACCGGCCGGTAATTGTAGGAAAGCTTCCATTTCCCATACAGCAAATGTGACAGCAAAAAAGGTGTCCCATTTGGACAGTTCTTCAATCATACGTTAACCGGCTGAACATCGTGTTCCCGGAACATTTATACAGATGAGAGGAAATAGAGAAATGCGCGAAAAACCGGTGGACTACCAACATTTTTAAACATTATCGTTTTGTTCGACTATTTCGTTCCTTTTTCTTCTGCTTCATTTCTTTCTGCAGCATTACAGATACCTTCTTATCTCTTGAATGGCGAAACTTGTGGGGAACTAACGCAATTTCATTTCTACTCTTCTATGTCCAGGGCCTCCAAAATTTCCCGTGAGAGCATGTTTCTGTGGTGTTCTAAGCTGGTAACTTGATTGAGCTCAGCCTTGCACATGCATTTACGACAATGGGTGTCAAGCGTCCTGTTTTGTTAAGCTTTTAAGATTATTTGCATGTTCCAGTGTTTCGCTGACGCACAGCCCCGTTTGTCCGATGTAGCAACGCCCACATGTTAAAAAAAATATTTTACAACACTTTCTTACCGCACCACTCGTATTTGAACCCGTTTGCGTTAAGGAACGCGTGTCGCAGCCAATGCGGCGTCGGCGTCGGCGTTGGCGCCGGGGGGACAGGAAAATCCTGATTGGTCGAGTGATGTCATACGTGGCTGTGACGTCACGACCATATCGAACTGCTAAATTTTGCGGGTAAATATTCCGATTATTTTATCGGGAGCATTTTTCGCTAAATATAGCGGAAAATGTTCCGCCAAATTTAGCGGGTCGCTATGGTCAAGACGTCACAGCCCCTTGTGATGTCACGTGCGACGTCGCGACTGTGACGAATCGCCACATGACCTCGCGCGGGAATTTCAAACAGACCACAACGCTCACATGTGACGTCACGTGAAACATAAAGTCACACTTTCCGTCATGTGATATCAAGTGATACGTGATGCCACCTATAAGAAACCATTCAGAAAGTTTGGTTCACAAAAAATTATGCGAAATTGAAGCAAGATGACCGAATCGATGAGTTAAAAAATAATTGGGGGCTCCTAACGCATTTATTTTGTCAAAACATTCTTCGTGCAGCCTCCCACGGAAATATTTAATTTGTAACTTTTAACGAAATCATGAGAGGGTGATAATTAAATAAATTGAGAAGAAAGAGAACAAAAAATAACCCAAAAAGCAGATATGTGCTCGTTACACAAATCAAGTAGTTAAATACCGCTACTAATTCAAAACATAACAGAGATCGTTTCTTGCGAATTCTGTTCAAAAGGACTGAGTTACATTAGCTTGAGAGTAATGCTTTCTTTCCTTGTTTTTTTTTAAATTGAACATTTGCACGAAACAGTAACTGCTTTCAATACATGTCGTCGTTTGAAATTCCTTTTTTTTTACATGTTCATACAGGTATGTTTCTGGCTATACTGAAATACATTGTGCGCATATTTTTACAGTCTCCCCAGCGTTTTCTCGTGCAAGATCAAGCCGCTAGCTGGCGTGATAATTAGGTTGTGAATTTGTGTTTGAGACGTTTCCTTCCAGAAATAATTGAACAAGGATAGTCATGAATTCGTCACAAATTAATAAACATGCATTACTTGATCATTATCCTAAAACGTATGCCATTTTTTTTTGTTAACTAAAAGTGCAACTAGGCGCAAGTCACGCCTTACTTCTAACGCATTAGGTTCAAGTTTGCTCCGAGCACTCCCTTAGAACAAACTAACCCAGGAAAGCAAGAGTTTGATCTCGAAGCTTCTACACTGTAACAAGGGAGATACTTGTAAAACCTTATTTTTATGTGCTGTTTTTTTTTTCTGATTTTTTTTTGTTCTTAAAGTGAATGCGCTAGTCGAAAATGGGGTGCTGAATAGGTGTGCGGCAGTCTTCAAATTGCTTTCTATATGGAAGGAGTAGGCTGGAGCGGCCGAAGAGAAGGTATAGATATCTGATGGTTATTACCCGCTATGGGGGCCAAGGCCATTAAGTCAGAGGAGAATAGCTTTTATAAAAGAAAAACCAAGCCATTGTATTTCCACGTATTCTGCAAAAACAAAAACACCAAAGAAACAGACATGTTTCAAACGTGATGGAGCTTCCGGTTAACTAGCTACGAATCTCTCTCACGTAATATTTCACCGATTTCGTGAGAACGTAACAATTGTGTATATCGCGAATATACTATTAAGCGTAATGAAATCTTATATAAAAAGAATAGTCGAGTTTTTAGGTACCGAGACGGTCTTGCTGGCTCCCAGCTGAAATGCATGCTCCCCAGTTGACGGTTTAGAATCATGGCCGAGAGGCTCGCAACCTGTCGGAGGCCGAATAAGTAGAAGGCGCCGTGTGACGTTGTTCAGTAGCATGTGAAAATATTCCCAAATGGTCAGAAGTAGTTATCAATCCTTTACTGTGGCGTGTGATATGTTCGTTTTGGCACGTAAAGCGCCCATATTTGTTTTGACTAACTGAATAGTGAACTTTAGCGATTTCTCTTTTGGCGGGGTCACCAAAGTATCTACAGACCGGCTGGGAGTGTCCTGGTGCTTCCTGGTTTGCATACCAGTCATGCGTTGTATGTACCGGTGCAAACACCACAAACCAGGAAGGTCTGTTCTATTGTGCACAACAAATCCAGTCCAGTATGTCCTGGCGCGTTCACCAAACCAGCTAGTGCGTCCTGGAGTGCACATTAGACTAACCTAGTGTGTTCTGGTGTGCGCACTAAACTAAGCTAGTGCTTTCTTGGTCTACGCAACAGACATCTGTAGCGACTTTTTCTATCCATACCCGGACACACAAGGCTGAATAATGCGCCCATCATACAAAGCCCTTTGGACGGACTGGTGTACAAGGTCCGGCGGTATGAGCTGGCACAGCCGCGTTCCTGCTGTTGAATCAAAAAAGCCTTATTGGAATACCCGGATACGTGAAGCTACTAAACCATGATTGGAATGGATTACCAAATTCAGAAATATCCCGATAGGGAGTTTTAGCGAGTCGCTTCCACACGATCGGTTCGTCCTCAGAAGCATCGCCGACGCTACTGCGCATGCGCGCTCGAGTCGCGTGGGCTTCGCGATACCCTCCTCGTTTGTTTCTCCCACTCCAGCCGCTGGAGTCGTCACCGCAACGTAGCCAGCACCATTCAGGAGGGTAAAAAATGATGGCACTCGGTCTGACGACTGAGTCCGCCGAGTCAGGCGAGCGTTGGGTTTAGGACAGCGGGAGGGGCTTTTTTATCCTGCTACCCTGCTTCGTTATTAATATATCTGGTGTTCTACTCGCTTATACATATTGGTAAAATCATCGCAAATACAAGGGAGGGAGAACATAGCGACATTATATAGCGCTACTTACAACTGGCCTTCATAACTAAGTGAGATAGAGACAGAAAAGTACTCACAGTTCGAGGAGAACGACACACGAATGAAAAGACATGACAAATGAGTAGCAAAAGATAGGGGTAATATAAATAAATAAATAACGATAAAAAAGAAAACAAACAAATGAGGGTAACTTCTAATTTTTGTGGCTGGTGTACAGATCTGCGTCGGCCGCACTAACACTGTCCAAAACGACAGGAACCTTCATTTCGTTACTCTGCTTTATTTTCTCCATTTGAGAGGTCGAACCATGTCATGTCGAGGTCAGTAAATTTTTGTGATTCGCGGGCTGACTAGCTGCGTTGGCGACTGCGATCATGCGGAATGTTGCGCTTCGGCGACACACAACGCGAACGATCGTTCAAGTTCACGACGACGGGGGGCACTTCAAATAACTTTGCAAGTGTTCAGACACTTTTTGCTCTATTTAGCTTCGCAGGTACTGAAATTCCCATCGGTCAATGTTAGGTCGGCCGTCTTGTTTACATCAGTTGTACGCCGGAAATACGAGCCATGAATTTGCACGCTGCAGAGTGTTTCACATGTTTACCAGATAATGGTGCTGCTGGTCAAACCCAATCAAGGTTACGCATGTTTCACGGTTTGCTAAAATACGTTAAATGTCTCATATGGTTTCACGGAACAGCTGGACTGTTCAAAATTACGGAATTGTGTGCTCCAAAAACGACTTTCCAAAGCTCCCTATTGTGGCATGACATGCACGCTAAACCCCGAGCCCGGGTAAGAAACAACAGGAACACCGACATTTTCAACATTTTAAAGCTTTCAGTGTTTGTGTCATACTTTACCTGCTGTACGTTGCTTATGTCATATTCAATTTACAACTGCTCGTTCCTGTACCTACACTCAGTGCAATGTGGGAGTTGCTCTCATAGCTTAGCATGCAATGGGCACCCCATGCAGCATTTTAACCATATAGGCGTGAACAGAAGTGGGGCTGCTTATATTGCCTCTGACTGTGGGATAAACTCGTGGGTATTTACATAAATTATGTAGTCAATGAGAGTATTAAATGAGTTCAGCACTTCCGAAAGATGCACTCACCGTCGGATGCAGCTTGTGAACTGGGTGGCTTCGGTATTTGGGTTTGGAGTCTTGGCCTTACCACACGCCCTGTTCCCACAAGCCACTTGAATTCGCTAGAGTAGTCGCTCACGTAACCGCACAGGTCATCCTCGAAGCCGCACTCCAGAAGAGGCTTGCAGGGCTCCGGTGAAACCTCCACGTCGTCGAAACCAAGGGCGGATTGCGTGTTCCGTCTATCAGTGATGTTTCCCCGAATCACCACCTGGGTTTAAGGGTTGCTTTGATTCCTAGGGTCCTTAAGTACGTCGACTAATTAGGACACTTATAGGGTTGATAAGAAATATGTCACTAAAACGATATGGCCTTACAAAGTACAAATTCCTCGGCACGATTTCAAAATAAGGAATGTAGGAATTTTTTTTTTCAGGTCATGCCAAATTAAAAATAATTTCAACGCGACTTTTAAGACAAATAAAGAAAACGCCGTTCTTTAAATAACTTACACAAACTACTCATGGTTAACAGATGATTCGTGGCACCACTCGGGCGTTACAGATTAGAAAAAAAAGTCAATCTTTGCAACTCTTATATTTGGTCAAAGTTTACGAAAATAATGCATTTTAAAAAAGTTTCATTAAGAAGACATGGTCGCAAATTACTCTGGAATCAATCGATACATCCGATTGAATCTCGTAATTTTTATTTAGTGGACTCAATATATTTATCCAATCGAACAAAAGTAAAAGTTGATATATATTATATTCATTTAACAGCAAGCCAACTGCGCTTATCGATGTTTCATTTGAATAGAGTGAGAGTATCGTACTACAGGCTGCGCCATTGTACATAGAACGCGTCTCTGAGTGGTATGTTTAGCGTCCTAAATCACTCAAGCATACAAAGGGGTCCCAAAGTGTCAACAAATTACTTCACAAAAACACGTGTATCGCGCTGTCGTATGTCGCTATCCTGCTGGGTGGAGATCAAAGTCCCTGAATAAAATACGAGCGAACTCAAGTGACGCTGTCGTCGCCGAATCCCAACTCCTGATTTCAAAAGCTCCCATGGACTGTCATGCAGTAGAGCAACGTGCAGCAGGACAGGCATCTTCCACACCTGTTACCACTGCTGCGATGACGCCAGGATCGCTGCGGTCGTCAAAATTACACGTCTGTGAGTGTCATTCCACGAGCGCGCACCATGCACTCATAAAATGACACTTCTTTTAGTGTCATTCTATCAGTGCATACACTTCTCCGAGTGAAAACAGTGTCCTAGAAATCAAGGGACCGATTTCAATGACCCGGTATGCACTCCAGTCAGAGACGTGTTCCAGGTAACATAGTTGTACGTTCATTTGTTGTAAATTTGCTTAGTAATTGTTTTTAAATCATGAATCGCATTTTATGCAACTCCTTACTCTCAATAAACGTCTCCTTCAGTCCGCCCATCCGTATCTCCGTGAGTGCACTTCCTCGCGAAATTTAGTTGGAAAACCTACATTATGTTACCTGACACCACCGGATGTTGTATGATACTGTTACGCCATTTTCCTCGCTAAAGTCAAAGAGGAAACGATTTTAGTGTAATTCAGGTCGCGCCAAACGTGAATACTAACGCAGAAAGCGCTTTCCCACCAAAAGTGTCCGGAAAAGTGACGTCACGTTACCTGGCGTAACGCGAAGCGCTCACCTGACGTGACGTCACTGTGTCGAGTTGTTATGTACGCGATACCATGACGTCAGATAGGCTTACGTCACATAACGACAGTTTCTCCGGCCAGTCTCAAGGGGAAATCAAAAGACAAAGTTTTTCTTCAATCTCCAGAACAGCTGTCCGGTGACATTTGAATAACTTCAAGCTGTCGCATCTTAGACATATAATTCTATACAATATAGGCCGCTGGAAATTAATAGCATTGAATGGTTTTTTTTGTTTTTTTTTGTCTTATTTTAAGCATGCTTTATGCGAGTACATCGCTCGACACTGTCAGTGACAATCTGCCATCGAACGACTTGCATCATTTTTTGTATACAGTGAAAAGGGCTTAATCGCGGCACAAACTTAAGTGGTAAATTCTAATACCGGCCAGGGTACTCTTCCAAACTAAATCATAAAAAATCCCAAAGTCGTGTCGGAGCTAAAAGTATCGCGCAATGTACATTAGTTAAAGTATTTGTTTATCAAAGTCCAATACTTGGCTGCAAAGTGGTTTTACACTTTTGATATATTTAATATGCCTTATCCACCTCTCCTCCAAACGATGTCGCCACTTAGTATTTATTCTTTGTTGAAGCACCCTACGCAACAAAACTGGGACGAGTATGTAAACTTTAACCGTGCTTCCAGTAAAATTATTTCGTACTGCATTGCAACTAAGCAATGTCAACTGGAATCAAACCCAACATTTGTCTTTTTAAATTACTCTTGAAGCGAGTCACTTTGAATGACAGGGTTTGTACATAAATATGCTTTTGTTATAATTTGACAATAACTTTTTCTTGTCGTTCAGATGTCATGAATTTTTTTTTTTAAATGTTTCAAGTGATATACTATTCTGGCCAGGCTGACCCGGCCTAAGAGCCGCGGGGTGGTGGGGGGAGGGGGGAGAGGGGGGGAGAGCTTTGTTAGAGCAATAAACGAAATTCGAACTACTTTCAGTCTATCCGAGTCAAAGACGGTCCAACTGTACGTAAGGCAGCGGTAGCACAAGACTACCATACTACAACATGTCTTTCGATTTAAAACGCTTTTCACTTCTCTCTTCGGGGAAGTGCTAATGTGACCGGTAGGGAGGCGGGGGAGTGTGTGTGTGTGTGTGGGAGGGGGGTAGGGGAGGGAGCTGCGAGCCACACTTTAACACGGCATGAGCCGCAGCCTGGCCACCCCTGTACTATTGTAACTCTCTCACTGTAGTCACACGTTTGATTTCATTGCACACCACGTCTGTGGCAAATTTCTTAGTGTTTTTTTTCCTGAAGTGTGCAATATTATTTTAGATTGTGGTTTGAATATTCATAACGCGGGTAATGTCTACAGGCGTTTATTTATAGTATGTTCTATCAAATTAATTAACCACTAATTTGATATCTCTTTTGTTTTGATTTAATTTGGATTACCCTCACGCACAAAATTATGTTATTGTCCTTCGATGCTGCTCTTTAGGGGAAAGTTGCTTCGTCATGAACCAGGCCTTTATCTCATCCCCCTATATGGTAAACCCCCGAAACAATTGAAAAAAAGTATAAAAGTTCTACTCAAACGGAGTAGAAAGAACTTCGGAGTAAATTGAACTATCCCGTAATTATTATGACACCTTCTAGTTTTTAATACATCTGACTTTTCAGCGTGCGTCAGCATTTTACACAATAAAGACCATATTTAAATCCAAGTTCATTCCACATAAGAAGAGAAATATTAGTTTGGTCTATAAATTATTACCATGTAAGTGTTGTCACCCATAGATGAGCAAGAATGATCTTCATTAAAGTAAGGCGCAATTTTAATGCCAGGAATACCACATGGAAAAACATACGAGCGAAGGACCTTCAATCGACATTAATTTTGTCTTGAGAAAAAACAAAATTATCGTCAATTGCATTCGCCCGTCTGTATTTAATCGCTAAAATACGAGTTTTCTTCCTTGAATTCTTTGGCATCTTTGTTGTTTTCACGGTGAGAAATTTTGTGAGCTTCTATGCAGCCCAACTCGCGGTCGTACCCCAAATTTAGATGAAAGCTATTTGATTTTCACTAAATAGTCAGCGTTTTAAAGAAACTAAAATTATCTCTTGGTTCACGTTAGTTTAGGTCGAGTTAGGATAAGTTAGGTTAAGTGAAACAAAGTTAGGTTAGTTCACGTTAGGTTTTGTTAGATGAGGTTTGACTTTGTTTAGGTAGGTTAAGTTAGACTGGGTTAGGAGAGGTTTTGTATACCTAGGGTAAGCTATAATACGCTTGGTTCGTTTAGGTTACGTTAAGTGTGGTTGAAATAACTTAGCCTAGGTGAGTTTTGATTAGGATTGACTGGATTAGTTTAACCTAGGCTTGGTTTGGGTCGGTTAGTTCTGGTTATCTTAGGTTCAGTTAGCTAGGTTTCGTTAGAATGAGTTAGATCACGTGAGGTTAGTTAGCACTTAGTGTATGTTAGGTTACATTACGCTGGGAAGGGATATGTTAGGTTAGGTTTTGAGTTCATTGGTTAGATAATCTTGGCTTCGTAGCGGTAAGGTATACTGTACCTGGAATCGTTTCGCCTGGGAGACCGGAATGCTAGCGAGCATCCAATCATTCTTAGGGTAGGGAGGTTGCGTCCAGACGATGTTGCGTGGTCCCCCTCCTCCCGTAGTCACCTCAACAGCAATTCTGCCCAGGGTGAGGCTGTCCCTTTTGTACCAGAACTTCAGACACTGTGGCTCTGGCCTTCCTTCGAACCATGGGCTAAAAAGTGCTGCGTCGTTGCTTCCTACACCGCCTCGCAGCTCCATGAAGTACTCTGTAGAATAGCATCACGTATGTGTGATGTTCCCGTTTATATAAAATATCCGAAGACATACAAAGTTAAGCAGTCCTGTGTGATCCCATAGTACAGTCACAACGATTGCTGCGATATCTTATTGGACTCAAGTGTGTCGTTAGTTGTATTTAAGATTTGTATCTTGCACACTACGTGGATGGACGGTCGCCAATATTTTTTCAGAGATTGACACACTCATACATTTTGGACACACAACAGCCCTGGAACGGACGTGGTATGAGACTCAGGTACCCTCATGGGACGTCGTCCCAACTGCAGTCATCTACAGGGTGGCGTGCGACGCTCATACTAAGCTCAGCTGTCCTAGACACACTGGTTATTTGGTGATGGGGTGAAGCTTCTGGCGTAACTCTGTCACTTTGCGCCAGGTTCACAATCAGTAGACGCAAGATTGAAGCCTGAATAAACCACAGTGTAATTTCTTTTCAATTTGTTTAAATCACGTTTTGATTTCAACAATGGACTCCTCCACGCACTTAATAATTTTGAGTGGGCGAAGACTCTGCACAGTTATCACTGTAAAATATCGACCATAATTTGGTCACCAACATTACACACTGCATTATATTGCTTTTGCTGGACCTAACCTAACCCTGCAAGCAACTGCTGCGCTGAATTCCGCCATTGCAGTATATAAGAACTTGGTATGTGCAGGCTTTCTGTCTTGCTCACCAATAAAATAATCAACTGGCGTTTGCGCTTTAGAGCATATAATAGAGAGGGTTACACGTACGAGCAAATTGTTGGTTGGATTTAATTGTATCGTTCACTTCTTGCTTAGGCTTCGGTAGTATGGCGATTTCCGTTTTAAGATAAAAGGCTTCAAACGTCCAACCGCTATTTGATTCAAATGGGTAGTCCACACCTCCATGTCCGTAGAAATTTAGCATTTTTTTTAATTCGCATAATTCGCATCTATTAATAATGCTTTCGTTGGCTCACTTCTTTATATGTTCTTATAAAAAAGGTGCGAGGTAAACAAACATTGTTGGTGGGACAGTGTGCTTTATAATTAACTTTGATTATCTTCCCTAGCTTGCAGTAGAATAAATATTGTTCTTGCGGCATAGTTCTACTCGCGCTTTCCTTGTTGTTCTAATTTTATTTTATTTTTTAAACAGAAACATTTTTCACGTTGCTTGCCTTGTATTATAATACTGACTGGTTTATAATACTTGTTGAAGTACTTATAAGAGATATTACATGCCTTACAAAAAACTCATCGTAAGATAGTTGACTAGTTCTTCCTTGGGAATAAAATATTCCGGCACATCTCTAAATTTTTAAGCAGGAGGTAAATTCGTTGCTTTGTTCAACGATGGCCCGACCTGAGGAACAAAAGCTAGTTCACGCTGGTAAAATGTAATGCAGCGGAAGGCGAACTGTCCTTAAAAAAGCTCGGTAATAGCTCTAGATGGAATAATATACTTTGAATTTATATGGGAATTTACGTTATAGCGATTGCACCACCTTAGGAGTGCACGACCATCTCCGGTGCACCAAAGGGGGCAGGGGTAGAGATTTAATCCACTGTCTTCGGTGTATGGCAGAATTAGCTTTATTTCACGTGCTCTGGCCTACGATAGGGCTACAGAATAGGAAACGGACGACAACTAATAAATATCATAGTTTGATTTCGGTTCATCAAAAGTGAAACAGGGCTGGCAGTCACGATGCAGCTGTAACATGCGGGAGGCTTGTATAAAAAGTTTGAAAAATAAGTCAATAAACGCTTCAGCAGTAATAACCATGAATTTGCGGGAAATATCTAAAGTGGGTTGGTTTATACTCCGAAGCAATGAATTGAGGAGCACGAAAAGGGCCTTGTCACTTTGGGTCGACACAAATAAATATGGGAGTTGTCTTGCAATAACTCTGGTTTTTGTTTGGCTGCAATTGAATTATCAACTGTCCTCACTCGGGTATTTTAGGGCATATTGAAAAATATAGACTTACGAGAATCGACGGGCCCCGAACGCGTGTTGGCCGCCATTCCGGTCAACTTGGCCTCCTTGCGTCTCCAGCCTTTGTCTGGTTTGTTGGAAATCCAGCCACACATCTCGTACTCGAAGTCACACAAACCTGCATTCGCATTATATATAGAGAGAAAAAGTTAAATCCAGAATACAAGTAAACTATGATACTTGTTACTAGAGTCGGTGAATAGTTAAGACTAACGTGGAAGCTCTTCCACCTTTTTCAAATTCAGCAGAGCGAACGCTGAAGGAGGCAACAATTTCTCCAGCGTTCACTCTGCTCAAATCGAAAGACGGGGAGGGGGGGGGGGGGAGGTTTCACTTTACTCATAACTTGTCGCCGACCACTAGCTAAATGACATAGCGCGCGTACTACTTTTCATTTAGCCTGTGGTATTCTGTTGCTTTTCTAACTGCTTCGTATGTTTTGCACGTTTTCCTTTGGTCATGCTTCCACTTCACTCCGTTTTGCTCTAAGCCCGTCTGAAGTTGACGTTACGATTCGATGAAGCAAACCAAGCAGTGCCGAAAGATTAACATCACGACTCGCGTCGTTTTTGTGTAATTGCTATCGTGCATTTGGTATTTCCCTACAATGAATGAAATACATGACAGGAAATTCACGTCTCAATAGGCGGTTTTCGTAGATCGTTTGCGCCGTCCCGCATTGTTCTCCGCGAAATGCAACGATACTCGGAACTGTACAGTTTAGGCCATCGACGCGGAGCCGCGGTAGCGGCTTTTTCGTTGCCGAGGGATTAGCGGAGGGCAAAACGCCGTCTACGAAAAATCCATACTGACGTATATTTTCAGGCTAAACTTAGCGAAAAAACTGAATGGCTTTATAGGACAGGTCGTGACGTCAATTTCCCCCGCTAAATTTAGAGGGGAAACTGGATTGGTGTCTTGGTGTCAAGTCGTGAACGTTACCACTATATTTAGTGGGTGATTGAACTGGTGTATAGTTCATAGGACCTCGAATTTTCCGCTCAATTTAGCGGTGAAACTGAATCCATGTTTTGGCCTTTTGACCTTCATTTTTTCGCTAAATTTAGTGGGCAAACCAAGTTCACGTATAGGTCACGTGCCGTCAACTGCCCCCCCCCCCGGTCAGGTAACGTCACGTGTCGCCACTTTCCCGTCAAATGTAGAAGGGAAACTGAATTGGATTATAGGTTATGTGACGTCCATTGTTTCCGCAACATTTAGCAGGAAAACTAAATTGGTCTGCATGCCCCGTGATCTTAGTTCCGGTGACATCAATTTTCGTGCTACATTTAGCTGAGAAACTGAATGAGTGTTTAGGCCACGGTGATACCGCTTGGGCCAATATATTTAGCGCGAAATGCAGGCTCGGACAGACAGACGGACGGACTGGTAAGGTTTTTTCATTGGGGGTGGCTTTAAACATAATTTCATGCTTTCAAAGCACAAGGTCGTGGCACAGTTATTGTTCATTATTGATTTAGAAACGGCGAACCAATGGGCTGTTTATAGCGACGGCTACGGTAGAACTTAGTAATGTGCGGAATCGAAATTCTAGCGCCTTTTGTATTGTGTAAATTTCAGCCACACTCACGCTTACATAAATATTTATCCACTTCCTACAGAATTTTTTTTAAAGGACATAGTGTCTAGAGACTATTAATATTCGAAAGGAAGTGTATTCAATTTCTATCCACTGTCTTGTATAGAGATTGCATAGAAATTGTAAAACAATGGATAAAGCAGGATAGAGAATAATTATATTTCTCTCTTATTTCTAATAAAATAGACAATTTTGTTTCTGAAAAAAATATAAATTTTGAATAATAATTCTACCTTTGTAACGATATATCCATGGAAACATGCACTCGCCACTTGCCGTGTGCACAGACACAGACATCTCAATTACACACGCAACATAGCACTCATAACGCTAGTAATACTGTGGTTCGGGTACGGCTCCATCCCCTATAAATACCCCAAACTTAAAAGGCAATCACTTGAACGACGACAGTCCCAGAGTACAAAAAATATTATAAGTATGTTGCTGTTTTTTTCGAACATAATTGATATAAAATGTGGCTTATATTGGTTGCAAAACTACATCTCCAACTATGAAGCATTACAAGAGGCGATAATCATTTTCCACAGTAAGAAAAACCAGCCTCCAACTTGGTTTGATGTGGCTTCTCCCGACTGCTCCTAAATATTCTACCTATGCTAGTCTGTAGGAGTTCTATAGGAATATGTTGACTGAAGGCCTATTGAGATGTGGTACCATAAATTGTGTAGGATTTGTATCGTCTGTAGTCTATAGACCGCGGTTGAAATAAAATCCATAGAAAATCTCATGAAATGTTTGGACACAACGTCACTGAATAGGAAGTTGAAATGGTCGATAACATGTGAATAAGAATTCTAGAAAGTGCCTGAAAAAATGTTTGTACGGGGAAATACCAATATATTGTTTAAGAAAAACAGCACATTGTTCACAGCGAATAAACCGATGACCAGATTGCACCTAGTGGTTTTGGTGGATGTTCTCAGAGCTGCTTCGAATGTCGTTGCGCGCACATTCCCATAAAAGCAGTACCGCTCCGCGGAAGTAGATCGGCACGCGCTCTCGATGAAACTTGCTCCAACCGGTTTTTCCTTCTCTCCGGCGCCTATTCAACTTATGCCGCGGACAAGGAATGAGACTCAGAAGCGGATGATGTGAGTGACATCTGAAGTGCAGCCGCAGTCTCGTGCACGTCACTCGAAAAAAGTAATATATTACAATTAAAATTACTCTCACAAAAAAAGGGATTCAATTAGGTCACTTGATTATTTGAGAAGTAAAGTAATTGGTCATTAATTGAAACAAATCAAGCGTTACGACACCGATTACTTCATATTTTCAAAACGAAAGAACTTTCTGCCGCTTTGAATGTGAATCTTTTGTACTGTCCATTACTGAGCTTCAGTCACCGTAATATGAACAATCTATTCCCTTAATTCAGCAATTTCGGTAGACCATCCAGTCGGAAACTTGGTTCAAAGATTTCTTGTTAGGAAACTTCTACGGACATAGGACTACCTTCGAAACGGGAGGGAAACAAAGTAACTGTTAGAAGTAAATTTAGCACGTCCAAAATAATCAGATTATGTTAGTGGTTACAACCAAATAAATGCAATCAATTGATTGCAACATTACACCGAAACTAATTGATGCCAAGTAATGTGGACACTTGTAATGAGTAGCGTAAAAGTATGAGCGCGGGTGAGTAGTCACTCTTTCTCCTCCGATAACATATAGCCCAACATGTCCTTAGACAACCATTCCGTCGTTTACCCTGAGACTGGGTTTTTTTTAAGAGCATAAGTAACAGAAAAAACAAACAGGTCTCAAACTCCGCTACATGTTTATTTCAACAACTTCCTGTTATATAGTTCGTTCTCGTCGTCATCAACCGATCACATACGACTTGTCCTTTGCACCGTGGATTTACAGGTTCCACTCTATCACAAAAGAAGCGGACACTCCCAACGTTTCCAAGTGAAAAGGTTCTAGCAGAAGATATGCCTCACAAAGATTTCAAGCAACTCTTTTGTGTCCTCACAATAAACAGGACAACAGCCCACAACAACATCCTACTCAAAAAGGTCGCCTCCAAAATTATAGAAAACAGACAATACACACCAGTACACACCACAGACAATACACACCAAAGAAGCCTTTCAGAATGACTAAAAAAAGAAAAAAACATTTAAAACTGTAAACATTGCTTGCAGCGGTTCCCCATTTGCATGGAAGGTTGACTAATGCAATTTCCCAACGATCTAATCCTAATTGTTTCTCTTACCATCCTTTTAACATCTTTGCTTTCCTTAACAACTACAACCGTTCCAGACCAATCCGTTGTACAGTTTCTACACTCCTCCAGATGTTTAGCCTACTCCGAATTTGCTGCATTATTTTTAACATTCCTTTTGTGTTCTGTTAAACGATCGTTCAAACACCGAGAGGTTTGGCCTACATACTTAAAACCACACACCAAAGGAACCTCATACACCACACCTACGCTACGCGGCACCGACTTTTCCCTATGCGCCTTCTGACAGCCCCTCTGAACCGTTTCAAAAGGTGTCCATCTATCTAACCTAAAATCCGTACTGAATACGACATCCACGCCATATTTTTTTGCACATGCTCTAAGATTGTCGGACACCTCGCGAAAATACGGAACCACAGCGTACCTATTCCTGATTTCTTGCGTCTTCCCCTTTTTCTCCCTGCACTGTAGGGCAATCTGCCTTTTGATGTACTCTTCCCCGTATTCTGCCATTACCAGTCTTTCCCACTGGTTTTTTAGTGCCTCCGGTCCGAGATGCATGCATGATCTCACCAAAGAATTACTAATCAAAGATCTGCTTTTACATTTTTCGAGTGACAGCTACTCTTTGACAGAACCGGTTTTGGGTTTTCCTTCCCATACTCCCAACAAACACCTCGTTCCAAATGTAAACGCAGGTCGAGAAATTGCAGGACCTCGCCGCTTGGCCTCTCTAACGTGAATCTCAACTCTGGCGCCGCTGACCTTACTACTTGTTCTAAACTGCCCTTAGACGTCTTAAATGGCTAGGTTGTAACATTCTGACGCCACCAATTGGCCACGACAGCCCTTCTCGAGCTGGGAAAAGTGACGTCACGAACGCCCCGAGTATCCCGTGAAGTCTCTCGCGCTCCGATCTAGAATTGGCCGTTAGCAACAACAAATATAGTCATCTGGGTCATTCCATGCCAAAGGAGACGGCAATTTTCGTCATATATTGGATATGCTTGAAAAAAATAATGTGAATAAAGACACATTTGAAAGTAAGGATGGCTAAGTTTGAGAGCTGAATTATGTTTATTTTTGCTGACGTCAATCTCCAAAGTGCAGGAAATTTGAGAAAACCTCCTGTATTTCAAGAAATTGCTGAAAAAATGCTATTCTTACCACATAATTTTACGTTTGCATGCAATCAAGCATAAATATATTCTATCTTACCTTGAACGGAAAACACCTTAGGCCGCCATTTTGGGTCCAGACAGGCACTCCAAACCGAAGCAAATTTTTAAGATTTCTTGATTTTTTTTAGACAACTTCAAATTAAAGTTTGACTGAAAACCTTTTTCTACTTATTTTTATAAGCCTTATACTCAATTAGGTTGCATTACAACAGTAAAAAATTATTCGGACAGTTTTTAATTAAATGGTGAATATGACACTTTCTTCAAAAACTGCCCTATAGAGGATGAAAAAAAGCCATGTGGGCAATGGTGCTCGCATTTTCTGAAATAGCCGAAAGGTTAACCAACCCCCTCTGTTCAACATATAAAAAAATTAGAAAAGTACTTTTTGATGTTTTGGAGAAATAATTTTTTTAAATATGAGGCAGAACAACATCGCCTCCAGGTGTCCAGCTCGTCGGCAACGCACGCCGTCGTCTGGTACGGTCGAGCGAAACACTGCGCGGAGAACTTAATTTCGTTAACTATATTTGTATAGCTAACGCTAAGAACCTTGACATTATGACATGTCTATTTATAGTGACTATTAACATATTACCAGCACTTTTTATGAAAGCATTTAATTGCCGAGAACCTGGTACCATTGATTTGAAAGGCGGAGAAATTTCTTTGGTCACTAATGGGCCTCAAAATGTTTTCAACATATTGTTAGACACGTCGGAAACAAGTAACCCATATTCATTTGCACAAATATTTAATTATCCAAGTTATTTATTTTTAAACTTCGGGCTCGGAGGCTCAGAGGCTCTGCTAGCACAACTGAAAACGTGACTTCAAATGTTTTGGTGGGGGTGCGGTACCGTTTGTTGCCAACGAATTCCAATAGGTTTTATTGTGTGAATTGAATTGCTTGGAATTGAAGGCTAAAATGAGAAACTTATGCTAGTAAAGGACAATAAAGCGAATGCGTAAAATATTGCATTCCTTGGACTGGACGCTTGACTTGCAAGTTATACAACACGTGACCTAACCTAACCGAACAGCCTCGAAATATTTTAATGTTGGTTTTTGAAAGTCTTCGATTTCCATTGTTTTTTTTTTTTATTCAGTTTCCTTTTTTTAGATAACAAATAACATGCCGGAAAGAGTAAAGCCTTCGTATTGAGAAATTATGTTAGTTTTTGGGCATTTAAAAAAACAAAAAAAAAAACTAAGAGCTCTCCCCAATACGTAACAAGAGGGCTGACGTGTCGCTATCCGGAACCAGAGCCTTTGGAGGTTCAAAGCTCCAGCAGTTAGCAAGGTGAGCACTGTGAAGCTGCAATTTCCGAGCCGTCCCAATGAAGAAAAAAAGGAACGGGGGTCGTTTTGCCACTTGTCGAACGCGGGCATTAAAGCGCGATGTTACTCACTCTCCTGACTCACGAACGCAATCACAGAATCAATTGACAGTAAGTGCGCAGTAGAGCGCAGTGTGAACGTAGCCTTTTCTGAGGGCGTAAATTCCATCCCCAGTGTGTTACCGTTCAAATCTTCAAATCACATACATGCGGTTTTAAGTGATACCCAAAGTGACATTGATGCATAATATAAGGGTTTCGTAGTTCCGGTTGTTCCTTCTTTGATGTTTGGTGGTATTTTTGAGGGGGGAGGGTGTTTTTTGCGACATGCATCGTGAATTTCACGTGTTATTCATTTGGATAGGATAAAACATCGACCTCTATAAGCCTGTAGCTTTCAAGTTTGCGTAGCGTCTCTCGCGGGCAAAATCGAATATTTCTCGGTCATGGCGTTTTGATTGTACCTCATTACTTTTTTTTTACGTTGATAGCGAACGCTGAGCTGTCAAAATTTTATTGGGGGACATACGTTTGTGAAATAAAATACCAAGAAGGAAAAGCTCCAAGAAAATCTTTTATATTGTTTTGATAAGGCACTGAAAGTGCAACTTGCATGTTTTGTTTATTTGAACTTTTTAAAACTACGTTTTAGCTTAAGTCTAGGCGCAGCCAACGCTACGAGCTAATGGGAGCAATCAATCGGTGTCAAAAGCGCTATACCTTTAATTGTTTTATGTTTATGATTGCTTCAACAACGACAGAACACGTACAGCAACATAACGAACACCATGAGCGCACGCTTATGACGCTGTGTGATTTGTCACGTCTGCACGTAGCGTCGGCTGCGTCTGAACTGAAGGTGAAACGACGTTTAGTTCCATCAGACGTTCTGTTACCGTGCGTAGACAGATGTGGACACAGGCTTCTAAGTGCCCTCCGTGGACCGTGCATGATCGAACGCCACAGCGCCAATTGATGCCTCATGCTTGCATTACCTGGTCGCGTCTTACGAATGCGCTCGCGCCACTCTAGCCAAGAGCAACAGGCTTATTATCGCCTGTGTCGAAGAAAACAGGTCATGGGCGTGGGGATTTCCAACTTTCCGGGGCGCATCCGGTTTAACCGGAGTACTTGGACAATGTCCAGGTATCGATAAAGAGAAGAAAACAAGATAAGCGGCGTGGTTCCCGAAGAAAGACGCAGCTTCGAAGAGTCTTGAATGGGGTTCTGTAGCTGGATGAACGCAAAATGTAGCAGTGGATAAAATGTTTTGTCACATAAAGCGTAGCTTTTTTTTCGTTTCAATTTCCGGTAACTAATTTATTTTATTTTTTGGGGGGTTTCCTACATTTTTCTGTATAAAACCGACTCGGTTGTACTTATAAGGTTTCATCACTGTTTACCGAAAACATTGAATCTTACCGACTTAGCGGTTTACGCTTTTTTCTTAATTTTGAGGTATTTTGCGGGGTTTATTTTTCGCACGAAATCGGTGTTTTAATGTGCCTAATATTGCTTTGTTACAACGCACTAAGTTTTGATCGGGTCTCATGTCAAAAAAAAATGCAAAAGCACAACACATGTTGTGGATTGCTCAGTCGCCTTGTAACAATTGCATGCGCTAAATATCCAGGAAAAAAATGGCGGTACCGATAACGTAAGAAAACAAGAAAAGGAAAGTGGTTCGGAAGAAAGAAGCAGCAACGCGAGCAGTAGTGTGAGGGCTATGTTTTGGGTAAGCACAAAATAAAGCTGTAGATCAGAATTTAAAATATTGCTTTTCGTATTTGAGGACGAAGAGAAATTGACGTTTTCGAGATTTTTTTTTTTTTTTTTTAGTTATGGTGAATCTGGCAAAATGTAATATCTCGTGCAGAAACGGTATCTTCCGAAAAAAAAAAGCATCTACAGTTCACTTATGATTTATGCTAGGATTGACAACTTGAGTTTGGAAAAACAACCCGAAACATTTCAACACTGCACTCACCTTGGCTCTCCGTAACGGCCCGACAGGCGCCGGGACTGACCTGGATAGGACCGATGGCCGTCTCGGAGGGCATGTAACGCATGGTTTCGTAACGGATTTCGAGCTGCAATAAAGCAAGGTTATGAGCATTGCGGCGTCAAACAGCCTTGATCCGCAGCTTTTTGTATACGCTGTTATAACTTCTCGCGAGTATAATGCTAAAGAATCCGCTTTCAAAAACGCGTTGCTATTTTTCGAAGTTCTGAAAAATGGCTATTATGTGTAGAGCCACACAAACACCTACGATCGCAGTATCGTAACCTCCTTTACACATTGTTGTGGGGCTTCTGCCATTTTTTTTGTACATGCGCAATTTTCAAAACTTACTTCAAACCCTTTTTTTTAGGTGCGCGGCGGACGGTAATTCGTTTTGTGCAATTTGGAGTAAAGTTCCATAAAACTGAAAAATAATTTTACTCTGTGAAACAACCCGAAGTGTTGATTATCTGACGCTTTCATGATTCAGCGAATCCATCGATAAGTATATACCTCATCGATTGACTGAAGATATAAGGGGAAGATCAAATATTTTAATTTTCTGTGTACAATATCGTTTCCCAGGATGACTTCAGCGTTTTAATTAACTCCTAACACCTTCCGTGTCTTATTTACACGTAAGGTGTAAACAAGACATGGAAGTTGTTAGGAGTTAATTAATTAATTAACTAAGTTAATCTATGTACAATATCGTTTCCCAGAATATTAGGATTATTCTTATTAATATTAATTATTATTTATTACTATTGTTATTATTACTACTATTATTATTATTATTTTTATTATTACTACTACTGCCGAGCTGTACGTTTAACCAAACTATAGCCTCGTCTATTCTAGAAGTTCTGACAAATCGCGAAAAAACGTGGCCGCTTTCAGAGAGAAGGAAGGGATCAAAGAAGAGAGCGCGCGCATGGGGTCTATCACGCAGCGCCAAACAATGCCCCTGTGGTAAAACCTGGAGACAGAAAGGCGCTCCATTTTACTGTTGTTTTTTCTTCCGAAAAGGAGATCATTTTGCGTTGACCCTCCACTATTTTAGCCCTCTCCAGTTTCTTCATACGCAAGTATCCTTTCTTTTTTCTTCGTTGCGGTTGGTCAATGTTTCGTACATCTTTTTGCGGCTTCCTCTAAGGTAACCCCAGAAGTTACCCTGCTCTATCACATCGGCAAGCGTTCGGCCCTGTTTCTCCCCTGTTTCCGGCGGCCGGTTGCTCAATGGCTCCGTCGTCAAATTGGCTGGATTTCAAGAATAAAAGAGGCTATAACCAAACACTCTATCCAGAAAGACATCCAGGTCATCTCTGTTGTCGGTAATTCATCTAAACCTTAGAAGCTGGCTATGTAACTTTCATTATTCACTTTTCTTAGTATCTGCTCTAAACGTCAATTTAACTTTATTGCAGCTTCTCAAACGTGGCTTAGCAATAACGCGAATTATAAATTTGATTTGCATAGACTTCATGCAATCTGCAGTCATTCTCAAACTCAGTACATAATGTTTTTGTCTACATCGCGTGGAAGAGTTGCTCTCTTCATTAATGTCACACTCACTCTGAAATCTTGACTGAATACAGATATGTTTATGTTTATGTTTATTCTTATTTTCAGTGACCCACCAACAGCTTGACGCCTTCTTAGTGGTGCACTTATTCCTTCAGAAATACAACGCTAAACAGGATAAAAGCGAAACGTTAGGAAAGAACAATAGCCTCAACACACTGTCGAAATTTACGCTTTTCATCAAATATATCAAGGCTAGCATTTGCACAAATCTGTTCTAAATGGTTATAAGTCAGTTGTAGGCGTGTTATGGGCGCAGCATGATAAAAGTCGATAGGATAAAACAAATTATAAAGTCTACAAGATTGACGAGGAACGTGCAAATAGATGTGGCTGAGTAGCTCTGGGGAGTCAATTATACCATTTACAATCTTATACAAGTATGTCAGTTCACGAATTGTCCTCCTGTTGTGCAACGAGTCTAACTTCACGAGTTCACAAATCCTCTCATAACTATAGAAATAATTCGGTTGAAAATAACGATCAAACAAAACACGAACAAACCTACGTTGAACACTCTCAATTAAACCTGAATTAGTCACTCCAATACAGTTCCAGACAACTGAGGCATATTCAACACGACTACGCACCAGTGAAGAAAACAAACGTAAAATACAAAGTGGTCTAGAAAAATTGTGTGTCACTTGTGTAATGGCTCCCAGCACTCGAAAGGAAGCATTTGTAATTGCGGTGACGTGATGGTTGAAATTAATTGCAGGATCCATAAAAACGCCTAGCTCATGGATGACCTCAACACGAGTAATATTGGTGGAATCTAATACATAGGAAAAACTCAAACTTTCACGCTTAATAGAAAAGGACATAACTTTCGTCTTTGATTCATTTAAAAGTAGGTCATATGAAAAACACCACGCCGAAATAGAATCTATATCGCGCTGAAGACATTCACAATCGTCAACCCTTTTAACCGCTGTAAACAACTTAATATCATCAGCAAATAACAAAAACCGCGTGTGTTTAATACAGGAAGTTAGATCATTTACAAAAACCAAAAACAGCAGAGGAGCGAGGTTACTGCCTTGAGGAACCCCAGAAGTAGATGAAAAAGGAGCAGAGAATCGGCCGGATACTCGCACAAAGTTCAGCCGATGAGATAAGTAACTATCGAGGAGACGGCAGTACTTAAGGGACAGACCGTAACTACCTAGTTTACTCAACAGTAATCGGTGATTAATTTTGTCAAATATTACGAAAAGGTCGTTTAATCCTCGCACAGCCTTTCAGTGACATCTTCAACATTGCTTTTACCAACTAACACTCACCCTGATTTGCTAAACGTAGCTGATGTGTTTACGACATTTAAAAAAGGAGAAAATAAGAAAAACGGGCAACTACCGACCGATCTTTCGACTCCTGTTATTAAAAGAAGAGTTTGAAAAACTTCTACAAAAAACACAGAAAAGCCCTTTACACTTAACAATTTAAATACTTTCTCGCAATGCGGTTATATAAAAAAGAAAGTTAACAGATCTAGCCCTAATATACACGGAAAAACAGACATAACCACGCATAGAAATCGGTTTAGCAACAATCGACCGCTTTCGAAGCGTGGGCGGAATAGGACGCTAAACAGACGCAGTTGGCGGCGCACTTCCTGCATTGCAGTTAATACTGAACAATCTTGATGTAAGGCTAGAACAATGATGCGCTCAGGGAAGCAAAATAACATGCTTTCATCGAGATACTCACCCGGTTTGAACGTGCATTCATGTCCAGGGTCCGCTGGACGCTGTACCAACTGTCAGCGATTGTACGTCCCTCCCTGTACAAGACGCTGAAAGGGGCCCACATCTCGGCGCTTCCTGCGTCCGACTGGAGAGCGAGCCTGGTCACTTGTAGTCTGGTTTCCAAACCGCCAAACATGTGGTACCAGAGGGTAGCGCACCAAAGTCCGGACAGGGAAGGGACGTTCATGGAGTTCAACTGCATGCTTCCGCCGTTCATAGCCAATTGCACCCGGTTGGTGTGAATGAAGCTTCCTGAGGTCATAAAAAATAAGGTCACGTACTCTAATGTGAATCAATATTTAACAGTGATAATGATGAATGTCAGTTAACGAATTAACCATCCGATTAGTCAAATAACACTTAAAACGTTGTCAACCTTTTAATTATTAAGGTAAATGGTTACTTATAAGTTAAATGCAGACTTGTGTGTATCTTAGTTACTCTATACAAGATAATGTATTTCACATACTTTAGTATCATTTCAGTATCTTCCACATACATTTCATCTAAGGTATTGCTACTCTATTTTAATTAAATTTTTCGCTATACGGTACTCAGTATCTCTAATGCATCTTAGAAACTGCGAAAATATTTGTCACCAGAACAATCTACGAAACTAGGGGTTGTTAGACTCCAGGGCAAAGCTCAACCGATTGCAGACTAGGAGGCAAGAGAGCAAGTACAGGACAGGAAACAAATCACGAGAAAAACAGTCTCCGAATGCTAACAGAAGACCAAAGGGATTGCCCCAAGTACGCTCGCTCCTGTGCCATAGTGTCATTTTTTTTTGTCTTCAAGTTGTTTTTTGAATGGCACATTGCATTTTAGCCTGCATAGAGGTGGTGACGCTTATTTTGACTTTCGGCGATTCCGTAACAAACATCGATTATTTCGATCAAGTGCGGTTCATTCACTGCCTATTTTCGATTTTTTCCTCTTTGCCGACCACGACGATGGTAAAAAAGTTCTTATGATATATTCAAACTTGGCTCTTGATTCTAGCAGAATATGATGAGACTGTGCCTCTGAAGCTTATAAACCAAATTAATAGTTACACACGTGACAAGACAAGTAGTAAAATAATTTCTGGAGCACAACGGGCACGTACTAAGAGCCAGCAAGTGGCGTACCGCGTTCCACCCGGATGGCGCGTGCTTCCAGAACACCTCTGATTCGACACATTTTGTTTCTTCTGCATTAATAAGACAGATGGAAGACGCCAGAAGGTTGAAGTCGCATGGTGGAGTGGTTAGCACACCCGACGGGGAGCCTAGGCTTGGAGTTCAAATACCGGCTCCGCTGTTTATTTTGACTTTCTGCTATTTCGTAATAACCATTGATTCATTCGATCAGGTACTGTTCATTTCTTTGCATATTTTTTATATATATATATATATATATATATATATATATATATATAATATTAAATATGCAAACGAATGAACAGTACCTGATCGAATCAATCAATGGTTATTCCGAAATAGCAGAAAGTCAAAATAAACGGCGGAGCCGTTTATTTCGATTATATATTGATTTTGATATATATATATATATATATATATATATATATATATTTATATATATATATTATGTTGATTTATATATATATACAGGGTGTTTTTTTATTCCTACATATTTGTTTAAAACAAAACGTGAAAGCTACACTAATGCGGTTTGTGCAGGTGGGTTATACGGTCAGGCGGACATGATGCGGGTGGCTAATCTTTGCGATAAATCGGCTAATTGATTCAAATTCGTTAATTAACTAGTAGAGCATCATTAAAAAACACTAAATCAACTATTTTTGGAAAGATATAACGCCGGGGAAGCATTTTACGGCGTTCTCTAAAAGCGTTCCATTTGGACGCGTTTCTAAATCAGAACGCATCACCGCGCCCGCGGTCCTGCTCTCCAGTGACTGAGACGCGCAATACACGTGCGCCGTACTTCCTTCCATTCTGCAAAGGAGGCGAGGAGGTGGCTTCGCGCCGCGACCACCGGGGAGCAGGATCGCGGGCGCGTAGATGCGCGCCGATAAGAAACCGAAATCTAGAAACGCGTTCAAATTGAGCGTTTATACAGAACGCCGTGAAATGCTGCCCCGGCGTTATATCCTGCTAAAAACAGTTGATTTAGGGGTTTTCGATGATGCTCAGCGAGTTTCTAATTGAAAGCATATGTTTATTTTCAGTAATTAAACGTTTATTAACGAATTTTAATTAATTAGCCCACTTATCGCAAAGATTAGCAACCCACATAATGTCCTCCTGGTCGTATAACTCACCTGCACAAACCGGATTAGTGTAGCATTCATGTTTTTTTTAAACAAATGTGTAAGAATAAAAAAAACACCTGTATATATATATCGTTGAGTAGGACAGGACAAAAAGTGTATAACAGAGTAAACGTACTTTCAAGCATTAATTAGATTTTCGGCACAAATCGATCAAAGTTTCGACCTGCGTCAGGCCTTCATTGGGACTGGTTACAAAACATTTTTTGCTGTCGGGGCTCGAGAACTCCGAGTGCGGTCACGTGTCATGTGATGTTTATACATCATTAAAAGCACAGCAGGTTTCCAATTATTTTGGGTGGCAGGTCAAAAGTATGCGCCTCGCAGCAAAACTTACCACAAGCAATCCAGGCTTACCTGAAACACCTTTGGGAAGGGGTCTGGGTCCGACGTTGAAAACAGGGGCAGTCATGTCGGCAAATAACCATCCGACGCCTTTCGTTTTTGCGGTAAAAGACCATTTGCAGAAAGATCTCTTTCCGAAATCACAGTTCAGTATGTCATCCGCTGAACAAATAACAAAATAAAATCGTAATTTGCAGACGAATCAGGCTACTTGAAAATTATGTAGAATTTGTGAGGTCATACTGGGCGGCTAGGGCCAGTAAACCAAACTTCTGATAACAAATATGGTTGTAATATATCCAGAACCTTTCAAAACTCAGTGTGGTAACTTGAATCACTATCATCATCAAAATATTTGGCATTTGTGCCAAACCCATGACGGCCTTCTTGAGGCTGATAAAAGAAAAAAGAAGTTGAACATACAACCGAGCGGAGGACATCTAAGGCATGTATGTTCGAGGTGTCCATGCAGCCCAACGGATAAATTAAGTAGGACTGCTGCGTAAGCACTTATTTCGGATTGTGATCCAATCAATCTCTTGGCACAAGCCTGGTTCAAAATACTCTCGATGGCGGAAATTTAATCAATGGCTTTACAGACCGCCGCTTTGTACTTGTTAGTTCTGGTGTTCCGATCATCGGCACAGAAACAATTTCAGGAAGAAATATATTTCGTGATCGAAGAACTAAATCTCCAATGCCAATGACGTGCGAACGTTAAGGAACCCGATGAAATGCAGTTCATAAACGCCATTGCCTTCCCGAAAGTAAAACCGTTTCATGACCAACCAGGTGCATTACATTTTTTAATGGGTATACTCAAGAGATCACCGAAAGTTCTGCTTGTGTTTGTCCTCCTTGTGTTGTGTGTATTTGTGTGTTCAGTGAAGCTTGTATATGTTCTACTATTTGCGTCCAAATTTGAGGAACATTGTAAAGAAATTTCTTTTTAGAGTGTTTTGGCTAATGAGAACTATTAGAAAACCCATAAAGCCTTCTTTACCAGACCATATAAATGGTTAAACGCGCTAAGAGAAGAGCCATAGTCACCTATAGCATGCTGGCTATAGAGAGTCAGCCATTAGAAAAGCTAAAGAGCGCTATGGCTGAACAGTGATAGGGTCATACACAAAGCTAAAGAGGCCTTAAAGACGACCATAACAATGCTAAAGACAGCCATAAAAATGTATTTAGCTAATTAAGCCATATAGTTAAAGCTGACCATATAAAGAATTTCATATAGCCGACCATAGGACATTTTTGTATGGGTATTTCGTAGCAACTAAATTATTTTGAAGTTTTATATACCTGATAACGTCTACTGAATAACTGAAACTGGAAAATCAATAATGTACGAAAACGGATAATGACAAAACACACAAGGTATGGCTTAATATCAAGAAGCTTCTAGCTTTTTGTTGCGTCCTTTGGAGTTGCTATTGGAATATAAAGCATTCGTATTTTCTGAGGGGCGACAGTATGACGCTCAAGACACACTTTGCCCTCCACTTTGAATATTGCAAAAAAGAAAAACAAATGGCACTAGAACATCATCGATAGTTGTGGCAACGAAATGTCTAGACTTCTTACTAAATACGTTTTTTCTCTTCATAGCAGTAGATAGCTCATATTTCCGAGGGTAGCCTTCTACAGTAGATGGCTTTGAACGTATTCAGCTGAAGCGCGGACGAGCAAACACTTTTGCTAAGCTTAAAAACACAAGGCCTTTTAAAGCTCTAACTAAATTTATTACTAACCTTCTCTGAGGGAAGATGCGTTCTTAGGCGAAGGGTCGCAAGACTCATTGGGGAAAATTCTGATGTCATCCAGGGCCACGTAACCAGGTGGAAGAGCTCCTGCCGCGATTCCCTCGAATATCACCTATAAGAAAAAGTGATACCAGAAACTTTAAACCCACTTTTCCCTCGCGTATTAAAACTACCAGTCGATTGAAGCAATCTGCAATCTTCAAACATCTTCTTTCAGAGGTAATACCACTCTCTGACCACAAAATTATTCTTTAGGCTCGTGATTCATTCGTTTCTTCAATTTACACCGTTTACAAAGCAAACGTACTGTTCGTACCTACACCTGCGAAAACTGCAATGACTGACAGCTTAAGGAACGCCGGGTGTAGCAGGTTTTTAGCGTCTCATGTTCTCTCGGCAAAAATTCCATTGCGTCATAAAGGATAGGTACGTCAAAGTACAAATCACGTAGCATTAAGTGTGAAACTAATATGGCTGGTCCTGTGTTGCCTAAGCCGTCAATGACAATACAGCTCAATACAATGTCGTGCGGATAGTGTATTACGGGGAATATTTATTTACTGAACATTATCGGATCACCCTGTGAGCAACGTCCGGGTTTTGAAGCTTAACGGTGAAGAATTGTCTAAGAGATTACTCGCAAATCTACCCCGTTCCTCTGTGACTGATTTTTTAACGCTCTGCTGTGACGAAACTGATCAGGCCCTGCAGAACCAACTTTTTTTGTTCCACAGAGGTCCGTGCAGTATGTCAACCTGAGGGAAAGAAATGAAAATTGCCGTTATTTTGCGGCATTTCACTCTCAGAATGAAAAAAAAAAGATAAATTTAAGTGCAATAGAGCAGTCGTATATTTCACAATGTGCAACTTTTTTACTCTGTATGGTTTCCCATCACATTTTCAAAAAAAAAAAAGAAGAAAAAAACGCCTTATGCTCCAAATCGAAGAGTGCTTTCGATCACGCCGAAAAGGTTCACCTACTGAAAGGAAGCAAACAGATCTTGACACATTCTAACGTTTATCCCCTCGTCCCGCCGATTTGTTGTGTCCTGAAGAATATAACGGAGGCCTGCTTTGTTTGTTGACTGGCGTTTTTGATATTCAAAAAGATAACGCGTGTGCTTTTGTTTCATTTGACGTAAGTTCGCTAGCCGACGCCTCACACAGAAGAAAAAAAAGAACATTATCTCCTACGTTCTAATAAATTATATAGTGCGAAAAATTCTGCACAATATTTAAGGCTTATTATCTGTCTTTTTTGGTTACTGTGATATTGAACGATAAAATTGTTTGTCTGCGTTTTATTTTTATTCATTTTTTGCTAAGCAACATACGAAACTGATGGAACCTCGAAAGCTAAACATTTTGAGTCACATTTATGATGCCTGGAGTGCGTCTGTGATTGGTGTGTTTAGTGTGCTTTGCTGACCATACATCAAAAAAGATCCAGAAGTGACACCAAATAATGTCACAGAAACCGGAGTATCATGCTTTTGGATGTCGCGATCCTGGCGGTTGGTCGTAGAAATACTGGCGAAAATCACGAGAAAACGGGAGTGTCGCTGTCTTCACGGCATCTCAACTCCTGACTGCAGAAGCTTCCGTGAACTGCCACACTTAAGAGCGACCTTCAAAAAATTACGCGTCTGCTACATACACAACTGTTGGGACGCCGCCAGGATAGTGACCCGCGACAACCTGGAACTCCTATGACGTCATGAGGCGGAAATCGAGTGACCACTGCTTTGGACGCGTTAAAAACACCAGTTGGAGACACGTTCCAGGCACCATATAAGCCCCTCCTTCCCTCCCCTGATTAAATCAAGATGGACCACTTAAAGTTTCTATTAATTAGCACCGCATGTGGCACACTAAGACGAAACAATACTGCATGGATATTTGATGGAGATACCATATGGAGTAAAAATGGCAACTCAGTTTTGAAAACGTTCGGAAGTCAGGTCTCTTATTTTATACGTATAACTACGGATTTTTAGGTTGGGAATACCTCCGTTTTCACACGTTATCAGCAAATATAATCGGTTTCCTTCTAAGTGGTGACTGCCAATTATCACCGAGTTTTATAAATCTGAGTAGGAAACTTACTCTAGTCTTTCCCGAGAGTGCAAGGCGCCCCAGTTTCCAATCGTCAAATTCGCCACCTTCCGCTTCCCATAGGAGGCTCATTTGTTTTATATCTTGGGGGTTTCCATTCAGTGGAATCGACTGCACCTGTAGTGATCAAAATAAACACGAGTACGAGGAATAAATATTTGAAAATCATATCGCGTATTAGCAGTTGATATATCTATACACTCGAATGTCCCTTTTTTAGAACGTAAATACATATGTTATTTTTTAACAATTAATATCATTTTTTGATAAATTTATAAATATGCTACTATTATAATGATGTTACTTTAATTTCTGGTAGCGTCCAAAAACAGCCATAAAGGCTTTATCATAGGTACACTTTGAACACAAACGAGCTTCACGTTAAAAGCATTAACATCTGAACAAATTAAATACAGGAACGTCAAAGTTCCGTTCAATGGGTATACGCCATGTTAAAAGCGAAAAAAAGCCCTATACTAAAAACAAACAAATTATATATATATATATAAAGAGAGAGAGAGAGAGAGAGATACGACTATTGTCTTTTCAGAATCAACAAATCATTGAGTGCGTATATGTGCAGATCCGCATTATAAAGTTTAATATACAAGTACATAATCACAGAAGTAGGTGAGGCGTGATATAGGGCGTTCAGAAAAAATGACAACATTACCCTACCCCTCGGTACGTTAAAGTTCAAAGATGAGAAAAGTGATACGCTATTATTTTGACCAGAAATTAATTTATGTAAAAACATTACATCACGAATGGCACGTCCTTTAGATAGCTCGTCTAACCCAAAATGCTTCACAAGCGATTCATAGTTATAGTAACCGCGACGATGAAAGTACATATCACCAACTATCTACATCAGGTGCTTCTGAATTCGCTCAAATTCGTTGCTCTAATTGGAAGACAAAAAGTTCGAAGCTACGGAGTTGATTTGAAATCTTGAACGAACCAAGCAACAAAATAAGTACATCCAAAATGTAAAGATCAAAAAGTTGCACGTCATTGGTCAAATCAACCCCAGTTTACATAGGGAAATAGCAACTATTGAAGTGATATATTCGTTAAATGTGAGAGGTCTATCATAAGAACGCGAAGCTCACGCATGGTAGAAACAACGCTGTATGACTGTTGCACACGGAATTGTGTATCGAAAAATTGTATGATAGTGCATCGTGAACGATGACATCAATTTCTTCTTTCATTGGTACAAAGCCAATTATTAAATTATCACCACCATGACATACTATAAAATGTTGTTGTAAAAATAAACAGTCCCCACTGTCACATACCGATGAATATAACTTGATTCCACCGCCACACAACAAAATCTTCGCACGTTGAGGCAAAGTGATGAGAATATATATTCGAAATCAGGATCAAATTGCTGTGCCAAGTAAGGTATGACTGAATGCAGGCAAGATATCGTTGACAAATGCCACACAACCGAAGCTTCGACAATAATAGAACACGATTCACGGTGTTCAAAGCCTTGGACATACCGAATTAGATCGATTTGCCCTAGGTCAGAAAGCACCGTAGAAGAAGAATTAAAGAATGAGCACATGTAAGTTTCGACTGGTCTCTCCTGAAGGAATGCTTGCTGATCATGATTTATAATTTGTCGGAAATAAAAGAAAGTCGCCCAAGCAAGACAGTTTCAAAAACTTCCAAGGATGCATACAAAAAGGAAACAGGTAGGTAGTTTTGACCAGGAAAGCGTCACATGCCTTAATTATTGGGACTATATATTGCTTATTGGCATTGCTGCGAAAAAAAAGAATTGATTGATAAGTTAAAGAATGCCGAAAGACAGGAGCAAGAAGGTCTCGGAACCTTTGATAATAAAACACGGTATAGAGTCAGCATCCAAAGATCATTTAGGTTTGAGGCATCATAGCAGAAAAAAACCCTAACTGCTAAAAACAGTTCGTCATCAGCTGTGTCGCGAAACAGAAGGGTATCGTTGTTTCCTATTACTGAGTCACTCTGTTGTATCGATTTTGAATGCAAAAAAAGGGAATGAAGATGACCAGAAAAAATGGCGGCAACCTTTCGACTTAAAGAATCGTAAACAGAATTGCCAAGCAAGGGGATTGCGCGGTTCGTCTCACGTACATGCGGTTTGGTGAACTTCCAGAAAGAATAGTGATTATGCGTCAGACTGCGTTCAACAGATTCAGATTGAAATGAAAGATGTTTACAATCCCCTGTAACGCTGAATTAAAGCGAAGCTCTTGAGGAGGTGGAGAGGTGAAGGTAAGGAGAGGAGGCTATGTCCCGCCCCCTGTCCTGCTCGTCTCCCATTTAGGGGAAAATCTTCCGCTAAATTTAACGGAAAAATGTCCATTTATATCGAGAGGAAAATTTCCCAACTAACTTTAGCGGAAAAATTTTCCCGCTAAATTTAGCAAAATAAAGTCCCCGCAAAAGTTAACAAAAAAATGTCCCCACCAAAGTTAGCGGAAAGGTTTCCCCGCCAAAATTAGCGGAAACATTTCGCCGCTAAATTTAGCGGGAAATTTCCCCCGCTAAATCTAGCGAAAAAGTGTCCCTGCTAAATATAGCGGAAACAAATTCCCGCTACGTTTAGCGAAACAATTTTCCCGCTAAAATTAGCGGAACATTTTTCTCAATTTAGCGGAAAAATTTCCCCCTCTAAATTTAGCAGAAAATTTTCCCGCGGTTACGTCGACGCCGTCGGCGACGCCAACGCCGCTGAAGCCGGAAATGGTCGCCTAGAGCTGCGCTCTGAAAGCTTTGTGTTTAAAGGTTAATGCAGCAGTGAAAGCGCTCGGAATAAATACACACTTGCGACTCCAGTCTTGTGCCCTTTGTTGCTTTTTACACCTATTTAAGACATTAGTAAGGTTAAGATTAAAATTTGGATCAATCATTTGGAATTCAGTAACTTGATCACAGGCTTTTGCGATTGAATATATACAAAAACGAATCATTAGAATTCTATACGACCGTTAGCTTGGCAGAAAATATGTTCAACATTATCAAACGTTGCTTGTTCGACTCCCGTTGGCAAAACATAGGAAAGACAGATATTCGATATATTTCGCAACGTTCTAAATGCCAAAGTGAATTCATTTAATTGTTTGCGTTTTTTAGACTTTCATGCTCTGTCAAGGCTCCGTAGGCATGCGCTAACTTTAGCCAGCTTTTATGTCTTCTGTGTCTTATTTATCAAGAATTCAATAGGCATTTAATAAAATGCACTTTGACCATTTTTTCTTTTTGCCAGTTTATGTTTCCTGTCCAAAACTGAATTCTTTTAACTACTTATTGTAAGGCGGGTTTTATGTAGTTTTTTCAGATTGTATTCTATATTGTTGATATTTTATTCTGACATATAGTTTGCTTTGTGTGCTCCATGCTGTAAAGTTTTCTGTGGGCGCATAAAACAAAAGACTTAATACGTTTAATATTATTATTTTCGTGAAACATATACAACCAAGAAAACGCCGTCATCGAAGCCTCAATTCATATTAATTGTCTATCCGGAATTCATTTAAGACGAACACAATATAAAAATAGAATAATAAAGTGTGCACTAAAGCACTATGATTTCTACATCTCTAAGTTAATAATAAAGAGTCGAATCACAGACACAAATCACTCTAAGAAACAAAGTTCTTTTGCACCATAACCTCTACTACATACTGCGAAATTGTATTTCCGCTAAAAGTGGAAATACAATTTTCACTTTTCGTATTTTACAATAAAACGGAGCATTATGTAGCTTCTCAGCATTATATACTTCTAAAGTGAGGGAGGTAGACAATGCGCATTCAGCTGCCCTTGTTGCTCCGTCAGCACTTTACTGCACTGATCCAGACAGTGGGCTAAATGTGGTGTTATTAAGTTTGATGTTATGATTTTAATGATGACATTGAACATCATAAGTACAACTTGGTATGCTGAAAACACGCTTGGACCCCAGGCTCGGAGTTATACTGCACCGACTAAATTGTGTGTCTACGGTTTCTTATTATTATACACGTAGAGGTACCCTTAACTATCACTACGCGAATATGGAGATTCTTTGGTACCAGAAAACTTTGGAGATTAATATCGCTGAATCTCCTACCGTAGCTTCGCTTTGTGTAAATAACATACATGAATTCACGGTTACTTATAGTTTATACCGAAAATAACATACTCTGGTGTTCAATGCCAGTAAACAAAAGCAACAAAATATGTATCTAACAACTAACAAGCATAAGAATTATTTTTAATTTCACGATTATCGATTTTTTCTCAGAAAAAGCATCAATGCGGCGTTTAAAATATCTGTTTATAGGACAATTGTTCAAGCTTAACAAATGTCAAAGCTACACTAATGCCGTTTCTGCGGATGAGTTGGACAGTCAAGGGAACATAGTACAAGGTTCAAGTCTTAACTACCAGTCGGCAAAATAACTAAATGCGTTATTCAGGCTTTAAATTATTGAAGACAAACATATGGTTATAGTTAGAACATTGCTGGGTTTACTGGAATTCACTAAATTAATACGAATTAGAAAGAGTTAGAGCACTCGGGAAGCATTGTGGAGCACTAACTGAGCCACTAGTGTTGCAGGAGCAAAGATATCTGCGCAATAACACGCCCCCGCGGTTTCTCAGTCTGTCATTTCGGTTTTCTCATCCCCCAGCCTTGTATACGCTGTACGAGAGACAAATATAGCGCACTAGAGCCTTTCCCGCTCGCTCGAGTTATTTTTAAAGTTACTGATTTTGTGGGTTTTGATTACTCTCTACAAGTTTCTAAACTAAACTTTTTTTGAACTTTTACTCATTAAAAAAGATGATTATCGTAATACAGCCAACCACTTGACATCGTTTCCATTATTCCCCTTTTTTCTGTCCATCTGGCCGTAAACTCATCTGCACAAACCGCGTTAAAGTAAACTTTGTGACCTAATATATATATATATATATATATATATATAAACGACCTAGGTTTGGGTAAGCTAAGAAATATTCCTTTAGTATAATAAATTGAAAAAAAAAATATCGAACATTTTAGTTGATGAGTGCGAATGTGCAAGCTCTATAGAGGACTCGCTGCTTGAAAGTGGTGGCCCGCCATGCAGACGAGCCAACCTCTGTGAAAGATCTGCGTTCTTAATGGCGTTTTTTACTCCTACTTGTGCTTGCAAATGATTGCAAGCATCGGGGTGTTTGCAAAAAGAAAAAAAAAAGCAGTGTCAGTCTTTGTAGCGAACAATTGTACAATTTGTGCTTTCTGGTTGCTGTGAGGAAGTATTAATTCGACATAACATGATCGTCTTGCGGGAGCACAGACGATCTCCTGGAGGAAAAACTGGATGCTACAAACCCTTAGCTTGGCCGCTTTCGGTCCCGCCACTATGTACCAGAACTCCATGCAAGGCGTCGCTAGCCGAGTGGAAATGACCGGTTCGCTTACAATCCGTGAAGTGGCACCTGCTATCTGCTGGAACGAGCTGAAGTAAATATAGGAACCTAGAAAAAAAAAAGAGTAGTAATATATAGAGTCTCTTTGCTTGCATTTGCAACATAATAATTGTACTATTCTGGGTGTATGGAAGAAAAGAGAACAGTGATTTTCGCGGCAGGATAATGACCTACGCCGCGCTAAAACAAATAATAGCTCGAAGAAGTGTTGAGACATCAAGATATAGTATTAGTTTATTAAGCATGAACGACACAACATGGCGGAGAATTTCCCTGTTGCGAGACTCCTACTCGTGTTGTTTGAACCGCCGACATCACTAAAAGACTGCTTGCTCAACACATCCAAATATAACCGACTATGCCCTTGTTTGACTCACAAGAGTTACACTTACTATACCCACCATTGCTCTTGCCCAGAGTGTGGTCCTTGGTGGGTTTCGCCAACGTACTCTTGATTGTTCCGCCACCCAGCGTCCATTGAGATCTACCGTTGAAGGATGTGTCAACATTCTGCCATGTGCAAAAACCCCGTTCAAAGTCGCAGCCTTGAAAGTCGTTGCCTGAGGAGGAATTTTGGTTTAGGTGCCGGTCGAGGTCTCGTGATTTGGTGCGGTCTAAATTTAGTGGATGATCATTAGGTTGTTATTCAGTTAACTGATTAACAACTAATACTGCTTCTGTGGCAAGGGAGTCCCGGAAACTCTATTAGTAGAAATATATCCGCTCTTAATAGAAGGTCAAGATGGATTTTAGATAATGCGACTCTCACGCACTAAACTATTTGAATGGCTACAACGCAATATACTTTTATTAGTGTTTATTTTAAGAAATATGGCTGCTATGGACGTCTGTGAGAACCGTGGGTCATTATATATCTTTGCAACTCATAGACCTGCCATCCACGTCTAAAGTTGATATTTAACTGTAAGGATCGATAACTGGGCGAGTTGGTGAGAGTTCATGTTGAAAAACAGCGCGACCGGGACGAGGACACACAGAGATTAAGAGAACACAAGACAGCGCTTTGTCTTGTGTTCTCTTCATCTCTGTGTGTCCTCGTCCCAGTCGTGCTGTTTTTCAACATTTAACTGCAGCATGCCACACACAGGCGATCAAACAAAGAACTAGAAAATGACACAGAATAACAATTTTGCATTTTTGTTTAAACAACAATATGCCATTGAACTGAAGTACGCTGCATCGTGTTTTTGGAAAAAATAGGCACTGTTAACATTCTTACAGTGAACGCTTTGATTAGCTTGCTTAAGTTCTAAGTGAATGGGGACTAAGAGTTGAGGTATAGTATGCCATTAACACTGAAACGTTAATGCTTCGGTAAAATATTTGGGACTAAATACGGCTTAGACATACTCGTATTTAGAACCTGTCAAGCGCTGAACAATGCTGAATAGCTTGCAAAATGTCACATCACACGCTTCATTAAATATCACATTTTAACTCCTTTTACTTTATGCCCACAATCCGCGACGGAAGTTTACTGAAATCGGTCTGTGTAAGTAACCAACCGAAATATGCGCCGTGTTTTCTATTCTGTTAGAACACGCATTGAACACTCCCCACCTATGTAACAAAAGCGACCCGCCGTATTGTTTAAATAAAAGTTAAGTACTCTGTGTCTGGTCTAATTTCTGTAAGTACACTTTCTGTTTCGTACGGACTAAGGGTACTTTTAAAACACTTGTTTTTCGAAGTATTCCCGAATACATAGGTGAAGCGATATTTATTCTAGCTTTTTATTTTTAATTTCTGAGAACAATTCGGCGCTGCATTCAATGGGTAGAGGAAGAAAATACACTGCACGTCATTTTACTTCCTTTTATTCTTAATCCACTAACTCACCTTTCTAAATTAAAGACGATTACCATTAGAAACTAAAATATTTATTTCATCAGACGGAAGAGTCGCGACTCTTGTAAAGTTTTACTCAAAAATAAAATAACGCTCACCTGTCGGTCGTTCACAGTCAGCCAGCCGCACAGCATCCAGAGCGCAGTAAAAGTTTTTGTGTTGCCCCGAACCAACGGAGCACTCAAAATCCAGCTGAGCACGAAAAATGACAAATATCACTTAAACTGAAAACATTCAGTATCAGGCGTTTTGTATAATGTTTTTCTTCTTTTCTTTCAGAACAAACGCTATGAAAGGCAAAATATGCACAACTTCTGATATTCTGATAAGAGGAATGTCACTGAAATAATAACTTGCCTTAACATCATTCAATACAAAGTAGTGAAACTGTATTAGCAAATAGGTTAAGTAGCGTATTATACTAATGGGGGATAAGGTGTATAAAAATCATGCTCTCTGATCCAGCGTCAAATATTGTCACCAATACAATAAAATGTTTTGAAACTTGCAATTACGCATGATTTTTTATAGAACGTTTTGGCGCTTTTTATGGTTTGAATGCTTTGACTGAGGGGGAGGGGGTCAGGCCTTGTTAGCAGAGTGCGAAACATGCCATGTTGTCGGCGATTTGCAAGTAGATTTACGTGCATGAAAGGATTGACCGTAACAGGGCACTTCGAATTATACAGGTTGTCAGATTTTGGCTCGAAGAGATCTTTTTAATAATTCATTGACAGGTGCACTAATACGGTTTGTTCGGGTGAGCTATGGGGCCGGGGGGACATATATTCAATGGCTAATCGTAAAAGTAAGTGAAAAAAAAAAACTATCTAACTAGAATTTGTGGAGTAAATTTTAAATATCAATTATAAAGAAGTAGTTTGAATTATAAACTTCCGGGGCGTTATTCAGACCACTAAACCAAACAATTTGAGAAAGGTTGGAAAGGTTTTCTTCATATCAAGTGCATATACAACTTCTGCAGAAAATACGACGTCCGAATGATATTTAAAGTATAAAGCACGGGTGGGTGAAAATACTGATATCAATGAAAGAATAAAACCCATAGGTCCTACGAAAAAATCTAATTTTTATTAGAAATTTCCGTGTACAATAAACGCATATGAATCATACAATATATGCAAGAAGACATGCGAAACACGTAAGAACTGTATAAGAAGTTTGTAAGACATACTAAAACATGTAACAAACTTGTTAGTAATTTCTTATAACTTTAATTTAAGCTTATTCTATGTTCCGATATATCTGATATAATTCTTATATAGTTCTTACTTTTTATATGGATCTTAAATGTTCTTACATATCTTGTATGATTAATATCTGTTTATTGGACACAAGAGGGGTCTCATACAAATGGCGTTTACACTAGGGGAGACAAGGACAGACACCAAAGCACTTTCAAATACCAACGACCACCTGCGTAATTGGGAAGCGCAGAACAAGCTCAGCCGAGACATTATTGAAGCCTACAGGACAGCTGGTTACGGAAACAACATCGCGGCTCTTTCCCTGGTGTTGCATAATGTTGAGCTGAACTACATGAATCCTGAACTCAATTATTTAACGGGCTGAACTATTGGTGTTGAGGACTTAATTAGCCAATAATATTTTCTGTTTTTGCCTCCTTACTTCTCCCTTTCTTACGTTCTTATTCTTCTTGCTTTATTCTTTTGTTCTCACTCCTACATTTCGCAGTTTCGTTCTTTTTGGTGGTTTTTTTTTGTAACTTCTTCAGTTTAAGAAGTTGTGAGGGAGAGAGCGCATTGAAGGAGACATCAGCAAAAGTTCGTTGCTAGTTATAATACATGTACTGTCACTCCTTGTGCCCAAGCATCTTTTATTATTTCATTTATTTTTTACTTGAGAGGCAATATGAGGGATTTTTTTAAAATTCAGAATTTGATCACCTAAAAGGCAAAAAATCATTTTAAGTGCCATCCTTCCTATTACATATCTTCACAAAAACGTGTTAGAAAAAAATATTAAAAATGTAGAAAATGTTCTCCTATATTACTTTCAGCGTTGCAGCCGCGTCGTATAAAATGACTTTATTGCACTTTTTTTTAAAATAATAATAGTCAATTTTAAAGTGTCTAAAATGTTCAGATTGGACACGGCGCTAAGTCCGGGTATGTAGAGGGTGTTGCAGTGCATTTACCACTTTATAAAGGTTAACAGAAAATTTAATCCGTCACCTCTGCCATAGTCCCAGAAGCACGCTTCATATCTTCCAAGATGACATGCATGTAAACGGTGCCATAGCTCGATGTCAATGAAATCTAAGGATAATAACGTTCCAACTCCAGGCTCAGAGGTGTATGCTTATTAATTTTATGGCCATGAGCACAACACTGCCCGTCTACCTTATTGCAAAAAAAGACAGTCCCATCACTTCTCCATCAGCTGTTATATTTGTTTCACCAAAACGGAGCATATTTAAGAATGTATGAGTAGATAAACTCTACCAATAACAAGAGTACGTGAATCTTAAACTACCTCCTCTATTGATGTGTAATAATAAAAAAGGGAGGTGGAGCAGTCCTACCTGAAAGTTATTCTTGACATTGAATGAAACTTGTGCAGCAATCCAAGTTCCGGTCACCAGGGAATCACGAGTACCATGCCACAAAATTCGAATATCTTTTGATGAACCTGGAAATGCAAGTGTCAAACCCGGGATTCAGAACGCGAATTTCTCCGAGATTATTTGACCCTCGACTTGTCGACAGAAATTTATATTATGATTGCTTTGCTACAACAAAGCCGGTGATTTCTATATTATTGTTTTCGCTGCGATTTACACAAAGTTGCATTTCATAATGGACTGTGTGGCCGGCTTTCTAACTTTTGGCAAATACTGTTAAAACCCTAGAATTAACCCCAAGCTGTTTTTTTCTTCGACATCGATAAAAATAAAAACAGAGAAAGGTTTATGACTTCCCCTTAGTGCCATCATGCAGAGGCCTGGTAGGCTCAATAGGTCCCAGGAGCCACGCCAACCTGATTTCACTACTCTTTGCATGTTGAAAATGAAGCTCTAATCACTAGCTCAGACGGAAGTAAACAAAAAACAGCAACAAAAAAAAAAAACTCGCAATGTACATAGCCAACTACGGTTGCCCAGCGCGGCTTATGGCGGAGCTAAATTTTCTCCTGCTGATAATTTACTAAATCTATAATGAAACTGTAATATCTATTTTTTAGTCTCATGGATGCTATTTGGCGAATGTATTAGTTCTGTTTTTGCCTTTGTACCTGGACGAGGTTGCGTTTCTGCGATATCATCAAAATTGACCATACTCATACATAACAATGTACTTTTGGTAAACGCGCGGGCGCTCGCCAGCATCGAACAAGGAAGACAATAGAATTAAGAAAAAAAATATTTAGAATATGTATTAAAAGTGTACGTACATTGACTTGAATACTTAGTGGAGATAATTTTTAACCCCCAGTTTATAGTGGTTGTGGAATTCGAGTCATATTCAGGACAGAGTTAGACCCATTGTACCGCACTTAGGGCAAATTCAAAGTCGGGATTATCAACAACAACGAAACAGATGGAGGAGTCAACGTTTCTACAGAACACAGGATCGAGCCCATCACAAAGGACAATATAAGAATTCCAGGAAGTTACAACACTCAAAATTTTTAAAAAGGGTGCGCATGCCGCAGATCAAATTAATGGAACAGGAAAGCGTCATGCTTTTCACCGTGAGCACAGCGCTTTTCTTCTTTCTCTTTAGTGTCGTTCGGAACTACTTTATTTGCTGTGATCCATCTATTGTTCGGCACGATTGGCTGTCCCCGTGCTCTGCTGAAATTGACATCGGATACTTTTTTTAGAGCGCAGTCACTAGAGAGATGTACACCAAACAAAAATGACTCAAATACACCAACGGTTTGCTCAAGCAGGTAGGTAAAAGGCACTCCCGTAGTGAAAAAGCCATTTGTATAAGAACATTCTTGTGTCCAACCAACAAATATGAATCGTACAAGACATAACAACATATAAAAACCGTATACGAACGATATAAGAATTATGTAAGACATATAAAAACATTTAAGGACCACATAATAAACTTCTCACGAGTTTCTTATATGCTTTCTATATGTTCTTATATATCTTATATAGTTTTTATATAGCCCTTTTATGGATCTTAAATGAATCGTATTTGTTCTTATATATCTTGTACGATTCACAGGTGTTTATTGGACCCAAACATTTCTCATACAAATAAGATTTTTCAATAGGGCCAATGTAAAAAAACAAAAAAAAACAAAAAAAAAAACAATATCCCTTTGCTAACCTGCCCAAGCATCAAAGAGCATGCAAAAATTGGTTTTCCACGCGCCGCACGTGCTGGCCTCAGCAGTAGTAACCTTTCTGACGCAAAGTCCTCAAACAAATTGCATCCTGCACGCGCGTTCGTCAAGGCTTTATTTTTGTTATTTCCTTCGAATTTTTAATACGGGCAAGGCGTTCACGTGTGGCACATGGAGCACCAATCGCTGCATTCTCCTCGATACTTGAGTAATTTAGCAATAGGTCCATTACCACCAAATCAGAGTTGCTGTTTTTGGTTGTCTTTTTACAACAAGCAACACCGTAATATAGTTTAACTCAATTTAGAGCCATCCCCAACTTTGAGTCGCATTCGAATATGCAATCATGTGGGTGGACTGCCATTCAAAGCCATCTCCGGAATTATCTCTGTTCTCGGGGATAACGTGTTTCGACAACGCCATCAAAGGTGCAGCCTCAAGGGCCCTTTCTCATTTTACCGATGATCAAAGCTCCGCGCTAGCTGTCCTCATCTGAGATATACCAAGAATTTTTTTTTCCAAGTATAGACCGTAGCAAAATTCGCCTTCTGTGTGCTACCTTCTTCGTGTGCAGGGTTGAGGAACGCCTTCTGTGCATGCGCTGTAGCTCTATTGTGCGGTGAACCAGACACTGCGCATGCTTCCACAGCTCGCAGACAGCATTTTTCGCCCGAGTGATCAGCGATAGAAAGGTCTAGAATCCTACATCTAAAGAAATGTATGGAGGGGCGCTTTCATTGCAGTTTCTTATAGCCACCCACCCAATAATGTTGCGGCATTCGTTCATAATAGCGCTGAAGAAGGAAGAGCTAAGCAGAACCCGAACGTGCGAAATTAATGAGTCGTATCCTGAATCTCCCAAGTTGTCAGTGACTCTACTCCATTTTCCGGTAACTTGGCTAACTGTTGGTCGCTGCGACCCTCGCGACTCAATAACAGCGTCAGAGGAAGGCATGTGACAACACTCCATGATCGAGGGTGCATAGAGGCCATGTTACCGCCACTGCGACAGCGCCTTCCGACACAAAAAGTGGTTTTAAGCTTCTTTTTCTGTTCACGGCAATCGAACTAGAGCGATTCCACCTCTATCGATAATATATAAAAAGTAGGAAATAACTAGTTACGAATGTGTGAGTTACTTGATTCGGATTGAGGCTCATGTGAGAACAACGTGAATTTTAAAGGATGTTTGAAATACCGCAGCCGTGTAATCGACCGCTTCCGCTCAAAACATCTTCCTGACCTTAGCACCCCCCACAGAAATGTGAGTAAATTGTGCGTATGGTTGTCTCATACACGTTCTTTTATTTTTTTTTTACCGAAGATTTCACTACTTTATTTGGGGTGATGTTGAGGTGGTGGAGGTTCATTTGATGGGGATTACTACGGTTGATCAAATTCCATTTCATAGAAGCACGTTTTAGAGAATGGGCACGTTTTATCGAAGCACGGTTTAGAGAAAGCAGAGCCTCAGTTTAGAAAAACGCCGTTTATCGAAAAGGAGACGCTTTTAAAAATAAAGGCTTTCCTACTTCTCGCGTGTATCACTGGTGCGCGTGTTAAACCACGCCCCCACTGCGCTCCCGCCGCTTCGCGGCGGCAGCGCAGCGGGGGGCATGGTTTCTAATGCGCCCCGTTAAGGCAGCGGAGGGCATGGTTTGTAATGAGCCGCCGCGAAGCGGAGGCTCATTACAAAAATGTTAGCTCACCTGAGTTACCCATACAGGCAGCTTCGCGGCGGCCGGAATCGCTAAAAAGAGGCTCATCGCCATTATCTTTAAACTGGGTTCTCTATAAAGGTATTCGATAAACCGGGGTCCGTAAAACGGCGTTCGAAAAAAACGAGCTTCTCTAAACCGCATGCCTCCGCATCTGATGTTTGTTTGTTTTGCAAGAGACGACTCTTAGCCAGAAAACGAGAGCCGGTTTTCTGGGCCTGGCATTTGGCGCAGTGACACAAACGCTCCCGTGTCATGGTTTCACGCATATGGATCCAACGATCTTATTGGGTCGCGTAGGCTACAGCCTCCACAGTTCACCAAGTTTTCGTAAAAAGGAGTGTTCGACGAATGACGAGGTGTATACAAATTTACACTGCAGCACAGTTCACCAGAACTTATTCGAATCATGCATCGAAACGTTGTCGTTCGTTAACCTAATGAAACAGCCATTTGCATGAGATATGTATTGTGTCCAATAAAGACGTATGGATCATGCAAGATATAAAATAACATATAAGAAGCATATAATAACTATATAAGATAGATAAGAACATATAATAGCCTTATAGGAAACAAAAAGAAGTTCTCATAGGTATTTATATGATTTTCAATGTTCTTATATATCTTATATAGGTCTCATATACTCTTGATAATGCTCTTATATGGTTCGTTTCTGTTCTTGTATATCTTGTATGATTCAGGTGTGTTTACTGGGCACAAAATGTTCTGATACAAATGATGTTTTTCAATTGGGTAGGCGTTCCTCGTAAAAACGTGTTTAGATAGCAGATATCCACTTTCATCGGTCACCGCATGAAAGACAGCACTTCTTTATGCCGTGTACCATATCAGTATAGAGGTTTTTTGCGCGACACAGGGGACAATTACAAGCGAGTAGACACGGACAAGCGTTTTTTGCGCTTGTCCGCGTCTACTCGCTTGTAATTGTCCCCTGTGTCGCGCAAAAAACCTCTATACTGCATCATGAACCAACTAGGCCAACAACAAGTTTTAATTACCATATCAGGTTTTCGCATAACCTGAGATAAGCTGGGAAACATAGCCTGACAAATGCTTACATCGAGCATAAAACGGCACTGCAGCGTTTGATTATGCACGAGCCACGTCCGCTTCAAGTTCGCTTAAGCATCTGGGTGTAAAAGCAAAACTCCAAAATATTTTTTAAAAGTTTGCATGAAAAAAAAGGCAGCACGCACTTCAGGAGTCCTATCAAAATGTTCAGAATGCTTCTTTTTGTAGTTTTATGGTTATGACTGGGGGGGGGGGGGGTTCTTTCGCAAAGTTATAGTCAGCGATGTAATTGTGCCGGCTTAGCCACCGCCATCATTGTTGAAGAGTGTAATGACCCACAACCGAAACGCCAACTATAAATATTCGATTTTACCCCCAAAGGCTCTTGCCAAGCTTGAGAGTCACAGGCCCATCAGGCTATCTCTGCGCCCCCCTCCGCCTCCCTCTCCCCCCCCCCCCCCCCCCGCCTACTCAAACGTCAATTATCGAAAGTGCAGCCTCATGAATTCCATCTAGAGTTTTGTTGTCTAACACTGAAGACCCCCAGGCCGCGGAGGTTTTTTTCAGCACACTGGAACCGGTGGGAGTTTCCGTTTCTGAAAGACACGCTTTGAACGCTGCGTGGCATCGTCTTCCGCTCAGTTTTGAATAAGTTATGCTCACCGATTGCTATTGGAACGCGGCACGGTGCTTATTAAGTTTATGCATCTTGCTTTGTAGTTCGTGTGTTGTCGTTGCTGTCGAATTGTGCCGCAGTAACATCACTGTCATTATATTGGTCATTGTCACTGCGATCAAATTTGTTTAGACTGTCAATGACGCTTAGCGCCGAGATGCTTCGCTGTCGCACTCTTATATATTAGGTTCGTCGCGTCACGGCCAGAATTAGCCTTCCCTTGACGTCATGAGTTGCAACCTAGACTAGTTGTTATAAGTTGCGAACTGCAAGTTTATATAGGTATGTAGTAATAACAATGAAAGCCTTGCGTCATCGCACCCTTAAACCAATATGGTGGCAGTTGACAGACAGACGTCGCGTTGATTTGCGACGATAAAGGAAACGTTAACGCGAACATAAACGTCACCATGAGCCTTTGACCAATCGCGAATTGCGACCAGAGCGACATTTTTGGTCGAGCAAGTCGCTAGTGAATAGAACGGCTGAAGTCATTTACATCTCCTTACTTGACAAGGACACCACGAGGCCGTAAGCATAGGCCCAAGGTGTAGCTGCACCAATGTAGTAGTAGAAATGCAGACACTGATATTTGGACTTCGGATTTACTTTCGGAGAGCTGAGCACGGCCGTAGACCTCTTGCCGTTGGGTGCCGTGTGATGAACATAGCCACCTGTGAAGATAATACGGAGGGGAAAGAGGAGATCAGAAGGATGAAGTATGGATACAAATGAAACCGCGATATAAAACAATTCTGGCATATTCATATTAGTTCTTTTTTTTTGTAAAGTTATGTTTAAATCATAAAAGTCTGCATTGCGCTACATAAAGAAATATTAAGCTCATTCCAATTGAGTAAAAAATGTACACACCTACACCAAACACAAAAAAATAGAAGCGGAATTACACGTTTGAGCATGCTTGCTAAAGCATTCGGAAAACATCAGGTGCACAAGACGTGGTTACGCATATTCGGCTTCTGGCGCTGCGCTTTTAATTTGGACACCACCGAGACAGCCAAACATTCAATACTAAATTACTACTATATTCGTGCCTTCGTTTTCATCCACTATTCCGAATTTCCGGCTATTCTGAAGACTCTCCCTTATCTGCTAAAAATGTCTACGTAGGATCGTAAGAATAAGAAGAGTGTGGTTATTTACTTCAGAATAAGCCCGAGCTGGTTCTTATTAGAGATACTTTTCGTTCAAGACATTAAAATCGAATACTTGTCGTTCGGTGAAGTCCTCAATGAAATGTAATTATTTGCGGCCAACAGTCGGAATGAACAAACGCGCCAGGTTGTAATGAGAACTTCCTGGCATAGGTCGCCCCAGAATAACATTACAATTTCTTTAAAATGATGGTGATAGATGTCCTAGTGAGATAGTTGTACTCGTAGCAATATATTTGAATTTACTATTGATTCCACCATTATCTTCTATTTAATGTAGATATTGCAAAGAACATTGCGGTGGTGCGCTAGTAGTTTTAAGACAATGTGTGTTCCCCTCGCGCTCGTGACGCCTGCAAAGGAAGTATAGAATAAATGTTGGGCCTCCGTTGCTCTTAACAAGTGCAGTGGATAATCAAGCAATTGCATATTTACATTGCTTCCAAGCACTGAAGGGCTCCGATTAGCAACGTGAGCTATTAGGGGCTCAGGATAGCGAGACGTACGAACGATCCTTGCCTGCTTGGTGACGAACTTACGTGACATTCTAGGCTGATTCTAATATATCTACGGAGGTGACAAAGCTGTCACATTTGAAGACAAAGAACATAATTGTTACAGTGGCGTATTGAAAGCTCTGCTCTTATTACTAGCGTTTCCGATGAGAATCACCTGCACCCATCGCATGTGGCAATGCCAGAGAAGAGCGTTGCACTGTTGTTGCGCTATGCCAGCAGGTTCGACACCATGCATGATTTTAAGGTGGAGTTTCCAGTTGATTTGTACTCAGACTGCAATCGTCGATGAAAAATTAAATCTCCTGATGCAACGCCTACAATGTAATATAAAGCAGCTCGTTTAAGTCGATTCCGAGTACCGTACAACAGCACAACATAGAAAGACCCCTAGGCGAAGAAAGTTGGTTGTGCACTTCAAGAAACGCACCCATAGCTATGACAAATAACTGTTTGCGATTTGTCAACTTCAAGGACCTTGCTAAGGCGGCTGACGTGAAAATGGATGGAGTCTGGATACAACTCCTATACAGACCACCACTACCTCGAAAGAATTGGTTTGCACGCGACCTTGCATTCGAGGCCACCGCCTCGGATAGTGTAAAGTCTTATCTGGAGCGGCAACCAGACTCGCGTCCTCACGCGTCAATCTTCGTAGCAGCGGTACCTCTTGGTGTTTGAATCCACGTTATTTTGTTGCCCGCGACATTTCCCTTCTCTTCACATTCTGAGTGGGAGGAAGGTTTTAAGTCGTATCTATGTGAAATTATTATATCACACGTCACATTTAGGTTGACAAAGTAGTGAAGACAACGAGCTCGAGATAGACTGCTGTGATTATAAGAAAATTGTAGCTAGCAAAAAATACACAGCAAAATTAAATGATATAACCTAATTGCTTAACTGCATCAGAAATGCTTTACTGCACCTTGACGAAACAGTGATCTAAATATCCAAAGGAATATATCAAGGCTGTAATATTAAATTTAAAAAAGAGGCCTGGAGGTGTGTGGATTCACAAGGAAAGACTAAAAATATCTCATGAAAATATATTATTTGGAATGGACGCAAGCAAACCCCAATGATACAACTTTAAAGAAAGAGTTCAGGCATGTACAAAATAAAGGGACGTCGAATATTAGACTGGCTAAAAAGAGACTCCAGGTGACTCATCGTCAAAATTGCGAAAACCTAAAAAAAAGATAAAACATTTTATGCCAAATATTAGGAAAGTTGCATGAAAAGAACGTTGACGAATGTATAATGAAAAACTGGAGTAACCGATTCTTTTGCTTATAGTAATATTTACAATAACACCCTTGCTAAAGTCGGAGATGATTTGTGAGGACCAGTAAACAATATCACAAATAATGTAAAGTTGTTGTTCAAATCACATATCTCTTTATACCTATCACAAATAAAATATAGAGCTCAAAGATATACTTAATGGTGTGTCTGCCTCCAAAGCACCCTTTGAGTCAATAGCAAGTAGCTATTTCGCTGAACTGGAAGTGTGGCTCAAAAAAAAAAAAAAAAACTGCACCTAAATTACGAGGAAACCAAGTATATAATTTTTGCTCCAATAGGCAAACATGAAAATACTCCAATAAGTTTATATTTCCAAAACACTATTATTGAGCAAGTCCCCGAAGAAAAACGTTTAGACGTTTGGTTTAACCAGGAGCTTAGCTGGAATACGCATGTAAATAAGTTGACTTCCGAGCTTTCTCTGGCAGTTGGATGTTTGTATAAAATTTTAAAAAACCTGATCCCTACATGGTTAAAAAATATATACATTGCTCTCTTTTCAACCCAAAGTTATGCTACTGTATTTCAGTATGGGGTAAAACAATTCCCCCAAACTACAACAATGTTCTTAAATTACAGAATCAAATTTTGCGGTTATTTGAAAGTTACACGGGAAATATGCAAGACCTTCCTACTGAGCAACTTTTTCAAAAACATGGTATACTTAGAGCTAACCAAATTTTTGATTTGAAGTTAATGCAACCAATCAAAACTGAGAAACATTATAATATAACTACAAGTGACGCAGTGCATAGATACAGCTTTCGGCACCCTTTAAGACGACCTCCACAGATTCGAATAAATTACGGAAAGCAAACACAAGATTATCAGGTGACCAAACTATGAAATTCAATTGGAACATTCGTGGATTTTATTAACACCTCTTCTGAATTTAAAAGCTAAGGACAGTCTTGGTGGGAAGTTACATCATTTTATAGCCATTTTTATGAATGTGATAATTTGTGTTCTTTCATGTCTCTGAACTCGTGAAAAAGTTTCTTTTGTAGTTTATAATACTACTTCCCATCCTCTCTTGATTAAATATTATAAAGCCATAACATTGCTTGAAACGCTGATGTAAACAGCTGCACGAAGTATAGTATACTGTGTACCCTATGTACGAATTGCAAAGGGGACAGAGACCTTCGTCAGACATTTTGGCCTTTAGTCTCTGTTCCCCTTTCGGTCGATCCGAAAGAATAAAAACTTCAAATTCAAAATTCAATCAGAAATCTGAGGGAATATAATTAGCTTTAACAAATTTAAACTTGTTTTGTCGGCAATAATATAAAAAATACACAGGAATTATACACAATAAGCTTAAAGTTATAATTATACGGCATATTAATAAACAACGGAATAAAAAAAATTAAGAAACTACAGACCCATCGCGCTTTTCTCTATCAAACCGCAGATGATAGAAGAAGTTTGTTTTAAAGGTCATGACCTCCTTTTCTGCCAAATATTTACTAATTCGCAATAATCGGTAAGGTTTTCCTCAACAATTAAGCACCAGATTTTTAGTTGTTGACATCACAGTTTTTATGAATGGAAAGAAAAAGAGATTCCAATAATGTAGTGCTTGCAATATTTCTTGACTTAATAAAAGCATTTGATACGATTGGCTATTCTATCTTACTACGTAAACTGGAAAACCTTGACTTTAAGGGGCATTAGGTTAATAAATTTGAAAATTACTTTTCCAACCGGAAGTCAAGAGGTACACATCGCGACACTGTTAGCGCGAACACGACGTCGGCGCATTTTCGCATTTTATTCCTAAATAGTATTAGCGAGCACGAAATGTTATCGCTTACATTATACAACTTAATAAGCTCTTTCCATACCAATAATAACTTGGATGACATCCTTTGGTTTCAAAGAGAAACGCTCGAAAAACCGGCGATCGCTTGTTCGCGCTAACAGTGTCGCGCTCTGTACGAGAGGAAAATGCACGAGGAACGCCGTGCACACAACTTGCTGCATGCCTTAGGGATTTATTTTAGGAACTATACTTTTTTAACATTTACATGAACGATCTAGCCTTATTGCTTCTAAACTCTAACATTTATCGATTTGCTGACGATACTGCAGTAGTTCTGGCAAATTAAATTGACAGAACAGTGTAAATTATGCGGAATGACACAAAAAAGATAATTCCTTTTTTTAACCGTATCTTTGTAATAGAATAAAAAAAAACGTACCTAATGCATTTTCGAACACACCAAAAAACATTAACTTTATAAAAACCATATTCTTGCGTACAAGTGAATGCACTCATAGAGGTGCTTACCACTCCCATATGCCGCAGAATCAGATTATCAAGGTATGTTCTTTACGAACATTTATAATAGATTTTACGTGTACAGTATATAAAAAATTATTAAAGAATAATATTATCCTACTTATACAGAAGGGCGAATACTTCGGCGAGTTGGTTTTACATATTGAAGAGTTAAAAGCAGCGCTTACAAACTGAAGAAGCAGAGGGAGGCCTAGACAAAGCTGTCTGTTTCCGTCTCCTCTTGTCCTTCGTCTAGTCGGCAATGTTTTTACTTCTACTTATACAGGTACGAAATTCGTCGTATATGATTAAGACAAATAATTTATAAAATGTTAGCAGAATCTAAACTTAGATATGAAATGACTACCTACGCAACATGTTCCAGCTTGATGAGATTAAGAATAAAAAACTTAATAAAAATAATGGTGCCTCACATCGCGTGCAAAATTTATCATGAAAACCTGCTGTTTAAAAAGAACAGATGGCAGAACCTAACTTATTGATCGTAAATAAACTGCGCATATGTATGGCTTCAACGCATCATTACTTTACTTTCGAGTTCAACATAAGCACCATGAAACAAATGCAGGGGAAAAAAAGAGAAGTTTTAGATTCCGAAATATATACTGTGGACCTAGGCTCTTTAAATTTTATGTTCACACATATTTTCAGTCAACATCCTAAAAATCTACACACTCTCCACTCCTTAAATTCTGTACAAAAAAAAATGAGGACATGGGGTGCACAGGTAGCTGAAGGTTAACATGTCGTTCTCATTAACTTTTTTTATTAATTATCTCTCTTTTCTCCAGTGCCTGCTTACACGGAATGGAAATCTTCATGCGTTCTTAAAACTTCCTTAGTAGAATACAACACAGTTTCTTGCAGCTTATAATGTGGATGTATTGATTAAACGTGCTGGTTTATTAATTTTTTGTCATTGTTTTGTTATCCCTTGATAGCTCGTGCTCGTTTTTGTCGTTTCGGGGAGGCATGGTCGCCCCTTTGCTCTTAGCGATTAGTTTAGTGCATAGATCACTTGTGCGATTATCTTACTCTTTCTTTTATGCTATACCTAACGTGCGGTTTAATTCCTAATAAATATAGCTTTGTTTTTCCTCTGTTCTTTTTTTTTTGTCCTAATACGAGAAGGATGTTTGGAGAAAATGTTTATTGGATTCTAAGTATTAAGCTTTGGCTTCTAAATATTATTCAAGGATGAATGGCGAACACAGACTAAATCTCTAAGTAGATTTATTTCACTCTTATCGCTTTATTTGTTTTTATTGACAAATACGCGTATATGAATGGAATTGCCGTTCTCACGCACAAGCACGGGATTGCTTTGCGAGGCGGATTTTTGTTCTTCGATTTGTATTTGGGAGAAATGCACAATTGCTATTATCACTACTATTATTATTGTCATTATTAATATTATTACTTTACAACGTGCTGTTGTAGTGTAAGCATCCTACCCTAAAAGTCACGATTTAAAGCAGCGATCTCAAGCCCTGTAACTTTCAATAACTCCTAAGAGTAATAACAAACAAGGTATTTAAACAATACGACGGCGAGATATCTATAGTTGGTGACAAGTTAATGGTTCAGGGAATCCTTCACGACTTATTTTCATCTTAGCAGATCGAACACTGGAAAAGAAGTTGCCTCCTCTCCAGTATTCGCTCTTCTAAAGTGGAAAGAGTCGAAAGGAGCTCCCATGATCTCCTCGCATTTCACCGGCTATAGACAAACGGTCAATCAACAAATGTTCGGTCTATGATAGCTGTAGAATAACATGGCTTTAGCAATTTCGTGGGGTGTCGTCGAACTCACTATTGGCACCCGATCAATATCTACGATTGAGATTGTGATTGTATAAGATGCAATACTATAGTGAGCTCTGCAGTGTTTGACAAAACGCAAGAACCATTATACGAGGCAGATTGAATCGGCCGTGCTTGATTTACTTTCTGCATGTTTACACTCAATGGAGTAAGGAGATCAATAAACCTATCTCCCGTACACAGTGAAGCAAATAAAGTTCCTCCAGGGAACATATACTTAGCACCATTGCATGAACTGCATGGGCGAATGAGTATCGTATATTCATACAAACTTTGTGGAGGTAACACATGATACTTCGACATTTTAAGGCTTGCAATAATTTTTAACGGAACCCCCACATCCCAAAACTGTGTCTGTTCGTTCATCCATTTCCCCCTGAATGTAGGGAGAAGCTGGCATCCCCTCACTTGAAACGATCTGACCTATAATACAATTCAAACTCCAGGCTAAATATAGCATAGAAATATACGTCACGTTACCTAAACAGCAATTCAATTCTCAGGTTTAATTAAATTAGCCAGAAAATAGAAACCCGTGACCTGACATAAAGGCACCTATGCACTAATTTAGTTTCCATGCTAAATTAAGCTCGGAAATTAATAAAACTATAGGTGATTCACTCTCCTAAACGACCGTTTAATGTATTCTAGACAAATATCAGAGGTTTTCTTTTAAATATAGCACTGCACTTATATATTATAGGACATTGGAGATGAAGGCACCTGGCTAATGTTTTCAGCTGTCAGTGATCAAAGAATTCCGTCATTACCAATGTAAACCGCCGTGCAGTGAATTGCATTTTTACGAAAAAAAACTCACCTTTAGAACCCGTGGAAACATCTGTTGGTACCAGCCATCCTTCACTGAAGAGATTCTTGGAGCGATCGGCGATTCGCCATTGGGAGGTACCGTTGCCAACAGTGTAGCCACACGCGTCTCCCCAGTCGAAGTCACATGACCCATCTTTCGGAGCTGCAAAAATATACTGCCTTAGAAGTGGTCTCCTACTCACCTGATTTTGCCTATTCAGTACTTCGTGCTTAATATGGCATAACGATATCATTGCGATTTCTGTTTGATATTCAGATGAAGACCATTACCAGAAAGCTATTTTTTCTGTCACATGTGCCTTCACCCGTCTTTGGTAAAAGGTTAAACATATTTTCAGCCTTTGACCAGTGAAAACACAGTAACCTTCTGCTACATTTTTTAGAAAATTTTTTTTTGTTGAATTCGCAGGGAACATAGTGACGTCATGTGACATGACATCACGTGAAACTGTGACGTCCTAATAACACAAATCTGTAATTCTTCATAAAATTGAGCGGATTTTTGTTTTTGCGGAGACACTTAACCGTTAGATTACTTAAAGGAAACTAGAACGCTTTCAAACTTGAAAAAAAAAAGAAAAACTTAAGTTGTATTTATCTGGCTTCTAGGATTCGAATATTAAAATGACATTCCAGATTATTGCGCCAATTAGCCAAAACAGCGCTTTCTAAGTTGCGTTGACGCCACTCCCTCTCATGGCGTTCGGTGCGAGGAGGGAATAATGATGTATTATACAAAGATCTTCACATTCAGAAGGAGTCAGAAGCCCTGCATGTGTTCCTTCATAAGCGACTCGCGCAAGGCAGCAGAAACCTGTAAAACTGACGTGAGACCCACAGTTTTTTTTGTATTGTTTGATACGGTGAGCTTAAATGCTTCTTGTATTCAAATTCGCAAGACAAAAATACGCTTGAATTCACCTCTAACTCGCTTTTTTTAAAAAAAAAAAAACCTCTTCAGCTTTTTTTTAGCCGCGAAACACACGAAACATATAAGGAGTCTGCTGTGAAATTTTGCAAATAATAATGACCACAATAAAACTTCCATAGATTGTCTTCTATGTAGTGTTAACTAACGTTACGGTAAATATAACTGAAAAAGCAATGCACACGGCGTAAATATCAATTTAACAGCGGCGGTTGGAAACATGTGTGTGCAATTATCTCTGTAAATCAGATCTACTTTATGTGCTTTGTCCTGGAACAATATAAGAATATTATTGGGCATGTCACAAAAAGTAGAATGAGCATGCACAGAAGGTGTACAACAAAGAAAACGAAGTAACCATGGGCAGGCATATGGGAATGATTTAAGGTATAAAAGTAATCATAGCACACCATTAAAGAACAATATTTGACATAAAAGAGCACCTTTATAATCATGCATTTTTTAGTTTATATTTTTATAAAATAAAGACGCTTTATATAAATATCGAGTATACAGTCGCTTGAAACTAATTTTTTTTTCTGATCTTAATTACGAATATATTAATAATTTATAGGAAAGTGATTTATAAAACATGTTATAACACTTTGTGCAAAAAAGACTTCCAAAGCATCTCCTTAAGACATGGCTTTAAAACAAAAAAAAATACAAAATTCATATGCTTAAGATGTCACCCACTAAGGTGGTGAAATGGGGCACCCACGCGAAACTTCAAACCAACTTTGCAAAAACGAGAGAACTGCACTTTTACGGACAATAAAGGTCGCGTACAGAGCTCTAAAAAATTGTCAGGAACACGCCAGGGCCTCCTAACTTTATGGGAGCGATATCCTGGCGGCTGCTGAAGAAATTATTGACGTACAACTTAGTGTACCAGCCGGAACGGTAAGTTCGCTCATTTCGCGTGGACGGCGCTGTAATTTTGCCAGACAGTCAATCAAAACACAAATTTACCTTGTGCACAATGGTTCATTAGTGACTGTAGAGACAGCCAGTGAGTGGATGAACCAATCAGTAATAAGTTGACTTATTTTTCAGTAACTGAGGTCGAAACGTGTAGATCCCCTGGCACGCAACATCGCCTTGTCCCCGGAAAAACAGATATATCGGCCTTGTGCGAGCGACCCTGCCTTTACGGACTGTCTTATTGAGCCATAAGTGATGAAGCAGTTCCTCGAGTACATCATCAGGATAAAGCTCCCAAAGGGTGCACCGGGTAAGTTTGGTGAGCACGTACACGCTTCCTTACATTGGCACGACCTGCCATGACAAGCACGAGCAAACAAGAGATGGTCAGAAAGTTTGACAACAATTCCAAGTAGTAACTGACCTGGATCGCAAGGACCCGACTTGAAAGTGAGATCGTCCACGGCGAAGGTCGTACTTTCGCTGGTGCCGTCAAGTAGAGCCGCTATGGTGAACTGGAAGGAGCGGTGAAATTTCGCGTTACAGGCTCGTGTCTCAGCAGATCAATACCACTTAGAAGACAAGGTCGTCACATGATGTCATCGTGAGTGAATCGCCAGCCGGTCTCGTAAGACAAACATTCTAAAGGGCGATTCACACACTTGCGTTGAGTCTGACCGACTGCGAGGGTTGCCACGGTAACAGCTTCGTCGGCTGCATCAAAACCTGTTTTTACCCCGTTTCGTTGGAGGTGACGCAGCTCTTGCCATAGCGACCCTCGCACTCCGTCGGACTCAACGCAAGTGTATGAATCGCCTTAAAGCACGAGCGGCGAAGCGGCAGCTCCATCTGCCTTTGTGACGCCACTCTCTAGCATCGCTTTGCAGTATGCTTTGCCGGCGACGCTGGAGGAAGGTAGGCGTCGTGCATAAATCCACTACGGATACTATTTCTGGAGGGGGCTGGGAAGAGTCACAGGCGTTTTCTTTTAGGTAATATTGCTCAGGATGGGCTCCTACATACACTTTTCACGATATAAACGTTAGAAGTTTAAACTGTCCTCGCAGCCAAGATGTAAATTGGGATTTAATAAAGACACCTTCTAGTGTTTCTAGAAAATATTGCTTTGATTTATTTGATTTGATTTGACTTTTGAAGCTCTATTCAGTTGTAAAAAAAGTATACGTAAACCGTCAAGCAGCAATCAAAAAAAAGATAGGGACAGAAGTTTTTTTCATAGTGCATTTATGAGACTGAAATTGCATGCGTTTCGGTTTTTCGGACTCAGCAAGAAAATAAACACTTATTTCGTACGCGCTGGGGGGAAACACAAGTACACCCGCCCTGTTGACGTCGTAACTCACGTATATGGCACCATATGTTACAAACGCTCATAAACCCTCCTTATGGACGAATACTGTGAAGCGGATCGAGAAAATCCGAGCGTTTGTAATTCGATATGCCAGCGTCACCCTGACGGTTATAGTTTTTCTTTCCTCCTGTTACAAAGTTAATTTAGTGTTTTTTTGTATTTTCTTTCTTAAAAACCTACACACACGAAACTGCTGTATGGTAAATGCACCGCCTAAAGACCAGATTGTGAAAAGCTTAATTGCACTGCGTTCATTGCACTGCGCTCATCTAATGACTTTTTTACTACTTCACAACATGGCTTTAGAAACATTTCACATGTGAGACGCAACTAATATCCTTCACATATGATCTTCATCACTCTCTTGATGACCATAATGAAACTGATTGTGTCTTTCTGGATTTTTAAAAAGCATTTGATATATATGAAGTAGTAGCCCATAGGCTACTACTTCATAAATTGTAATCACTTAGCATCTACTCACGCATATATTTAACTGGATCCACGCGTTTTTAACTAACCGCCTACAATTTCGTCACTGCTAATAATACCAATTCTCACACTGTCCCAGTCAATTCAGGCGTACCGCAGGGCTCCGTGCTTGGCCCGCTACTGTTTCTTAATTACATAAATGACCTGGTATTGAACATCTCTTCCATCTGCCTGTATGTTGACGATTGCGTAATATATAGAAAAATAACTGACATATCTGACTCATTACTTTTCCAATCAGACCTTAACCAGATATCATTATGTTGTCACCAGTGGCTAATGGTACTAAACACTGACAAATGTTAATATATGAGAATATCACATGGTTCATCTCCGCCTCATACTTATCTCCTTAATAGCAAGCCTCTCGCATCAGTGTCAAGTTGCAAATGCCTTGGTGTTCATATAACGACTAACCTTTCTTAGAAACTTCATGTCGATTACGTGATTAACAATGTTAATCGTATGTTAGGTTACCTTAAAAGAAATTTCTTTCTCGCTCTGTCCTCCCTGAAACTAACCATGTACAAAAATCTAATCCGCCCAAAATAAGAATATGCCGCCGCCTGTGTGGGACCCCTCACACTCTTCACTAATTTCCCTTATTGAATCTGTCCAAAACCGTTCAGCCCGTTTTATCATGTCGAACTGTCAGCGCACTGCCAGCGCTTCTAGCATGAAAACCTCTTTAGGTCTGCCATCACTAACGCATCGCCGTAAAATCTTTCGCTTGTGTCTTTTCCATAAAACATTTCATCAAAATGCTGACCTGCGTCGTAAACTAATTATCCCACTATTCTATATCTCTGCTCTCATTGATCATAGTCATGAAGTCGGTATGCCAAATTTTAAAACTTCATTGTTTGAATATTCCTTTATTCCTTAAACATCATTGGATTGGAACCACCTTCCCGCCTCAATAGATAATATTGCTGATATTAGCTACTGAGTTAGCATATCGGACGAAGGCTATATGCTCGTCTGAGGATGACAGAAGAAAGGACGAAAAAAACCGTCCGTGCTGATTTGAAAAAGAACGGATACAAGAGCATCTTCATCCAGCGCGTTGCCCGTCGTGAAGCTCGAGATCAAAGACACCAGAAATTACAAGCCTGTACGCGGCCACGCCCCACCTCGCGCATCTGCGTACCCTACATCAAAGGAACAAGCGAGGCGCTTGCACGCGTGCTAGCCAAAGAAGGAATCAGTGTTGCCCACAAGCCGATGTCCACGCTTGGATTACTCATGCCCCGCCCAAAAGATCGCCCTGCGAAAAAAAAAAAAAAGGGACCCAGGGCGTGGTTTATAAGATCCCTTGTGCAGATTGTCCAGCCACTTACATCGGCGAGACAAAGAATTTCAATGAAAAAATACGCCAACACAAAAACGACGCTCGCAAGCTCGACCACGAGCGCAGCGCAGTCGCTGAGCACTGCGAAGTCAAAGACCACCGGATTGACTTCGACAGCACCAGCAATATCGACGCAGAGACTAACAACCGACATAGGCTTTGCATCGAGTCTTGGCATACTCAAACGACGCCAGGCAGCATAAATAGGTGCCTTGGTGCTTTACCAGCAGTGTATGTGAACGGGCTTCGCCATATTCATGAAAGAAGAAGCTCGAGAAATGCGCTACATTCCTGGAAAAAAAAAAAAAAAAAAAAAGACGACCGAAAAACGCCGCTCCTCAGCGGCCACAGTCGCCTCTGACGAAGAACCGAGTCGGTTCAAAATGTAGAGCTCCTACATGTTTAGGAATTGGTTGGTTGCCATATTTTAATTATTTTATTTCCCAACCAGAGAGATTTCTCTCAAATGTTTAGTTTCAAATTTTTGATATTGTTCTGTTAAGAGAGTCCTAACTAACATGTGCACAATGTAGTTATTATTTTGATGTCCACTCCCTTCTTCAGTGTATTACTACCTTGAAGGTATTTGAAATAAATAAATAAATAAATAAATAAGTAAATTGGCTTATTTATATGAACTTTTTACGACCAAATAGCGCTCTGGAGTTCTGTACATCTACTTCGTTTCAGCTTAAGTTCTAGCGCAGCTGGCGCTACGAGCTAAAGGGCCAATCAAACAGCGTAAAAAGCGCAATTCACTACGCCTCTCCTGCATGTGATCGGTCCAGCGATGAGAGAACTTATACATGCATGTGACGAAATTCATGATAGTGCACATTTGAAGCTGTCTGATTGGTCGCATCAGCACATACCGTCTGCTGCGTCTGGATGAAGGCGAAAAGAAGTACAGAAACATTGGTGGGGCTTTCAACGCAATGCGTGTTCTTTATTTCTCTTCGCAAATGACGAGACTCTTACCATTGGTTTTTATTTTGGAATTTAAGGGGCATCGAAGAAGACCAAAACAAAAACAAACCGGATACACTTTGATCAGAGTCTGACCATGTTCTAAATCATCAACGAGACGTCAACGCTAGGTTTTGATTTTTGGTGTCCACCTGGCAGCTTATTGACCTCAATTATTGATGAAATACAACAGTTATAGCCTTCATTTTTGGTCTCTTGGGCGTCATCTGGCACCTCTGGGTTATGCATAGCAATCCTGTGGCGAACCACAGGAAAGCCACTCTGGTTTTTTTCTGACTAGTTAGGCCAATCTGGATCAGAGGTTTACGCTGTCCCTAAGCAGCCCCAAAGAGCAAAACCTTATTAAGACTATGTTAAGCCTTTTGAATTGCTAAATTTAAGCCAATATTGCTTTTTTTTTCTAAATGAGGCGCCAAACAAAACGCACAACGTTTTTCTTTGGCCAGTGTCTCTATTCAGGGAATGGTTTCTGGGTCGCTGTATTTGTGAGCATCTTCACGGGTTGCGCAGATATAGAACTTTTTTTATTTTTTTCGCCAATCGCAGTATTTTGCACTGTGGTGATCCGCGAGAACGTATATCAGCCCTTACCTGAACGATTCCCACCCGCTTCTCCGGGTAGACAACCTTGTGCCATGATCCCGTGAAGGCCATGGTCGGGGAGTGGACGATGACGAAGTAGCTACCGTTCAGGTGTGAGCGGAAGTATGCGTTGGGGCGCTTCGTTCCCCAAGCATAATACCATCCCGTGAAGCAGGACGGCCCCGTGAATGTACGCTGGAGTGTGGCGAGTCCATGTTTCTTGGAGTACGCGTATGCGCACGATCCTCCAGCTGATCAAAAGAAAAAAAATAACGCATATTAATTCTACGAATTAAGTCCGTCGACACAGCATAGGCAGAGGTAATGAGCTGTGCAGCGTGTTTAGCTGTGAAAAGTTCTGAGCTAGTGAAATCACGCTAAGTTCTAAAATTGAGCGGCTCGCATCCCCGTAGATATGGTGGGAAGACTTTCTCGGCTAAAATTACCCCAAAATATTACATTGTTTCAATCGAAAAAAAAGCCGCTCCCACTATATAGTTTGCCTCCTACACCTTCGCGTCGCACTTCCGCGTCACAAAAACGAGTTACGTGTTTTTATTACACTTTTTAATGATCCCTGGCCCTTACACATTCGGGGTGAAACATATATTATTGGTTTGTGCGTGGACTGCCTTAAATAACGCGTTTAAAATTTAAAAATCTGCGACCTAAAAAATGTAACTGGAGGTGAAATATTTGAGCGGCGTCACATCGCACGCCCTCTCCTATAAATTAGGAAGTATGCGACGCTCTAAGAAAATCGTAAGGGTTGGTTATGTTAGTTCGCATCAATGGCGATTGATAAGCGTGGATTTGATGAAAACCATTGTACAAGCTTTAACATGCTGACATGCTGACAAAGGGCGTGGAGGAGAGTATATGTTGAGCGGAAACAAATTTTGAATCATAATGCGAGAAGGGTAGTGAATAAAATTTTGGAGTTCGAAAGTATTTCGATGTCTGGTGATGCACACATTTCAATCATTACAAAAACATGTCAAATGGGGACATTTTTTTTAATAAAATATTCTTTAAAAGGTTGAGAATTCAAGGGTGGTGAGTTTGGTATTGTAATTAGGAAGAATATTCATTGTACTGTGATAACAGTTTCAAGTAACGGCGAAATGATATCGAAAAAATTGTGCATTGGTTTCTAAATGTTACTTTTGAGCGCTACATATATCGACCGCCAATCGTAAGCATTGACGTTTTACATTTAATACATGATGCTTTTTTGCCATCAGTTATAACATTTCGCTACATCATTCTATATGGAAATTCGTATAATCCTATCATTGATTCGGGAGCAATCTGTTACACCATAAAAGACAAAAGTCTTTGGCACTTCCAGTTGCCAGCTTCGCGTGCATTATGCAACTTGTCCTTGGTCATTCAAAATTCACTGGTTTACAAAATGCAAGAAAAAAATCACATTGGAAGCAATGAGAACCCAGATCCTACAAAACGTAATGAAATCAAGGGGTTACGCATAAAACGCTTTCATTTAAATGTGTACTCCACACGCGGCGGTGCTCGACTTTGCCCATTTTCAGCACTATGAGTTACTTTTTTCTGAGATTATTTTTGTCCCATCAATATTAAAAATAATTATACCTGTTCACCGCGACGGAAATACTGGGGTGAGGTGATGGATTTTTCATTCTGATTCACGAGCGCTTTAGTACGAGGTAGCGAATAGATAACCACCGCACCATCGCGCAACACTTGGACAACATAAGTGTCAGCTTACCACAATACGCGTGCCACGTCTTCGAGATGTAATGATATATATATAACACCAAATTAACACACCACAAATAGATAACGTGAAACAGATATATCCACGTTACCCAAAATAACATATAACACAAGATTGGGAAGGAATCCGCGCCATGTGTTCGGTCGGATCAACTCGCTTTGTCAAAACCGATGATGATGATAGCTAAGAAGCTCTCCCTTTGGTTTGAGCACGCCGCCACTAGAGTTATGTTTACTTTCGCATCTGAAAACTGGGTCGTTCTTTTTCGCTAATAAATCTCGGAAACAATCGGTTGAGATTGGTATTTTAGTCTCATTTATACCTGAAATTTAATTGCAGATCATACATGAGCTCGTTACCCTTCAAACGCATGATGCTTTCGATTTAAAAATATCATAATGCAATACGTTCATTATCTAGAATACGGAAGTTCCGGCATCACGTTACGTTGCTTGACATTTGACTATGACCTTTAGCTGCTAAATTTTTCGAGGCTTCCAATGAAACCTAGTTGGAAGGGTCAACAGCGCAGGTAATCTTTCCATAGCCCAGTAGTGGGAAAAGTGGGAATCGATGCATGATTAGGCAGAAATGCATGTTGTCACAATATGCATAAACCCAACGCACCATTCGATCATGAAACACGCACACTAACTGCCGAGTTACTGGCGGAGCAGGTTCATGTTTCTCGGAAGACCAAACCACGCCAAAGCATGATCCGGTCGTCCAGTGGAACCTCATGTAAGATTATATTAAAGTGAAGTCGAAAATAAAGCAATCTACAAGACACTGCCTCTACCAGAAAGCGTCAAGGGTGCTTAATATTTTTTCAGGGTTTATTGAAATACGCAATATGATAATTTGTGTGCGCCTCACAACTTTTTTTTTAAATTCTGATCCACATCGAACACACTTGGAATTTGGATTGAATTTTGTGTCCTACATATAATTTTTATTGTTAACTAAAAATGATATCACATATAAAAGGTTAGTGGCTAATTCAGCTGAAAAACGCAAAGGTGCTTTTTTAATGTTTAAATGAGAGAAAACTCGCAGGTTAAATTAGAAACGCACCTTTGAGCAGTGTTTGGTGAACCTTTACTTGAACGACTGATATTTCACGGATTTTTAAAATACATAAACGTTTTATGCGTCCCATTTCTGCCCAGTCATCATTCTGTTTTTTTACTTCAACTGTCCATTGTAACACGACAACCTGTTTATCACTCTAATGTCAAGTGAAAGGAATAATACCCCCTCCCCCCTCCCAAGCAAAAAATAACGCTTTCAAATAAGCGGTTAAATTTAAAGTAAAATATTTAGGAATGTCAAAAATATGCACACGCTTTCAAAATACAGTGTATATAAACCATTCTTTATTGCACAATTTCAATTTTAAGTAATATATAACTCTTTTAAAATTAATTTCTGGCTCCACCGAAAGCATCAAAAGGCACCAATAAAAACATTGTTAGGAATTTTTTTTCGCGATCCAGAAAGCAGAGATTTTTGAGAAAGCGCATCTAAAACCGCAAAAACTCTCGGCAATTCAATGTCGGAGACCTACTGCACTGATTTGTGGTAAGTACACATGCGTTGCGCAGTGGCGTGGCGGAAAGAAAAGCAGACGTGGAGGTGGTGATGCCCGCAGACGATCGACCCTTTCATCGATGTCTTGAAGCTCGTATTGCAAAAGCGGCCCATGAACCACGTGGCCCTGATCAAGCAGTTAGAAACGCTCTGAAGCATGGGCCCACTACAGAAACCCACTAAAAAAAAACAAAAAACATCAAGGACAGTATAGATGACTCCGGTGGCTATTTACTTGTTACGAGCATTATGGTTAAGGCGATGGTTTCAGCTGTCGCAAAACTGAATTCGAAACTATCTACAGCTTTGTCGGTATCCCTAATTATATTGTAAAGGGCTGCTGAGAAATGGTTTGCTTTTAGTCTTGACAAATCATTGAAATTGTCGCTGCAGGATGGTTAGTCTCTTTTCAGAAAACTGGAAACATTCGACTGTCCTAATTTTTAAGTCTAGAAATTGTAATATTAATAATTATCGCCCCGTATCTCTTTTCAATGCAGTCTCAGAAGTGTTTGAGAGGGCGATGTGGGGCCGCTTACATAGTTATTTTTTTGGATAGGCAGTCTTTTGGTTGCATGGTTTCCACGCCGACGGAAGTGTGAAAACAAGTGTCCGCACATTTTTTTAAAATTATTTGATGAATATTGTTCATACTCTAAGTCAGGTAGATAGAGTATATACGAATATGTAGAAAGCCTTTGACATGATCAATCTAGAACTGGTGTTGCTAAAACTTGATAATTACGAATCTTAGTCTTGAGAACATAACCTGGTTTGCGAGTTATTTCCATGTTAAAGTTTCTGATCGCCTGTCACGCCCTTGTATTCCTTCGTCGGGTGTGCCTCAGGGATCAAACCTTGTTGCGTATCATTTTTTTTTTATAAACGACCTGACGTTATCCGTGAAACACACTTAGGTAGATGCGTTTGCCGACGCTGCTACGCGGTTTTGGGTTTAAATTTATCACCAACTGGGCTTTGCTGCAGCAGTTTGTATTTACAGAACGGTAATTATGCGAATGAAACAACCTAATCTCAAGCTTCGCAAAACCCAAGTTATGTCTTTTTTCAAGAAAACGTGGCACCTTTTGCATATACACTAGAAAATAAAAATATAGGTTGAACCACATTAGCACGATATTTATGTGCTCTGGTGAATAATCGCATATTATTTTATTCTGATATAAACTCCATTGTTAACAAGTTTCTACGCACGCTGGTAATATTTTCTCGCTTAGATAGCTATTTTTATTATCTATCTAAAGGATACATATTAATTAGTAGATAGTTTGCTTCTGTGCAACAGATGCAAACTAACTAATAATTTGAATCTGTAGCATGGAACTCCATCTCTGCTTCAGCGAGTGAAAATGTTAAATGAATATAAAACGATTTATATGACTAACCAACGAGGCATATTGTAACAAAATTGCTATAGTGAACATAATTTATTTTGGTAAAAGATATAAAGTAGGCAGTCATTTCTGGTGTCTGCTCATTTTAATCAAAGAAAAATAAATCGCTTAATTAGTCCTTCAATACACGAACTCAACTCTGTGACGTCACGGCGCGGTGGTGGCGCGTCGGTCGCACTTCCGGTCTGGGGCTGTGGGCTGAAGTCCCCATGCCAGACGTGTATTCCTGCGTTGTTTTTAAAGGAACCAGACAAATACCTGCCTTCTCATCAAACGCCGCGACTGGGGCCGTACCAAAAGTGTCGAGAAAGGTTTGAAGATAAGTTTTTACGAGCTCGGTTCGTCCGAACATCTGGATATGTGTTGTGAAAAGAGAAGAGCAGACGCCGTCGGACAACGATTGCTTGGGCGGGAAGCACTTTGGGTTGAATTCACGGATACTTGTGGTCATCAGACTTGTTTTGTTTTGTTTCAACATGAA